AGTCTAAGATGCCTGTATCAAAAGTTAAAAAAGAAGAGGCCCTGTGGTGAAGACCTACATGTTACTGTGGGTGCGATATAGCAGCTGCACATTGAATGCCAAGACTCATGGTGTCCACCGTGGGGTGTGTGGACCGAAGTGGCGCTAATGCATAAAGAAGTTGGATGTCAAGAGTTTTTGGACAGCTTTTTTTTTATTGGTCTGAGCTGGTTGTACCCTAAATCAACAAGTGGTGAATATATGTGGGGCATGATGCCCTTCAGAGCAGCATGACACATCTGGATGGTGATAACTACGATACAGGCAGGGGTGATAGAAGTGATTCTGGACTGGTAGTGCGTTTTTTCTTCTTTTTTTTTTTATTCCAAAAAAGATACCTTTTCATTTACTGTGTTTTGCCTCATCACTATATCTTATTGTAGGTGAAGTGTACCAAAATCTACACCTGTTAATCCCAGCAGCTTCCACATTTAAATTCTATCCAAAACAAAACTTCCACTCAGTCTAAATTCATCAGAAATAAATGCTTTTGAGGAAAATTAGGTCAGAAACTCCTGATTCTGGTTATGGGCTTGGTTGAACTTTTTAGTGCACCGCCCAGACTTTACAGTAAACACAGTCTTTCCAAAACAGGCCTGAATGACGGGTATCACCTGCTATCATATTCTGTAATGTGTGCAGGCTAATATCTGCCGTCATTAATACCCCTGCACCGTAACTGTGTGCGGTTGTGCGTCTGTGCACTTTTTTTTCTCTTCTCCTTCTCCTCCTGCAGCAGGTGTTCGTTTAGTGTGTCAGAGTCGGCGGGGCGAAGATCTTCCAAAGTTAATATTGTGTTTCCAGAGATGATGGGGAGTTCACTGTCCTCGCTTTATTTACACATTCTAAATTAATTAAGCGCAGGATTCCTCTGGCTGTTGCAAAAACACGGAGGCTGCAGGGAGGCCGGCAGAAGCGAGGGGAAGCTGTGATTTATTGCGGCTGTGCTGCTGCAGGGCCCGCGGCTCCGCGCTCCTGCAGGCCGGGCGGGGAGCCACGGACCGGGCCAACATTCCTCCGTGGGGGCGAGGAGGCCCGTCTGTCTGACGTACCACACACACACAGGGGGAAAGAGAGGAGGAAGGACCAGGAGAGGAGGAGGAGGAGGAGGAGGGGTGTTAGGGCGCACGATGAAGGCCAATTTGTTCTGTTATTAAGTTAAAGATGTGCACAGAGAGCAGGAGGAAGTTGCAGGTTTGGGAAGAGCTTCAGAGATGGGATCACAAATAGCCCTTTATATGGATGAGTCAATTTCACATGCTGGGTTTTTATATAGTCTAGTATAGTAGCCTACATAAATCGAGTCATTTCCTCTTATTGACCCAACCGAGAGTTTCCAATGGAACAATAATTATGTGGCAAATATTCCTCAGTTAGTCTCAGTTGGAATTACATTTACATTTTGGAAATGCAAAAGCTTTCAAATGTGTGCCATAGCTTAAAGCTTGAGTAGGAGTTTTGTAGTAAACATTTTGTACCTTAATCTATGTAATGTTTGCTTTTTGCAGTTTTATCAAGCCAAGACTTATTTATGCAGAATTATCCCTCTATTTTATCTAATATCAGCGTTTTAAGAGGGATATTTTTATTGCCACTATGGGTGGTTATTGTTTCTTATTTACCCGCCCTACTTTTTGTAACAGCCAGTGCTTTTGTTGAATTTTTTAGGCATTTACTAACACGACAGATAGCATTTTATTTGGCTAAATGTGGCGTATAATTATAATTGTAATTATAATGATCATTTATCAACTTCTATTGAGAGACTTTAAATCTGCATCTTTACACCCAACGCACATATAACACGTCAAACATGGAGTAAACACACACACACACACACACACACACACACACACACACACACACACACTTCTGTCCTCGTGTCCTTCAAGACGCAGCCGTTAAAGACGCATCGATCCGTGTACTAAACGTTATTGGCAAGTCAGTGAAAGGCTTAAGAAAAACGATTTCAACTAACCCCTAATGACATGCGCTGTGAGGGGGGAACTTTCACCTCCACTTTGATCGTTATACTACAGATACTGTTATTATTATCATTAAATTAGTTCATTTTCTCTTCTAATTTCGTATCATATCTTGGACTTCTTGTATACATCCCCAAAAAGAAAATATCCAAATACATGAGGAGAGATCATTGCAAATATTTGTTGACACTTTAGTCCACATATACATGACAGTGGCGCAGAATCCGGGCTTCAAACAGAGCATATGGGAGCGCTTAGAGAGAGAGAGAGATGGGAATAACCCTGAAATGAATCAAAATGTTCGGGGATGGTTGAGTCACTTGGCTGTCACTCCACATATCACTCACTTTCTTGTGTCGTTTGAGAAAGTGTCACGTAAAAAAATGACGAATGTCGTCGAGATGCCCACAGTCATCCCCTGTAGAGCTCAGGCTGTGGGTGGTCCACAAGTGACATCCCGGGATTTTAGAGTGTGGAAACGAAAGCGACGATGATATCCCATAAAGAGTGACATGGGGGAGTAAACGACGTAAAGATGCGCCTCGGATGTCTGTCTAATGTGATGAGTGTTTGCTGTGGTTTGAGGAAGAGATAGTTGCAGGTTTATTTTTGGCCGTGAGTCTGTAATCTGCTGGGGCGCATTTGAGCTGAAAATCCATAAAAACGGGTTCAGTTTCAAATCGTCCATTTTTAAAAAACCGATGCCTTTTGGCTGAACCTCCCTAAACCCCTTGTGTGCGCCTTGTGTCTGGTGATTTTATTGGCCTACTCTTCGTTCCTGCCGTTATTTCAATGGCTTTTTTAACCACCTCTGCAAACGCTTCATGTGGATTTTAATGGGCTGATGCGGTGCGTAATGACTCCCTGTCAGTGCCGAGAGCGCGCACAAAACTTCCAGAGTCTGCTAATGTTTTTTCCACCTCATTTACCCTGCAAATTACATAAGAAGGATATCAATTAACAGCGTGGATAGAGCGGGGGAAGCTCTCTCATCTGAACCATTTCCCAAATGTGTGTGCGACATTTATCAATTGTCCAATTTCCGCACAAAGAAAGAAAGAAAGAAAGAAAGAAAGAAAGAAAGAAAGAAAGAAAGAAAGAAAGAAAAGCTGTGTGTGGATAAAGAGAGTAGTCATGTGTTGGTTTTCGTTTCAAAGACTTCCAGTGAGTTGTGCTGAGGGAAAACAGAGGAGTCAGCCCTCCCACCCTTCATCCTTAATAATCATCTGTCAAAACAGCCACAAACTAATTGAAGCGTTTGCACACAGATCTGGTAAATAAAAGAGTCTTCACACCCCCTTCTGTCTGGAAACATGTGCTCCAACAACTCTGAAAAAGACCAATGGGCCTGTTTTCTGTAGCAGGACGAGTCCCACTGCTTCTTTTTAGAAGTTTTCCCCGAGACAACACAGACGACATGAAAGCGGAGCAAGGCGAGGGCCTTTAGAGAAGATTGCTTTTCAGGCTCCAAATGTGTGTGGCGAGTCTCACATGGTGGGGGGGACCGCTCGCTGCGCGCACATTCACTCCTCTGGGCCGGGGGTCCGCACTGACAACATCAACAAACGGCCAGAAAGGCGCATTATGGTGGATTAGGAGCCTGATGAAAAATGCTGCTACAAATTAGCAACGAAAACCCCAAAAGAGCGTGGGTATATCCTTGTTCACTTTCAATTACTGAGCGCGGAGGCCTGCTCACGTCTCCATTCATTTAGGGGAGGGGGGGCTTTAGAAACGAGTCCTATAGATGCCACACAAGAGGGGGAGTTGCGCACTGTTGCGTGATTTCATGACTGTTGTGTGCGTCGAGGAGTGTTAAGAATATAAGGACAGGGTTTTCAAGAAGGAGTCTTAATAAACTGGACGATTTTTCTTCAAGTGTGTTAAATATTAAGCAAGATGATCGCAAAAAATGATGATCAAAGTTTTACCTTAAATTGCAGATACAGTAATAAGAGAAGTTAGATTTGGAGAGTTTTTAAACATAGTGCGCAACCGGATACTCTTGGAAAATTTGACCTCTTTCACAATAGTATTCAACTTTTTAAAAAGCAGCATAAATGACGCCTTATTTAATGAAGTAAAAGCCACTTCATATACTGTTGGGTCCACTCTGACCCCTCCCTGCAAACAAAATCTTTCCACGCCACAAAAATAACCGAACTAATGATCTTTGTTTCAAATTCACAAACATTTATTATTCTTGTCATTACAACAAAAAAATGACCTATGAACATTGAAGTGTCTCTCTCTATTGGCAACACATGACAGACTGTATGTTTCACAGATTCAGTCGTGAAATAGAACGAACAACAATGAAAAAGACTGAGAGAGGTAATGCGCTCGTTTATACCACACAAAGCCTACATGCCCACCGACAACATGAAATGGTAGTATCACAAGTTCACTGTGGAGAGGAGCCTCTGGGAGGTGTGTGGGTGTGGGTGTAGGGGGGTTATAGTGGGACATTTTCATTTATCAGAGACACCCCCTCTTTTGTCTCCATGTGCTTTCTAAGTAAAACCTGAGTTTGCCGTCTCTGTCAGCCTATGTCAACAACAACAACAACAACAGTGCCAGTTTCTCACGACGCACGAAATAAAAACAATAAAAATTAGAATAAAATTTCTCAATTATATATATTCTTAAAATCGATTGACACTTATTTCCAGGATCTTTTCTTTCTGTTTATTTTTTTCTCTGTCTCTGACAAGTGAAGGCCACATCATGCCAGATTTCAGACCCCCTCCAAAAAAAGATCCTTCTCTGAGTTTCCCTCACTTTTGTTTCTTCTTCATATTTTACATATTTACAAAGCATAAATAATCCTCTCTCCTCTTACATTGGTAGGGTACTTGGAGAGCCAAAACTTGCTTATTTCACCAAGAATGTCCAGCCTACCTTCACACAGGACGAAGTCACAATCTGCTTATTAATAAAAACATGTTCAGCGCCAGTTTGTTTTCATTTTCATTTCTAGAAAGGACAAGTGTTCAGATTGGGGGTTTTGCTGGTAAAAGTCTGACTCTGCGCAGGTAAAATGCTCTCCTGTGAAAGGTTCAAATGGTTGGAAGCAGAGGCCAGAGCCGGAGTCAACATGGCCAGGATCTGCGCCTGACTGCTCGACTGCGCGCTGTAGGAAGAGGCGCTGGAGTTTGCTGCGCCGATGATATTGTCTATGGAGAAAGAAGGCCGACTCGGGGTGCTGGAGTCTGCTTTTAGTGGGGGCAAAGACGGGCTAAGTTGTGGGTAAAAGGGCTTCCTTAAATCGGCTCCTAAAAGGGCTGGTAAGGGATGTGGCGCAGGGAATATGGAGGCAGATGAGGGCAAGGTGCAGGGGGCGTTGGGGAACGGGAATGAACCACCTGTGTGGTGTGGGTGATAAGGGTTGTGGGCTGCGTGAAAGTTCTGCAGCTGGAGTCCATAGTTGTATCCGTACGGGCCATATCCAAACCCGGGCAAGAAGCCACCGGAGTCCCGGAGGATTTCATTCGCTTGGTGCCTCTTGAAGCGTTTCCTCCTCCGCAAGAAGCTCCCGTTGTCAAACATGTCTGCGGAGTCCGGGTCAAGGGTCCAGTAGTTGCCTTTTCCGGGATTGCCGGGCTCTCGTGGGATTTTTACAAAACAGTCGTTCAGGGAAAGGTTGTGGCGAATGGAGTTCTGCCACGCGGGGAATTTCTCCCGGTAGTAAGGGAATCTGTTGCTGATGAACTCGCAGATCTCGCTCAGAGTCAGGCGCTTCTTCGGGCTCTGCAGGATGGCCATGGTGATCAGGGCGATATAAGAGTAAGGAGGCTTCACCAGTGCGCTTTTTCTCGGTTTGTCTCCCATCACGGAGCCTACCTCTGCGCTGGAACTCATCTGGTCTGACGGGCAGTCAGAGCTGCTGAGCCCCGGGGAGGAAACCCTCTCGGCTGTGTTCTGGGAGTAATTATCGTCCGAGTCATTGTCCAAGTTAAACTCGTGGTGGATATACTTTCCGTCCTTCCCAACGGAAATATCACCCCCAACCACGTCGATGTCCACATCCTCGGACAATGCAGAGCTGTCGGACATATCCGTCCCTAAAGTCATCCTTGGAGACGCCGCTGCTGTTCCTCCTCTCTCTCAGATTTCTTCCTCCTCTGGTCCGATGAAGCTCCTGAGCAAGAACGCGCGCACACCCTCTCTCTCTCTCTAACCCCCTCTCAACCGCACCAGACTTTTCCTGCAGTTTTAGTTCCAACTACAGAATGCACTCATGGCTCGAATCTACTAATAAGAGAAAAAAAAAATGTGTCTTTGACCTTGATTTGGGGACTCCTGGTCATCCAGGGCTGTTGGAGCAGGTTCGCGCAGCGTTCTCAATGAGCAGAAAACTTCTGGTTTCCCCGTGTCAAAAGATGAACAAATATCATAGATCTCAAACCAAACTTGACTTCTTGTCGTATGATGTTGTTTTCTTCCGTCTGTAATGAGTTTCTGATGTAGGTCATTCAAAGCCACCTTTGGGTATCCAAGTGCCAGTCCAAAATATCTTTTACGCACGGGGATGGGTAGGTATCCAGCTAGACTATGACACTATCCTGCTAAGCTCTCAAAAGGTATTTATAGGAGCACGCTGACCACGTGGTCTTTGAGTCACTGCTACCAGGAACTGGATAAAATTACTCTGCAAAACCGTCAAATATGGATCTGCTCTTGATTTTTTCATCAAATTTTGTTTATCATTTAAAACAGAACATGAAACCAAAACCGTGCGTAATATCTTCTGTTGCAGTGGGTTTTTAACTGATTGTTGTATTTCTCAATATATTTATTATATGGACCTGTCCTTTATTTTATGCTTTGTTGTGAGAAATAAATAAAAAACTTAAATAACTTACAAAACCGATGTTGTGCCACTTTTGACCCAATTTATGTAACAATTTTCCTCATTTTGCATAAAATAAAAAATTGTTAAAGATAAGGTTGCATGACCCATTCATGCAGACTAATTCCCTCTGTTTTTTACAATTTTGGTTGAATGAAGTTAAAGTCCTATATTCCGTTGGTGGCCATAGTGATTTTATATAGAAAGTCTTTTGACAGGATCAAATTTGTAATATTTAGTATCTATTTAAAACTGAAGCAGATTATTGCTGATAATACGGATATGAATGATCCACTCTGAGATAGAGTTCATTATAAACTGAATTATTATTATTATTATTATTATTATTGTTATGTAATTAATATTACAAGCCTATTATTATTATAATTCAGTTTTTGTATTATGAAGGTCGTTTCGTGCACAATGGCGAGAGAATTTGCTTGAACCCGCAATAAAATAGAAACTTTTATCGTACATGATAGGGGAAAAAAAGTTGTATTACAATAAATCTGAAAAAAAAAAAAAAAAGATCTACCTACACAATTTTTAAGATTTACATTTATTCGGATAATCGATCGATAACCGATTCTAAATATGCATTACAGTGATTAAATAGTTGAGTGTATAGATTGTCAAACCAACAGACAGAAAAAACCTGTCTTTGAGTCAACAGGCGGATTGAATCTTTTTGTTGAGCTGCGTATTTCTCCTGCTCACTTGTCTCTCTTGTTTGTTTCCTTTCGTCTCAATTCTTTCCATCTGCATTTTCTCTCCAATCCAAGCGCATGTAGTCAGCTGCAACCTGCTCCAATCCATCATCATCTGGATTGAGGGACCAGCAGATGAAAATGAATGTGTGTGTGTGCCGTGTGTGTTGCGTGCAGATTCATACACTAATTTATTTCACCACAACGATTAACGGTCACTGTGATGCTTTTTCATCAGCATCTCATTAATCTGCTGGGTAAAAAAAAAAAAAAAACACGGATCGTCTTATATTTTTGTAGTTTATTTTACGTGTGTACAACAGATTCTGATTATATAGCTGTAACAAATCGTCTTTTTTGTTTGCGTCTATTTGGTAGCTCTGTATTTGTTGTTGTCTTTTTCTTAACTGGGGGAAACGACGTTAATCAAGTGCAGGTCAAGCATGTGAAATTCTCCACAGACACTCAAAGTGAGCCGTGCCTCTCTGAGCTGTCAGTCTGCAGCTTTGAAAATGTGAAATAGTCTTTCTGAGAGCTGCCTGACAGCTGGACAGAAAGGGCACTTTACTTACTTCGCGTCCAACCAGAATTCACCCTCAAAAGATAATTTTATTTTCCGTAATTTAATTTCTAAATGGGCAAAAATTGTGGGGGTAAAGAGATGAAATTACAGCCAAATTTTTTACTTATCTATTGTTTCACCCGGGCTATGTATGGATCGGACTTTATACACTTAAAAAACCCAAATGGTCTCTATTTGACATTAATGTTAAAATAAATAAATAAATTGATTAATGAAAAAACTATTTTACATTGTCTTATACTCCACTGAAACTATACTGGAGGTATGTTTAGTTTGACAGCCTCCAATGAATCTCGGTCTCCATAAACCAAAACAAAATACTTTTCTCTGAAGCAAAAAAAAAAAAAAGAAAAGAAAAGAAAATCTGTTTCATTTAAGACTCGTCTGTTCTAGCAGGACTATATCATCTCCAGCGCTTTTGTTCACATTACATTTTCATGACATATTAACGAGAAACACTGTAATTAACTGGACTTTCAATTTTTAGAACGTATTTTTTATGACATTTGATCCAACGCTTTGCTTCTAATTTATTGTCAAATATATCAGTTTTTTTTTCAAATAGGGTTCAAATAGGTATCTATCCTCACGGTCCTTGCATGCAGACGGGTTCTAATCGGTGCAGTTTCTGGTGTTGGAGCGCCCTCTGCTGTTGGGAGAGTGAACTGAGTCTCAGTGCTCTATACTTGTGATGGAAAAGATGTCAGAAGGGACTAGAAACGACACAACTACGAGCAGGAGAACATTTTGTGTTAAGAATTTCTAAAGGGGTTTATCCAGACTTTGAGCTTTCTCATGTGCACAAAAGAAATATGAAAAAGAAAGTACTGAGGGACTGGTAATGGTCTATCATTAAAATGTACTAACAGGATAATGAGGAGTTACTGAAGAACAGACTGTTGGATCCTCCCCATGAAGAAATCATAAGATAGTCTTCATTAGTGATTGAATGTTTGTAAGCTAATCTTTGAGACCACTTCCTTGTCAGTTATCATTTGTCCTTGATGAGTCTGAATCGATCAGTGTGAATCTGATTACAAGACCATAGACTTACTGTATTAGGTGCCCTTTGAATCTATTGGTGCATAGTACTCTATGACTGGGAGATTGCTCATTAAAGCTCCTATGAGGAGTTTTATGTCATCAATGACATAGACTGAAATTCATATTGATGTCTTTTTATGAAATAAAAAGGCAAATAAAACCATCAGTGTCAAGATTGATGACTCTAACACTATGATTTTTGATATCCTAAACTGGTGTGAGGGCGTAGGTGTCAGCAGTCCTGCTGAAGAAACAGACCTGGTTTTTCCATTTCTGTATAAAATATTCAAAAAAAATATTCAAGATTTGTCAGAAGATACCGAAGCACGTGGATGATAAGCTGAGGGGATGCAAAAACTGACAAAAAAGAAGAAAGTTCCATTAAAGCTCCAGGAGCTGTTACCAATAACTTGTTTTTTCATTGTAAAGAACACAGAGATTCTGTTTTACAAAAACATGTATTTGTTACTCCAATTTGAACCCAGAGACTTACCCACCAGCTGGCTGCAGAGAAAGCAAGTAGCGGGTAAATGGCTTACAAATGCAAGATATTATTATTATTATTATTGTTATTATTATTATTATTTTTATTATTATTATTATTATTATTATTATTATTATTATTATTATTATTATTATTATTATTATTACCAGCACAAGAAACACAAAGAAATGGGTCTTTGATTAATGGAGCTACTGTCTTTTCTCTGCAGGAAAAAAACAGCAATCGAATAGACTCCCATACACAGAGCAGCATTTGTAAATCATTGTATGAAAAAACAATGGACAAGCTTACAGCATATGTTACTGAACAACACCATTGCTATATAAGTAGTGTTATATAAGAATGCAGTATTTGCTCACAGAGAAAGTTGCAGCACAGCCTGATTGGCAGTCTGTTATCCCAAATAAACCACCAAGCAAACCAAATAGAGTCTAAAACTTCTTAAATCCAGTTTCATTTTTCATTCTTGTGTTAAGTTAGCCATACTTGTCGTATATGGTGGCACAGCTGGAATCGACTCGCTCTCAAAGTCAGTCTCAGTGACTACTAGAGGCGTTACTGCTTAGACTTCATTGTAAATTGGCGCTATGGAGGAATATTATGCTGGGCACTGCAACTTAACTACAACATGTTACGTTTTAGAGCTCAGCCTTTTCAGCGGATGCTAGTGTAGGCTTCAACATCTTAATTTTTGAGTCAGCTCATCACAAACCTTAATTATTTTTGAGCATATACACTGCTCTATGCTCATAAACTCATCTATTATTTTCATTACTCTGCTGTTCTTGTCTTACTTTTCTTTACTGACTGGGAAATTTATTCTACAAATGTGACCAGTGTCTGTCAGAAAAGTTTAATCCATAGGAAAGAGAGGAATCCCAATCTGAAATAGGAAGACAAATCAGCCATAATGTTCGGCTATAATGTGCGCCACCCTCCAGCAGCCATATGACAAACAACTGTCTGTAAAATGATCCAATAAAAAAAAAAAACATGAAAAGATGTAAAATATAAACAAGGATTAAATACACTGAATCAACAATACACAACAACACAAGCACAACAGCCCTGTTTGATGGGGAGCATGGCAGCAGTCTCAAACACTGCACAGGTGGACTTTGTTGACTATTGTTGGATTCTTCTGCAGGGGGAAATGCAGGAGATAGAGGGGGACACACGACACAAGAAAACATTTAACTTTGTCCGAAAACAGCGTGACAATTTCCTTGAATCTGAATTTGCTCCACCAATGTGAAACTTGCAGTAATCTAACAAAACCAACTGTAAATACATAATAAACAAGTACATTTTTATAACAGAAAAGTCTTCTGCAAAATAATGTATGCCATAATACCCACTAAGCATAAAGAGGCAACATTTCTAGCCTCTGCTTCCATCTAGTGGTGGAAGGTATTTTGCCTTTCTGGCCATGCTGTGACTGTGTGCCTCAAATGACCACAAAAGCTGCAGGTCAAGAATGAAAGGGAATGATTGATATTTTTTGCCTTGTGCTAATAGCCATGGATATTTGACAGTAAGTGAAAAGTGAGGGTGTTGAATCAAACATAATAAAAACCAAACTACAATTCCTGCAGGGTTTTCTTTCTGGCTACCTTTGGCTAATGTTAGACATGACATCAAATAAGTAATTTATAATTTTTATATGACCAACAGTAACTAAAGCACAGCCTATATCTGCCACTGTGACACATCATTGTTTACATAGCAATGGATTCAGATGCATACCAGAGAGGTATTTGGTTGCTGGAATTACTCATGATCTTTACTGATACAGTCCATGTTTATTCATCTTTTTCTTAAATTGCTGTAGTAATTTGAGTTTTTATAGCAATATTTGATGACATAAACTAAATTTGACCTTCAATACACTTCAATAAAAATACAGAAATTAAGGTTATGAAAAACGAAGAGCTACTCTGAATGCCTGTAAGCCTTTTTAAACTTTGTCATGATCTCAGGTGACCAGAGAGGAAGTTTTAGTTGATAATAAAAGTCATTGATGGATCAAAGCTGGTGACAAACTTGCTTGCTGATTGAATTTATGAGTTTTAATCAATTGTTACTGTATGTCTATAAAGCAAAGTAACCCACAAAGGTTAATATTTTTATTTTTAACAGAAAACTGATGAGGACATTGAAATTCAACTGAAAATTTAGAAACTGAATTCAGCTACAAAGGTAAAGAGGATGACAGCACAAGATCGAGCAGATTTGTACGTTTTGTTATGGTGAATGTAATAGTGACTGTGCACTGAAAATATAATGTTAGAGATCTTTACCCTTTAATATTTTCAGCATGATGAAAGCAGGCAAATCACAAAAGTATATTTAATGTAAATTATCCTGATAAAAAGGAAGTTACATGTCAAAACAATTCACATATTCTAAATGAAAACTCTGATGAGGAGACTAAAATTAGCCCTGAACGTTTATGTACAATAAAGCTCATTTTTGCTCAGGCGTTGAAATGTCTAATACACATTCTCATGGCTCCTGTCTTTTTGGAAAGTCTGTTTGACTGAATATAAACCCATTTCAGAGTATAACAGAATGCCTTTATTGGCATCGCTCAACGAAATCTGCCATTCTTCTTTTAAACAATAAAAAAAGACATCTAGTATACCTTCAAAAGTCACAAAGAAGAAAAGGAAAACAAGAAGAGAGGTCTTACAAAAAAAATAATTCCTTGGTCCAGAGTTGGTTGGCATCATGGATCATCTGTGCTTTATGAGTGCAAGTGTTTCTGACCATCTAGTTCATCATAAATTTCAAACCTCAACTTGTGTGAATTTAAAATCAATATTGTAAACTAAACCTGTAATGTAATAAAAATGATGTGTTCTCTTTCTTTATTTTTAAGCTAACCTAAAATTAGCCACAAACATTGACAAGAAAATAAATTCTTTCAAATTAAAAAAAAAAAAACAGCAGAGCTATTTTGTTTAAACTTTCAGATAAAAGTCCCGCTCAAATAAGAACAAATCTTATTTTACTTATTTTCTTTAAGAGAGCATTGTAAAAATTGTTGTATTCATTTGTTGAGGCATGATATTTTTGAAACTAAAAAATTGTCTTTTCAAAAGAAAGTAGGAGCACCAGATGAAAAAGAGGACACATTGAAAAGTTGTTTCCACACAAAACACTGTTGTTATAAATAAAGACCAGCTTTCCTTTAATGTAAAAATCACTTTATTTCAACGACCTGTCATCAGCAATAATACACTTCTTTTCTTACATTTTGGTACATCAGAAACTATTTACATGAAAATCAGCAGCGATGACTGATCCCATGAACACATGTATATTTAAAAACAAACTAAAATACAGAAAATATGAACAAAATGAGGCACAGTGAAGTAAACAGCAACACAGAAAGACAGTCATGGAATGTGTCATATGGATCTCAATGGCTTTTAATAGGAATGTTTTATTATAAGGCTCGGTACTATCTCTTTGTATTTCAAATAAATCACCAATTTTATTACAGAAATTTGGAAAGATTTATTAGATCAGTCTTTGTTGACATTACATTAGGACATACAGTCCCCCGAAACTCTAAGAGGGGACCTGATTTTGTTAACAGACCTGTATGATTTTACTCATGGAGGTAATAGTCCAGTAAAATTGGGTTTATGTGTTTAGACAAAAATAAATCAGGATCTAAAGGACATAAAACGCCTCACATGTAGCGCTCTAACCCTGACGCAAAGTTGGCCTGTCTCATGTAGCTGTTGTTGTAGGAGTTCATGGGGCTCGAGAGGCCCAGCAGCTGCTCCGTATGATCGGCGCACGAGCCGGGGCGTAGGGCCGGCAGAGGCAGCCTGTTACCGGAACAATACACCTGAGAGCTCCCGGGGGAGAACCCTGACTGGGTCATAGCGGGTAAAGTCGGAGGGGACGCCGACGTGGAGTATGGGTACGCGCCCCCTAAGTTTGAGGAGAGGTTCCCGGTGTTTCTGCCCAGCATGTTCGCTGAGGGGTTGACAGTCTGGGTCTGAAAGCACGCCGAGGGGTCGGGGCCGGTGACGGAACAGCTGGAGGTCATGGTGCCAAGGTCAGCTCCGCCGTGCAGCCCAAGAGCTTGGGAGTTGAGGTCCCCACCCTGGACCACCGTCTGCTGGCTGATGATGTTGTCGATGCTGAACATGCGCGGCTGGGCTTGTCCAGATGTCTGGTAGTGATGCAACATGGCCGGATGAGGGGATGTAGCAGTCAGCTGAGACCCATACCCCGACCCTATCCCCGCGTACAAGGTGTTAGGGTACGTGGGCCTGCCCATTGGAGTCGGTGTGAATGCACTGGAGCTCTGCATGTACCCAGGGTAAGTGCTTACATCTGTGCGCTTGAACCTCTTCCTCCTCCTCAGGAAGCTCCCGTTATCAAACATATCCTCAGCTGCGGGGTCTAACGTCCAATAGTTCCCTTTCCCGGGTCTGCCAGGCTCCCGCGGGATCTTCACGAAGCAGTCGTTGAGGGTGAGGTTGTGGCGGATGGAGTTCTGCCACTTCTTGGAGTTCTCCCTGTAGAAAGGAAAACGCTCCATGATGAACTTATAAATGCCCCCCAGGGTCAGCTTTCTCTCGGGGGAGTTGGCGATGGCCATGGCGATAAGGGCGATGTAACTGTAGGGAGGTTTGCCCCTCTGCACGGGCCTCTTCCTCCGCCTGCTGCCCCCAGTAGGCAAGTGCTCCTCGGTCTGCCCCAGAGCGGCTCCATCCTCCGTGCTGGGGCTGCTCCCCCTGGGCTCAGACTTGATCAGGATGTTGTCCTTCGAGCGGGCCTGCAGCATGAGAGGCGGCGGAGGCAGCGGGGAGTCCAGGCTCACGTTTGGAGACATGACGACAGGACTGGCCTCGGCGGGCGAGTGCTGCGTCTCTGCGGTCATGTTGCACATGCCAGAGAAGTAAGAGTAACTTGCCAGATTCATAAAAAATATATAATCAGTGTCTCTCCCTTTGGATAAAAAAGGTTAAAAAAATGGGTTAAATACCCTTTCCAGTGACGGATCCCTGCTCTGGACAAAAACAGCCCCTGTGTCCTGTCCTGGTGTTTGGGTGGTGTGTGTCAGTCCAGGTGAGAGGAAGGCGTTGACAGCGTTATAAAGCAAGGCAGGAGTGACGTCACGGGCGGAGGCAGCAGGACAAAACTGATCTTTATGGAGTCTGGGTTATTACACTCTTAAAAAATGTCTCCTGTCCTCCACTAATATAAGTCTTCAATAAGACTATCAAAGAAAAAACTATAAACAAGTTGTTTTACAGATAAATATTTACAAACAGATAGGGGAGAGTGGGGTAAGTGGAGCCAAAGGGTAAGTTGAGCCACCCCCTGTTTCTTGGAAATGGTAAAAGAAATTGATCATGTGACCAAATATTTAGGAGATGGGCATCAATTCATGGAGTCTGTGAAGGTTAGAAGCACATGGGTGAAGGGGTTAGACATTTATTTCCAAAAACAACATTTTTCTCTCTTGAAAGTGAATTGAGTCTGTCATAAGTTTTATTAGAATTGTGTTCAGACCAAAAAAGATCATTTTAAAATTGTTTTATGCATCAACTGTGGTATCTATGAGCTACAACACAAGGTCAAAAAATTAACATAAAAGTCCACCATTTTAGCTTAGAGGACTAATAAAGTCATAATAGTAGTTCTGGGGTAAGTTGAGTCAGTTGCTCAACTAAGAAAGTAAAGGAGTCTGATGAGAGGATCAGAGTTTCAGTTCAGATTGTTGAAATGTGTTACTTTTTCTTTTCAAAAATACAGCTGTGAATGTTCTGAATCACTTAAAGACATTCTCATGTTAAAATGACTTTTTACAAAACAGCTTTTAGCAGTTTTATGCAATAATAATAATAAAAGGAATTATTGTACCAGTTGAAAAGCGTAAAATAGATAAAAACAAACATGAATGTGAAGAAGTCACTGTTACTTAGAGAGAGAGAAGGTGAGGGAGGGCTGGGATGGAGAGTGGGGGGGGGGTAGTAGGAACATGGCTCAACTTACCTCGCTCCTATGGTCAACTTACCCCATACATAGGGTAAGTTGACCATAGGAGACCACTTTTTTTGGCATGTTTTATTACCAAGTTATGTTTACACTCATTCTGTTGGTTTACAGGGACATGTACAACATCTTGAAATATTTGCAGATACACTAGTTAGAGACAAAACTATGATTGCCTTGATGTAGTGATCCGAAATATGAAAAATGGCTCATCTTACCCCACTCTCCCCTATGGCTTAGTGGACCATAGCAATTGGGCCTATCCATATTCAAGCTTTAGCGATGCACATAACAAAACATTGGACATTAAAAGGAAATCTAACCGATTTGATGATGACCCCCCTCTCTCTCTTTCGCTCTCTCTCTTTCTCTCTTCTCTATCACTGCTTTCCTTTCACTGCCAGCTCTGTGTATATCCAAGGCAGAAACAACACTCACAGAGCTGCTCCAAACCCAACAGCCAATCCACCGATTGAAAAATAAAAACAAGCCACTGAAAACAAGCAATTGAGCTATCAAAGCTTTTGGTGGAAGAAAAGTAAATATCCCTTCATTTCATTTTCATTTTTGGAAAGTGATAATCAAACAGACCCCTGGCTGGAGAGGAGAGGTGTTATCTTATGGATTTTTAAGTCAAAACACACTTCTACACACAATTGCTAGGCAAACAAAACCCTTCAAACACATGAATGGGATAGTGCTTCTAATTGATTATGTAGACAAATAAAAGGGTTGGGGGGTAATTGTGGAAGGTACACAGAGAGATAGCCCGACACATTCACTTTAAACAACACAACACAAGGAGAGGTGCTGGAACTGTAGTGGATATTTTGATTTGTGGAAAATTCAGTAAGGCAAACTACAAATATAATTATGTTGCATACACATTTCACAATGTGAGGATGATTAACAAAGTGACAGTCAAAATAAATAAATAATTAAAAAGGCTGAAAGCATAACAAGTATTTTTGGATATACCTGAATGGTGTGGTAGCCTATATAGAAAAATAACATCTTCACCTATGGCAGATTTTTCACCATATTCTTGTAGTCACTGGTTTTCACTCTCAGTTTGATACCAAATAAGGAGATATTGTATCTTGGAATACCAGGCACACTGAAATGCATACATACTGTACCATTCAGGTCGATATAAAGTAGTCAAACACCAAAATTATTGATTTAATTCTGAGTTTTCCTCACATCTGTAGAAATCAGAGGGAAAGACAGATTAAATGAAATGAGAATCACACTCTATAAGAAAACAGGTCCGGCTGTCCATCGAGCAGGCCTGAAAAAAGGTTGCCATAATCAAACCAAAGTCATTAATCATGACCGCCCCCTATTTTCACCGCAACTCTCATTCCACCAACACAAAGTGGCTCACTGTCCCCCCACCACCACCAATGGATGGACCCCTCCCACTCCAGCCGCAGCTCAGACACCACTAAGCCCAGCTAGCTACTCACAGCCAGTGGCTAACAGCTTCAGACAGGCGTGGGAGCGGGGCTGTATCCAAGCAGGATCTGCCCCCAGAGCTGCCAGGTCAGGCAGGACAAACAGGGGCTCAGGCCAGGAAACGGGCCCTCTGCCTCAGGGCCTGCGGCCTCTTGCTAATCCCCTCTCCTTCTACATCAGCCCAGCAGAGCCTCCCTTTACCTCTCTGCACCTCTACACTCCCTGCACACTTGTTCAGAGCTGTGGTCAGCTTGTGCATTAAATGAAGTAACTCATTCATTTACATACACACACATGCATTCATGTTGGGCTCTGTGCTGGCTAGCTGCCACCACTGCAACTGCAAAGAGAGAGAGACGTGTAAACAACAACAAAGTGTTTAAAAAAGTAGTTAATTAACTTCAATTATTACAAATTTTAGGGCAAGGGTGAGTGTGAGCTGAAATCTACACTTAAAACAAGCAAATGTAAACTGTCTACACTTTAAGTATAACAAATCATCATTTAAATAAGGAAATTCAATTTGTTTTTAACACTTTTTTTCAGTGGTGAATAAACAATAGAGTTGCTACAGACAGTCAGAGAGTATTTTTCTCCAAAGTATTTGCAAGAGCTGATACCCACCAGTTTAGAGTCATATTGATAAATGTAACCAAGGGTCAGGTTTTGTCAGTCGGGGCCCCAAACATTATTTTCATTTACCTCATAAAGAGACAGCGGCAGCTGTTCTAACTGTACATGAACACCCACTTCAATTCACAAAGGCAAAATACAGACTTTGTAGTAAAAATACCAACAAAGTAGTATCTGTTTTTCAAAATACACTGTCAGTTTTTATAATATAAGAATTTCTTGAACTTATCTGATGGTCAAGCCATTCACCTGCACACCTTAAAGTTTCTGTGAGAAACAGACTGAAATGAACAGCGATGCCTCTATGAACTTCAAAAGCAAACAAACCATTGAGGATGAGACTGACAATTTCGATATGGTTATTTTTAATATCTTTAACTACTTCTAGAGGTAGAAATAGCCTTTGTTACTTTAACCAAAGCGAGGGATGATGTTCACTTTAAGATGACAGGTAGAGATATTTTTTGTGGGCCAATTAACACCACTTTCCCAAGGAGAAGACCAAATCAGAAACAGTACAAGGGTTACCACTTCATCCACGCCTCACAGGAGCTTTAAAACCTGGATGAGCCTCACAGGAGCTTATTGAGAACTCTAGCATTCATACCTTTTTGACAGATCAACTCCAGCAATCTGATTTTGGCATTCCTCAAGGCCTCTGTCTCTGGCCTCTTTAGCTCTTCATCTACCTATATCAGCTATCAGCCTAACAGACAGGCAAACAGCTGTACACTCTTCTTGAGTTCCCATATAGTTCTCACATTTCTCAGTCGTATCAAACGCTGAACCAGTCTGACTTTTCCTCAGGAAGCTTGGCTCACTGAACAATTACGTGAAACTCAATGTCAAACACTTGAGAGCAACAATTCATGCTGATTTCTGTTTCAGTGCTCATGTAAATGATCAATCTCCAGTCTTGACCAATTCATTTGCACTTTTACCAGAATTGGTCAGAGCTAACAGAAGGTTTGATTTACAGGGACCAAGATTTGCAACCTCTTTCCTTACCAGTTTACATTGGCTGCTGTTTGATGTAAAAAAATATTGATCACCTTTAAAGCCTTAAATGGCTGACTACATTAGAGGTCTTCTGACTTTCATTGTGTCTCAGCATCATCTTAGATTAGACAATGCAGCTCTGCTGGTTTTTCCTAGTAACCAAGAGCTTTGACCAAAGGGACACCACAAACTGTGGGATGCTCTGCCAACATTACTAAGACAAATAATGTCTTAAGCTCCTTTTATGTTCTTTAAAATAAGTTCTTATGTATCATTATTTTGTCATTATTACATTTTTATTTTCATTGCGGTTGATTTAAAGGTTATTTTCCAATGTTGGATGAAATCCTGAGAAACAGAGGGACATTTGGTTGCTGAGTAAACACTTAAAATTCATTCATTCGCAAAGTGGCTCCAGGGGAACAGGGAGGTGTGGGGGTGCATGAGAAAAAGAGAGGGAATAAAAGAGAGGGAGAGACAGAAAAAGAAAGAGAGGGAGACAGAAAGAGAGAGAGAAACACACCAGAGAGCGCAACCTTATTCTTGCTCAAGCTCATCAAGTACGGGCCAGGGCTCCTGAAAACGCAGGGATTACCAGGGTACTGGAGCTGTCCTGGTCTGGGCTGCCTCTGCTCACTCCTGCACTGCACGCTACAATGCACTGCACATGGTTCTCACACACACACACACACACACACACACTGCTCATCTCTCTTTTGCAAAATGTTCACACATATGTTGATCACTTTGACACTAAAACATCAGAGGACACATGCACAGACTTGTCAAACTGCAGATCTACCACAAGCACAATCATTATATTCTATAAATATCTGAGCAACTCATGGAAGTTCCTTAAATGAATTTTAAAGCTCATGTAAAAAAAAAAAAAAAAGAGTCAGTTCAGATGCCCTGTTGTCAGAGCAATACCGCTAATCTTTTTGCACATCTGGCTCTGTAAGTTTATGCCTCGTTGTAATAGCTACATTTGCAAACCAACCTTTTATAAAACATACAAAATATCTTCAAGTGATTTGATTTATCAGCAGCAAAAACATCTGACCTGGAAGACGTACCCTTTGTTTTGTCTGAATAAACACCCCTGCGCCCCCAAGACACCTACAGGAAATCCCCCACCCTCCAGCCATGAAGCCAGGGATGCTGCAAGGTTCAACTAAGAGACTGAACAACATGCTGAGGTCACATCCTCTGAAGATAAGCACAGTAATTAAATGGTTAGGATGTGAGCGACCCATGAATGAATGAAGTGGCTTCAGGTCATTCGATGGAGTCTGCGGTGTCACTTTGAGACCATGCTATCCTTTGAGACAATCAAAATTAGCATGCAAGACATCAGTCACTTTCCTTACTTGAGCAATTTCAGACATCAAATTAACCCCATTTAAGCAGCCTACCTTTGAATCTCACCAACTTAACATGTTATATGTAGATTTGGACAAAGCCAGGTAAGCTGTATGTCACAGTGAAGCTTAGCAGTGATATTTGTTACTCTGTGAGCTTAGGAAGGTGAAGAAAATGAAAGGTAGTCGAGGGAAAAATTTATTATGCTGTCCACGTATTGTACCATCCCAGCATTGTATCCTTAAACTTTTCCATACCCACCTTATAACCTTCAGTATATTCTCATTTTGGTGGGTCAAACATGCTGGATTTAAAGTCCAGCTTAATCAGTGTTTATCTAAAATGTTGAAGTTGTTCTTGAACGTTTATTTCAGAAAATCATTTACTCTTATATTTTTATAAAATGAAAAAGTTCTAACTTAATGAATAAATGTGTTACATTCACTTTATCGATGGGGTGTAATTGACTCAGTACTGAAGTTGGAATAAATGGTTGGTTGATCAAACAGCAGTCGATTTTGCTGGGCTACATTAATGGATTGGTTAATTAGTCCTAATGTGACACAGTAAGCTGCTGTTATCATTACTACATGACTAAAATTTGTGTTTCTGGGACAATGTGACCAGCAGACTCTCCAGATTGTGTAAAGGTAAGGAGTAAACACAGCTCTGACAATCCACAGCTTACTATGGTCAGCTAACAGAGAGAGGCTTAACTACTTTGTTCTGTGAGCCACTGCCCCGCACTGTTTAGGCTCTCTCTGTGGCAAGGGCTGCAAAGACAAGAGCAAACAGTCAAAAAAACCAACCCATACACCGGTCGCCAGTTTTACCAAGGAACTTCTCCTTTAGATGGGATGGAAATGGCCTTCATTAGAAAAGTGCGTCTTTTACTGATTCAGATGGATGACAGACAGAAGCTGTTTCAGTAAATTGTCAGCTCATCAAAACCTATGATATCTTTGTTAAATCATTTTTGAAGCATGCTTATCAGATATAAAGCAGTGTGATTTTATTCAGATAAAACTTAATAGTGCAAATTTGGCCTGTTGATTTAACTGCATGAGGCACTGTGTATTTGAGGCATTCCTGTAAGGCTATGTGGACCAGACTGGCAGACTGCGCAGTGATGAGTAACAGCTTACCGCAAGAGGACGTGGGGCTGCTGTGTGGGCTCCATGTCTGGATTGTCTCTGTGTGTAATCACGTGTACATGCTCATCTCTGAAGAGGTGATAATAATTTCGCCTTTAACGAAAATCTCTGAGTGAATTCAAGCCGCTTCGACTTTCATATTTATGACCCAAAAAAATGTTTTTAGGTGGCAGAGTATCAGTGAGGTCACAATGACATACACGAAATACTTCGCTAGACGTCAGAGTTTCGGAGCAGAGAGGAACGCAAAAGAGGAGGACAAGGACTTTCATTCAGTGACTCCTGGTGTCCTTATTCTGCCGTCTTTCAACATGCACTTCTTACTCTTTTGCTTCAGTACATCCTTGTATTGTGTCTCTCCTTCTTTTTTTTCCAGTGAAAAAGCAGAAGAAAGGCATCGTGTTAATTAAATATTTAGTCATTTCTAACAATTATTGCAGGTATAAATTTGAAGAATCCACACTGCTCATATCACCATCATCCACTTCACTTCCTCCTCAAAGCAGCTACTGGTGCTTGCATTGCTTGGTGCTGATAGATGGACGGCCAGCATGCAGACACACAGCAGCCAGCCTCAAGCTTTTATTACTTTGAGAAGGAGAGAGGAGAGCAATGATAAGACCCGGCCTTTACTGGGACTGATAATAACACACACACTCACACACACACATGCTTGGCTTACACACATACAAATACAGGCATGTATTTGTGAAAGATTTGTTTAAGTGCCAAAATTTTCAACCTTTTTCTAGAAAATTCATTAAAGCACAAAGGTCAGAAGCAAACTCCCTGGATGCTATCCAGCATGTGCACTTTTGCTGTTTAGAGGTTTCATTAAATATTACAAGAAGCTAGGATCAAATTCAGATTAAAGTCAGAACAGTGCACAGAAGCCTTATTTTGAGGTTAAAGATTACGACCACCTCTAAAATGTATTTATGATATCACTACTTCTGCTTCATGTCTGCAGAAGTGGTTAAGAACCAGAGTTTGAGATGAGTGTTTGCTCCCTGGTCCCACACCCGCTCTCTCCCTATTGTTCCTCCTGTCTTACAAGTCCAGCTCAGACAGGTGGGATCAGCACCCATTATGTTCTTTAAGACTCTTGCACACAAACAGCGTCTAAACTTCAGGTGGGAGATACCCACACTTGAGGTGAAGCCAAACACATGCAGGTAAATGTGAGAGTTTTACAGCAGACCTGATATTTCCTCAGTTGCACACATCAGCATTGAAAGATTTCAGGTGGCATGTCCTTCTGTGTCTGTGAGTGGGTTACGTGCAACTAAGAAATGCATCACAGCACTCTAGAAGAGTCTATCTAAGTGGTTCCTTTGACCGTTTCAACTGTGCTGGGTCTGGACTGCCTTCAAATGGGAGGGATTGATACCAACCAGTCCATAACACTGATGTAGGCATAAAGTGTAAGCAATATAAAGAATTGACTAAAAGTTTATTGACTTTGTCTATTGTCAAAACTTAAATGAGATAACCATTTTTAGTCTGTACCAACAGTAGGTGTATTTAACTTCTAATGACCGTCAGAGAGTGTGCGTTTACTCAGGCAGTGAAAATAGACTCTTACTCCCATCTAGTGGTTATTTCAAACACTGTAGCTCTTGATAATGCTTGAATAATGCTTGAAACAACAAAAACAGATACAACTGTTTTTTTAAGCAATGATGGACAGCTTGTCGAAGGAAATGAATGGTATGAATGAAAAGTAAAAATTATCTCTTCAAACTGAAACATCTCTTTCAATTTGCTTAGCATCATTGCAACAATTCTGAATGAATGTAAAAGGCTCTATAGGCTAAAAACTGAAAAATGAGAAAAATATAAGTATTGGATCTACCTATAAAAATGTGGGTTTCATCTTGTTTCAGGTTCTTTTACAGTTCTAACTTTTTGTCTGTAGCTTATTATCAGGATCCGTCTTCCTTTGTAGTTTCCCCTCACTGAAGAATACACACATGAAAAAAAGGTGGTGGCAACATAACCCGAAATGTTTTGGTAACACTTAACAATAACCATAATTTATAAATGGTAAATAGATAGTTTATTCAGTTTAATCATCATTTAAAAACAGCATACAGACCAATAATAAACGGCAAATAGATAGTTTATTAATGTAAGGTAATAGTAACCCTACCATTCACCTATATGCTATTTATAAATGATGATTAAACATTAATATACTATCTGCTTACCATAATAAATAATCTATTTACCATTTATAAGTTATGGTTATTGTAAAGAGTTACCAGTGTTTTTTATATTTACAGTTTTTAAAGACATAAATCCACTGACCATTGCCATAGCCTCCAACTCCACTCCTCTAGATGTCAGCAAACACTCGGGCAGCTTCTTTTTCTACTCTAAATAAACAGAAGAAGAAGAACAGCCGCGTCCAGGCGGGTTGCTTCAAAACATTATGGCGTCCAGAAGAGCAACAATAGCACCAAGTAGTCTTAAAAACGCCTCAAACGACGCTAAAAGGTAATTTAGCCAGTAGTTTGTCATGTGCAAACGACTTTAGCTTTATTGACAGCTAAACCTGAGGAGAAATTGACATAATATAGCCTACAAGGAGACCGAGCTAAAGTTTATAGCGTTTTGGTCAATGTGGGTAAATATTACCATACAATTACATTATACAGTTTAGTAGTTCGTCTACTGAGGAAACAAATGGCTATTAAGTGGGGTATAAAGGCAAGAATCCGAAAATATAATATCATGTTAACCTGTAAGATTAAGATAACAGTAATTCGGTTTACATTGAAACAGCGTACCTCCATGTCTGTCCTGTCGAATTTGACAGCAACTTAATCTTATTTTTTAGCGCAAAAACTGGGAGCACTGCCTCTAAAGCCAACAACAGTGGAAATGGGAAGAAGAGTGTTAAATGTAAGTATCTACAGTTTGAAACAACACACATAGCTGAGTCTGTGGAAGTGCGTGTCTTGTCTTTGAAGGGTTTCTGTAGAGCTGTTGTATTGGAGTCCATTAGGTTGTTCAGGTCTTCTTAATATTCTGTCTCTTTGATTTTCAGTTTACGAAGCTTAACTAATGTTCTTATTTCTGCTTCTCTTTTGTCTTTTCATCACTCTTTAGCAAGTGGCACTATTGTCAAGTCCAGATACATGCAGGCTGCTGAAAAGTCATCTCTTTCAAAGGTAATAAGCTTCATTTTTTTCAGTTTCCATATATCATACATGTTACAGCCTTAACTGCTATTGCTAATGATGAATGTGATGTGTAGTGAGGAGGAGGGACAAATACAATCTCTGAAATAGACTACGTACTGCATGTTGGCATCACCTCAAAACCTGAAGTGTTTGGTGAAGGGTGACCAAAGTTGGTCAATATTCAAATTTGATACCATTAAACCTCCTCCACATTGTACCGGGGTGTATGATATTACTGTAACTAAGCATACCCTGTCCTCCTACAGGAGTAGTTTTATTTTAAGGGACCAACTTATTCCTTTTCTCCAGGTTATTAAGGTTTTTAAGCAGCCACCAGGCAAGCCACCTGTAGTTGGGAGATGCAGGAAAATCTGGAGGGAAAAGTTGTTGCTGCTCTGTTTCATAGATTTGAAAGCGTCCTGGGGTTGAGCAGGGATGGGCCTCACTTTGATCATTTACGTTTGTGTCTCTATGTACCTCTGTAACAGAGTAACTCTCTGACAAATGAGTCCATTGCTGCACCACCAAGACCTGTCTCTCCCAAACCCAGTGGTGTAAAACCAAAAATAGGCACTCCTCCAAGACGCTCGATGGCCCCACAGGCTCTTGCAACAAGTATGTACATTTAAGTTTGATTAATATGAGAATTAATTCTGACGATTGTTAACAATAACTCATAACAGTTGTAACTTTGCTCATGTGGAAATGCATTATGGGTCATTTGTCAATAATGCCTTCTTGCAGCTATTATGTTAACTGTAAAAAAACTTTTTAAAAATTACCTTAAAAGGGCTCTGCAGTTTTAGGCAGGACGACTTTACTAATAAATGAAAAGATATTTCTGCTGAGATCTAGCCAAGGCAAGAACATGGTCCTAATGAGAACTGAGCAAAACTTCTTGTCATCTTTCCTACAGCAATAATGTCACATGAATCTGATATGTCACTGCTGGGGAAAAGTGTTTTGCAGTCCACTTTTGCAGATGGACACTGCTTCCGACCAGATTTTGATATGTCAGTCATTAAAGGTAAGAAGAAAAAAAATGTTTTAATAAACTCAAATGCTTTGACTTGTTTCAAAATTGATCTTTTTTGTAACACTTTTCACAATCTGTCCCTGTAAGAGAAAACAGGTGCTGTCGAACCTGAGAGAAATCCAGAGAATGAGAAGAGGTTTGTTGAGATGCAAACATTCCTACTGGCCTACCTCACCGGCAAGGTCAGTTAGTCTTACAGCTGTGTCTGTCTACCTTAAACTCCTTTCATTGTGTTTGATTGGAAAAATCAATGTGCACTTTCTTTGAGATATGAATACATTCATACAAAGAGTAAATATCTGGTGGCAATGATCTGACCCCATGTCTTTGTTGTCTGACTTAAGATGGAAAGCAATACTGCAAAGCTTAAATTAGAGGCAGAGGCAAGGATTCTTCAGGAGATGGAGGAAGTTGAGGCACTGTACAAAGAAGTCCAGGAGAAGAAGCGCCAGTATCTCCTAATGGAGAAGGAGAGGCATGTGAATGAGATGTTGGATCTGCAGGTTAGGACACTACTTTCTTTATAAGAATCATTTAAATGATTCAAATGTTTCAGAATTTTTTTCTCACAAGCTTAGTTACAAGGAAATGATTTATGCTAAAGGACTGCTTTCATTTTTTATTTTTCAGAAATGTTAATAATTGCATTCATTACGAACTGTCTGCTTGTGTTCCCCACTGAGTCTTTACAAATGTCATCCTACCAATGTTTTTAACTTCAACAGATTGCTGCACTGACCCCTGTGGCAGAGGCTGCAAAGCAGTTCACAACAGACTACAACACATTTGCTCGAGCTGTCGACACCACCAGACATGAGCTGCCTGTCAAGAATTTCTACATTGATGGCGACAGAAAAGACTTCTTAGGTTGTATTTAAAGAAGTTGTACCTAATGAAATACTGAAACAACCTTTCAGATTGCATTAAATCTCACATGTAGTAATCAGTCTTCGCCTGGTAGTGCTCGACAAATACTTCTTGGTAAATTTTACAAGGTCCATTCATGGTTGTATCTAATGCCACCTTGTGTCATGAGCACAGACTGTAATGTAGCAATCTCATCTGATAATAAATGTGTTTCTTACGTTTATAGATGATGGCATGTTGTGAAAGTTAATAATACATACATCTTTGTATTTTAAGTAACTTTTGGAACTTTAATGATAACTGTATTCATGTGTATCCACCTATTTTAGAGAAAGCTGAAGCTTGCCTTAAGGAGAGTGAGAAGTTGCTGGAGGAGTGTACAGATGGTGATCATAAAGACAACAGTGTTTCACTCGAATGTCTAAGAGACATGAAAATGACATCGAAGGATATCAGTCAGCAGCTTTCAGGGTATGTACACTGTTTAAGAAAACTTAACTAGTATGACCTTATAATTTTGTAAATGATAATTTTGGTCTGCCTCTCTTCTGCTTTTGAAATTCGTCTCCCTTATGCCTCTTCTATGCATTGTTGTGTCCTGTTTTTCTAGGGCCTGTTCAGAGTTGCTGGAGCTGTCATCACTGGTCTGCCGCCACACAATCCAGGTCCAGCAGGCCACAGAAGAAGAGCAGTTAGGTCCTACAAGAACTCAGGAGCTCTACTGCCCAAAACAGTGAAGATTGTCACACACCATGATGCAGAGGGCATACACGCTCTATAAAATTGTTATTGTTATTATTTGTATTATTATTATTATTATACACTTTGCTCACCCCTCAACACCAGTCTTCTTTGGTATGTATTTGTAACATTGTGTCTTGATTTAATGTGCGGTCAACTGTCTGATTTCTTTATAGAACATAAAAATGAAACTGGAAACTATCTGCTGAAATTTTTTAAACAAACAACAAGGCTTGAATCAATCTGAATAGTAAATGTTTGAATTCGTGCAATTGTGAACATTTGATAGAGAAATTACTCTGATTTTAAATGACCTGAGTAGTAGCATGTTGACAGTTTATTGACTGTTTTTCCTTGCCATGACAGTTTGAACCTCTTTGTACACAATGTTTCGTTATCTTACATTTCAGAGAATAAATTTTGACCTCTACTGTCTTAAAATTTTATTAGACCCTCACATATTTTTCTTACATTTGCACCTTTTACATTCAATTCAATTTAACACAAGTGGACATCCAACAATTAGACAAAAAGTCTGTAAAAATAGATAAAGAAAAATGCCGGATAAAACGAGTTGCAACAGTCTGCAATGAATATCCCACAAGCGTAAAGAACCATGTTTATGGAAGCAAATTTAGTAGTATTAACCTCAACAAAAAATAAATGTTCCTTGCGGCAGCTTTGAGGTTCTGCAAAGTTATTACAGTTTATAGGGAGGGGTTATTCACTATATATGTGTACTGCTCTGTAGCTTTCACAGTTTTTCTCACAAAAAAACAAAAATCATGCTCGATGCCAGGAAAATTTCAGGGATCACCCTGCTTCTAAGCAATATTTAAAAAAAAAACTTGATAAAAAAAACAGTGTCCACACAAAAGCGGCGAGCCAAACAGCACATCATCATACCTAGAATACACTGCAAGCACGGCCAAAAATAACAGAGTTTAAGTGCAGTCCTGAGTTTTCTCATCTTTGGGATAGCAGAAAAAATCCCTTCAAAGTGCTGACTGGGGGTTCATTTGAATAAAGTTACAGAAGGATCAGTTTTGAAAAAGAAAAAGCAATTGCAGTTCGTTTTCTATATTGTTAATTTTATTTATGAGTCGAGAAGTGCAGGTACATGCATTTCTGTTGATCTAGTTTCATTTGAATTGTGGTACAAATGTGCTTCCATACACGTTCAGGATGTGACGCAACGTAAAAACACGAGCGACGGCGTCTCATTGGCCGAGGCTTCAAAACGTTGATGACCGTTGTATGTTTTGAGGACTGATGAACCGAAGGAGAGGACCCCGTCGCATGTGAGTATAATGGCTCTCGTTTGACGTTCATTTCGCTCAACTGTAGAACTTGGATACAAACAGAGGTCCTATTCAGCTGTTTTAAAAACTTAATGTCACTTACACTTCGAGAGCAGAGACGGTCTTCCACAGTTTTCTTTCCTGGCTAGCTACAAGCTAGCTTACTCCATGGGTGTCCTCAGATTTTGGTCACGGTCCCTTTTAGCTGTTCATATCTACTGCCTTGATTTAAATGTTACCAGCCACAAAGAACTGGAAAATTTTAGTAGTTGTTCTCTTTGTTTAGCCACTTAAAAAGCAATCCAGCCCAGATATTGTTAGCATTACTCTAATTCAGTGATGACATTAATATTAGGCTGACTTAAAATGTAGGTTAAATCACATTTCTACGAGGTTACACTTTATGTGAAACGATGAAGACGTCGAGATGGATTTGTTAAAGGAAGTAAACGTTAAAAACTACACTCAACCGTTGGCTGTTGGCCCTGGTGTTTGTGAATTAAAAATTACATTTAATGAGACTCCTTTGTATGAAAAGTGGCATATTTTGCTCCACATGAATGCATATTGGCTTAATTGAATGTATGCAAATGGAACCAAAGCACAAGGATGCTATCTGCTCAGTTGCACAGTTTGTACTACATTTAAAACCGTCAGGTCTTCTTTGTTAATTACTAAATTTCTATTTTTTTCACTTGCACAGGTTTAGCAGGTGCAAAAGCTGCACAGTCCTTTAATGAATTAGACCCAGAATAAGTCATTGTTTTCCGAAGCATCTAGGCTTTAATGACTGGTTGAGCTTCAGTTTTGGAGATGCCCTGACCCATTCATTTTATGTTACAATTCAGCGCCTGTCAATACAGCTTAGATTTTTATGCCTCCTTTATTCTTTGTCTGCGAACACATCAGATTCAAGGGCAATAATGCGCTTTATGTATAACGTAGGTGTTCTTGTCACATAATGATCAATGAGATCCACTTCACCTATCAGAAGTCATAATGTTATGGCTGATCTTTTGCAGTAGAGGTCTAAAAGAACTGGTATTTTTTCTATTTGTACATGTTATATAACTAATCTCTTTGCATTACCAGCTCTCACACTCATAGGAGAGGTGCACCATCAGGAGGAGAATGGAGACAGAGGAAAGAAGAGCCATGGCGAGTCCAGAGCAAAGCACAGGTGAGAGATGTGGAGGAGGATGACAGTAGTCAACTACAACTTGACTACACAGTGCCAAGGGGAACATGCCAGACCATGTGCCCCACCGGTGAGCTGCGGGATCGTGAGGCCCAGAACCGCTTGCATCGATTTGAGATGTTAGCTGGTACTGAAAAAGATAAGCGGCCAAAAGGAGACCCTTTACGTGCTGTCAAAGAGTATTCCAGACCAGCCGCCGGTAAAGACTCAACAAAACCCAGTGACCTCCGTCCACCTGCTGTGTTGCGGAAAACTGTGTGTTACCTCATTGATGATGTGGCTGCAGCCTCAGATTTACATCCTTGGACAGAGGTGAGTAATAATTCATCATCTTTTGCCATGTCTGCCAATTTTTAACAAACCTTTATGGAAAAAAAAAAAAGTTTGATCATAAGAGACTTCAAATCAATGTTGAGGAATTCTTACCCAACACTTTTAACTTTCAGCTTGTCTGCTCTCATGGAAAGTTAAACATGTCTTGTGTTTTCTTTTGTTTTTACCATATAGGCAATTAGCCAGTAAAACATTAAATAAACCTTCTTTATGGAAAACAAGCTTTTTGAGAAGTCTGTTCTTTAGATGACCAAGACAACCATACAAAAATGAATAAACATTTGGCTTTTATTCAGAGTAGAACTTCACCTCAAAAGCAGCAGGTCCATGTTCTGGTACTTAAAAACAGACAACCTTGAGTTTTAGTTTGTACAACTGACACTGATAGTGTTTTACTAACTTTGTAAGAACTAGTTAATACTAAATATGCAATCATGAACGCATTAAAAAAAAATCTTCTTAAGGTAACCACAGTGTTACTTGTCTTTCAGGTGTACAACTTTGTCTTTGATCGACTGCGTGGTGTGAAACAGGACATGATCATCCAGAGGGTATCTGGGTTGGACTGTGTGGCCATCTTAGAGCCGACAGTGCGCTTTCTTATATACTCCTCTTACCGGCTTTGTGGTGAGCCCCTGCGGCTCTATGACCCACGCATCAACGACACACACCTACAGGAGTACCTGAGCTGGCTGTTGGATTGTTACAAAACTGAAACAGGGTCGCATCCCAATCAGGAGGAGTTCCAGGCTCTTGGTCTGCTGTACAATTTAGGTCGGTTTCTGTGTGTAGTATTACAGGGTTTCTTTTTGCTGTATTTGCATGTGTGTCATGGCAGGATAACATGCTTGACTGTTAAGAAGTAATTTCCCAAAACTGTGTGAGACACACTGCCGTCCTCTTATTTTGCATGACAGCCGTGTAACAAACTATTGAGGCGTATGTGGTGGAGGTGCCATCAAAAAACTACAGTCTAGCAACAACACTGCTGCAGAGCTGCAGCTGTATCTACTTTAATCTACGATTATCTGTTTTATTTATTTAATCTGCCATTGCCAGCAGAGACAGTCACACCAGTTGAGTGTAAATATCACAATCAAAGGAAGGAATAACTGTGGCCAAGATATTGTTCATCACTTTCTCTGCTCTTAATGGATAACATGATTTTCTAAGAAGTCCTCATCACGTGTAAAAGCAGTGTGGGGTAAGGAGTGTATGCTGCAGCAGGAGAAGTATAATTTCTTCTCCCTTATTTCCCTCAGGTTCAGCAAAAGTCACACAACACATCATGGAGCTCCCTGAGCGGCTGCGCAGGTCCTCCACCATCACGCTCGCCATGTCCATCAATCGAGCCTTCTGTGAGAGAAACCCTGTACGCTTGCTGAGATTGTCTCAGCGGCTGAACTTCTTGGAGAGCTGTGCTCTGCACCATCACTTGGTGGCGTGTCGTAGAGATCTACTGCTTATATACAGTCATGGACACAACAGCCGCAACTGTCGCTTTCCTCTCGACAGATTGGCTCAGCTCATGTCATTGGACAAGTCACTTGCCGCCCAAATGTGTCGGATGTATGGCGTGGAGGTTAACCAGGACAGCCAAGTGGTTTTCTCCAAGGCTGCTTTTACTGAGCCTGAACAAGGAAAGGAGCACTGCAAACTGTTTCACAACATAGTGGCTGAGAAACAGAGAGACCTCACTGTTGGGAGGATCATTCATGGTTGTTCTTAAGGCAAAAAATTTAATGTAAAAAGTTAAGTACACAAAGAATTGTGTCTTGTATTTTGTAGAAGGAATTTTTTGTTTGTTCCACAGTGAGACACTTTACCAGTGTTCCTTTCTACTACTGTTACCTTATTCTTTTGATTTCAGCTTCGGGGCTTCCCTGAAGAATGCCAGTGTGTTTTACACATAACAGTCTTTTTATTATAGAAATATTCAAAACTGCAAGGTCCGGGCTACTGAGTCGGAGAGCAGAGTGCCTGGTTGTGTTGCTCTCTGCTTCTGGGTGTGTTTTCTTCATTGTCCTGATACAAGCTGTGCCTCATTTACTTCAAATGTGAAAAGCTTAATGTTGATATTGGCTCTTAAACAATGTTGATAGTGTTTTATTTATGCAGTGATTTTCTTAAAAATACTCCGAAAACGTACTTTGCAAGAGTTGATTTATACGGTGGCTGAGAACCGCCACTGCTGCAAATAAAAAAGAATGCAAAAAAAAAAAAAAAGCCATAATGGTAGTTAAAAATTTTTTACTTACTACAAAAATAAAAGGATGCAAATAAAAAAAGCCACAACGGATGTAAGCTGCTGGGGACCAATAATGATGATACACAGGCTTTGGTTTCTGTTTTTTGTTGTTGTTGTGTTGTTAACGTTTGTGGCTTTTTTTAAAAATCTGCACCATTTCTTTTATTATTTGCAGTGGGCTTTGTTTTTTTTTTCCATTGGTAACTCCCATTATGGCTTCTTTTCTTTTTTTTTTTTTTTGCATTCTTTTATATTTGCAGCAGTGGTGGTTCTCGGCCACCGTAAATTTAAGCTCAGCAGTGCAATACCTCAGATGCATTTCAATAAACTGTTTTATTTTCGAGAGATGATTTCCCTGATCCTTTATTGCATTTCAAAGTGCTTACCACACGAGGGCAGCAGATAGCTGTAGGAGGCGTAAACGGAAGTAAATGACGCAAAAAAATTAAATTGGCGATGCAAAAAAGAAAAAAAAAAAGTCACTTACTGCGAAAATAAAAGGATGCAAATAAAAAAAAAGCCACAATGGAAGTGAGCTGCTGGGGACTATTAATAAAAAGAAGTAAGGGGTCTGCATACTTATTTCTATGAGTAAAGCTACCGAACTCGATTCTACTCTCGTGGGTGGTCTTTCGGGCCGTAGTGGGTTTCCCGTGCTAGCCAAAGCGAACACTACATCGGTATCCTCCAGTTCAACTTCATATCGACTCAGGCGCTACATGGCCTGACCAAATGACACATTGAAAAGTTTACAAAGCGAAATTAAACAAAAACCTTTCCACTGACTTCTTTGCTCATCATCATTATTGGTCCTCAAGAGCTCACTTCCATTGTGGCTTTTTTTATTTGCATCCTTTTATTTTCGCAGTAACTTTTTTTTTTTTTTTTTGCGTTGTTATGGCTTTTTTTTTATTTGCATACTTTTATCTTCACAGTAAGTAACTATTTCTTTTTTTATTATTATTATTCTTATTATTTTCGTTTTTGTCGTCAACTTCCATTGTGGCTTTTTAAAAAAAAATCCTCACCATTTCTATTATTATTCGCAGCAGGCCTTTTTTTTTTTTGTTTGTTTGTTTGTTTGTTTGTTTTTTGTTCCTTTTTCTACCGGTAAATTCCGTAGTGGCGTCTTTTTTTTTTTTTTTTTTTTTTTTTTTTTGCATTCTTTTTTTATTTGCAGCACTGGCGGTTCTCGGCCCCCGTAGCGTTACGCTCAGCAATGCAATACCTCAGATACATTTCAATAAATTGTTTTTTTTTCTAGATGATTTCTTTCATCCTTTATTGCATTTCAAATTGTGTACCACACGAGGGCAGCAAATAGCTATAGGAGGCGTAAAGGCTATCAAACCAAAACAAAATAACAGATTAGATTTCTTTTAAAGTGTCCAACTGTGAATTTTCTGGTCTTTAAGACCATAGTTTACATCTTACCGACTTTGTGCTGTTGTCCAGTGCAAAATGAAGTCCGTGTACTGGGAAGACTTTTGGAGATGTCAGCTGAAGCCAAAGTATGTAAACTGTGCAGGTAATTTATGGTGGTTTGAGTGAGACACTGGGGTTAGTCATGCTCTCGCTCCACACTGTGAGGAGGTATTGACGTGAATGGAGCGGAGCCTGACGCCGATCGCCTCTTGATCCGCTGCTGCTGCAGGAGAGCGGAAAAAAGGGATCCGGAGACTGGAAAGAGATCACCGGGGACGATCGGGGAAAGCAAGAGTTGCACGGAATTTACTTGTCAAACATTGCGTTTCTGTGACATTTCTGCTCGCTGAAGTGGGAGGACGCTTGCAATTTGTAATGCTGAAATATGAGAAAACGGAACCGGGGCGGGTGAAGGCACATGGGAGAGGACTGTCTGTGTACTCTGGGCTCTAAGAGGAAAAAAAACACGATTTGCTTGGAAGTGGATTTGGCGAAGTGGGATGATTACAAAAAGCTGATCTTCTGCTCCGGGCGAAGCTCTGCACACCTACCACGTTACCCAACCTCAATGGATAGATAGACTCAAGCTGTAGATCCAGACTGTTGAGGTTTCATTTAAGTTTGCTGCAGAGTTGGAAGATCCAACTCTCTTCCAAGGGGGAGAGCCGATATTCAGCATTGTCTCGGCCACTGGAGCCAAAATGTTGCGGGTGTCGTTGACAGCTTTGAGTCTTTCGTGGACTTTGTTCATCTGCAACGTGGGCAGAACCTATGCACAAGAAAGACAGTAAGTAGCTCACGGTTGCATGCGTTTTCTTTGAAGGCTGGTGAGGTGCTTTAAACCCACAACAAGCACTTCCGATACTCAAAAACAAGAGTTGTATGGCATGAAAGCACCAATTCAGCTGCAAAGATTTGAATAAAATGGAAATAAACATTGATCATTCAATGCATGAGCAGTTTAAGACATCAGCTTTCATACAGGCAGCATGCAATGTGATCATTAATTCTTATATTCTATTGCTAAATGGGGTTTTTGGCCATTTTATGTTATTACCATAAGTCACACTGTACTACATCCTTTACTTTTATGTTCTTTATGAATCATTAAACCTACTAAAAGATCATCTGATAGGTAGCCTGCTCTGTGATTTTATTTTGAAAGGCTGTGAGCTGGACTGTGTGCAGCTTTTGGAATAGTTTTCTCATGTCAATTAAGATAATGATAGATATTCAAGGTAGATTTGTGTGCATGATAGCAGGCTGTTTCATTCTGTTTATCCCTCCACACCCAGAGGCAAAGGAGGTTAAATTGACTTTTGGCATTTTGGTGCCATCAGTCAGACTGCTGTCAGCTGCTTGGGAGCTTAATCCCGAGCTGAGAGTTGTGATTATAACCATGAGTTGTCAACAGTTCTTCCAGGTAATCAAGGCAAGAGGGATCACTAACAAATGTAGATGTATTTTATCAAGTGTTTATCAGGTGGGCCAAGGGTGAAATTTGGACAAAAAGCAAAAGGCTAAAAGCCCATGTGACTGAACTAAAAATGAACTGACAGAAGAGAACACAAATTCTTCTCAGGCTCTGAGCAGCTCTTAGCTGAGGACAAAAGTTGGCGAAAAAACAATGAGAACTTGAGTACATCGAGCCATGTGACTGAAATAAGCATGGTCTCCACCACCTGATCTGGGCTCATCCAAGATCTGGTTAAACTCACTGTAGATCAAACACACAAAGTCAATTTCCTCGTATTATCTTCCTTCTCCTGAAGCCTTATTTTCCAGGGGATTTTCTCATGACTTTCTGTCTCAGGAACTGCAGTTGCCTCCGGCTCAAATGCTGTAGTGCTGTAATGCCAACCACCTGATCCTTCTCTCAGGCATGCGATTGGGTTTGTTCTCAAGGCTTTGCTCAGTTCTAATTTGTGTGATCTTCAGTTAAGTTAAGGCAGTGAGCAAGCCTATTTGCCTCAAAAATAAGAGTTGGAATGTGTAGGCTGAAACAACCATCTGATATTTGGGTCTGCTTACAGTGGGCATTTTCTCATATCGACACATCCTTGCAAATATGATTGAGTAATTGATACTTAGCTGTTTTATCGATCAATCATTTTTATTCATATAAAGCCAAATCACCACAAATTTATCCCAAAATGAATTTACATACACACAGGGTTCTGTTTGTTAGATTTGAAGATACCAAACATCAATCCACCAATGAGCAAGGACTTGGCAACAATAGCAAGGACAACTTTTAACAGGCAGAAACCTCAAGCAGGACCAGACTCACTGGTGAAGAGCCACCAGTGACCCACCGGTGACAGCGCCCTTCAGCAGCACCCATCATTACTCTCTTGCAACCTGAGAGACATTGCCCTCTGCACTAGGAGATACATTCTTTCATCCAAATAAAACTTCATTTGTTTTTTTCCAGACCTTTGATAAGCATCAAAGAATGACCTTTGCTCTGTGACCTCAATGACAGGCCCCCTTCCCTCAATTAAATGTCAGAGTGACTGCGTGGAATCTCGGTCGTTATTTTTCAAAACAGACGCCAAGGTTCTGTCAGAGGTGCCAGACCACCCAAAGAGAACACTCGAGCAGAAAGCTCATTGGCCAACAGGTACTGTGTCCCTGGTAACCATTGCAATTAAACCTGATCCTGCCACACAAATCCATGAGGAATGTCCCTGTTTGTATGTGTGTTTTGCTGCGTATGCGTACATGTGGATGTGTGTGCAGGTCAGGGAGGAAATGAGAAAACAGCAAGTGAGATAAGTGAATGCACACCCAGCACATTTCTATGAACTCTTGTAAAACAGATTCGTCATTGAAATCACTTCAGATCTATGATTGTGTACACTAGGGTACAATAATGTGTTAACTGCAGCCTTAATAGTGCACCACAATGCAGAGCACTATGGTTATGTTTGTGTATTTGTTCTCTGACCTCTCCTTTATCTCTTGCTACCAACTCAAACTCAGCTACGTCAACTTTTTTTCCTCCTCAGCATTCTTTATTGTTCGTTACGTCAATCTCAACCTCCTCCCCCACACTCTCTTTCTTTTTATCTCCCCACTGTCCTCCTACCTTCACCCTTTTCCCCTCTCAGGGGTTATCTGGTCGCTGCCCCCTCTGTGTTCCGAGCAGGCGTGGAGGAGAGTGTGAGCGTAACCATCTTTAATGCAAAAGCAGAAACACGCGTCCAGGTGCAGCTGGCAGTGAAAGGGCAGGCGGTCGCCCACAGCCACGGCTCAGTGCTTGGTGAGAACCAATTTTTACCTCCGCCAAGGAGGTTTTGTTTTCGGTAGCATTTGTTTGTTTGTTTGTTTGTTTGTTTGTTTGTCTGTTAGCAACTTATAGACGGATTGACCTGAAATTTTCACCAGAGGTACGTCTCAGCACCAGGAGGATTCCATTAAATTTTGGTTGTGATCTGGACAAAATTCTGGATACTGTGATCCAGAACACACAAAAATAAGGGTGTCGTTGAAATTTTCAATGCTGAAAGATAACCAATGGGCGGCAAAGTGGTGTAGATAGGCGGTACAGTGGTGTAGTGGTTAGCACTGTCGCCTCACAACCAGAAGTTCCTGGGTTCGAATCTGGGTCAGGGCATTTCTTGTTTTAGGAACATTATGAACAGTGAACATACCAGTTTAAACACAAATAAAAGTTAATAAAAGACACGTAACAGTAAAAGTTTTGGTGTGAATCACAATATAAGGGGAGACATGAGCTGCTTGGCGGAGGTCTGTGCTCTCCGAGTGCTTTTCTACTTAGTCTTAGGTTACCGTGGCACAGACCATATCTCGGCCAATTTTTACATTGCGTGTCTAGTTTGACAGCGCCATTGATAATTGGTAGTCCAGCCATAGACTGATATTTCTCAGAGCCAGTGGATGATGCAGCAAAAGATTTCTGAAAGCTGAGATACAAGTCACCACAGCTATTAAAGCAGCATTGACACTTTGCTCATTAAATCATCTCATTTTTCCTCTTTTTTTCTGTTTTTTAGATAAAGGCACCATCAAACTAAAGGTGAGTTTAATTGTGTTTACATAGCGCCGTAGTGAAGTGCATGCACGCTTCTTTCCAGAGATGTTGAGAGTGCATGGCACTGTTAAACTATGACAGCTGCACAGTAGTGAGAGCCCTGTTGTCCGTTGTGCACATTCCTCAGGCAACATGCAAATCAACACTAACATTATTTGTAATGCAACATCTGTCTCTGCTCATTCATTGGGAATAAGGTAACAGCCTCAATATAATATGCAACAGCTGTTGACGTGCATGTATGGTCCGCCGCCCCCGAAGGCTGGAATAGATCAATCTAGTATACACAACTTGATTCTTACCCTCTGTCTCTCCCTCTTCTCTTCCTTCCCTGTAACCTCCGCCCTCATTCTCATGAAATACAGTAATGTGTAGTGTGCTGTGTTATAGCTTGGCGTCTGTCTCTTGTGATTTCTTTCCTCATGCTGTAGCCTACCCTCCATAAAAGTATAAATCCAGATTAATAATAACGAGCAATTAAAAGCAGCATTAAGTAAACAGTTAAATACTTGTCTCCTCACTTACTTGTAGCTTGTCATCATCTCTGTTGTATTTTGTTTGTGTTTGTGCGGGCGTGTTTGTATGTCACCAGGTTCCCTCCGGTTTAAGAGGCCAGGCCCACCTGAAGGTATGGGGGAACCGACACCTCACAGAAGGAGGCTACATCTTCCACAACTACACCACTGTCACAGTGGAGAGCAAGGGCACGGCTGTCTTCATCCAGACTGACAAACCTGTCTACAAACCCAAACATAAAGGTTCCCTCATTGTGCACCTGGTAGTTTATTTGATAATCATGGTATAGAAACGCAGACAGCTACGGCTCACTTTAAAGGTTTTGTTGAACAGATTGAATCTGAACAGGGGTCATGTTGTAGCTGAAGACAAACATGGTAGAAATAGCTGGGATTGAATGATGCTGATCTTAGCGTTCATTTGGATTCTCCAGTTAAATCCATCAAATCACTTCAGACTTTCAGTCAATTCAATACGGTAGCGCGGAACTTTTTTTTTTCCAGAGTTTGATCCTTGGTGGACCAGAGACTCATTAATCAGAACAGGATTTTTTTTGTGCATCAAGACTTTTCTTTTGCTGTATTTCACAATAGTTTGTCTCTACTTCTGTTTTTAGTGCTCATCAACGTCTACACAGTCACCCCCAACCTGAGGCCAGTGAATGATAAGGTAATCCGAAAGTTATGTCTCTTTGTGTATTCAATTTTGAAAATGAAGCGGCACAATTTACAACACAGATATACTTTTCCATCTCTAATTGCTACAATTAAGAAGTGAAATGCAGTCTGCTGTGAGTGCTGCAAATGTACAGTTACCTGTTTACAGGAGCCAAGCGAGAGTCATTTCTCAAGGAATGCCAGCAGGGCTCCAAATATACTGTGAAAGTGTGCAGACAGACGCTTTATTGATGTTTGCAGCTATAAACGTCTTCTGTTGGTAAAGGCTGATACTCACTTTCACAGATGGAGGATTGTTACATAAGGCAGAAGTTGTAAGAAAGATCAAGCGAGGACTCAGTCGGAGGTTCAGGGTCATTTTTAGGCTATACAGTTTGCAGTGATATTGAAACATTTGTCTTGTTTTCTTTTCTTTTTTTCCAGGTCGAGGCGTATGTTTTGGTGAGTGGAAGCCAGTAGGACCACCCAGGGAACAGTGGCAATTTTAGTTCCCAGCCTGGTAGGAGATTACAAAGCAGAAGTCAGGGCAGCTCACCTAGATAACAGGGTGCTCTTTGGAACAGTGCGAGGATAAACAACATGAAAGGAACCTCCTCTTTTCTCTTGTCCTCTCTTAGCTTTGCATTTATCAGTGCTCTCAAACCCACACACACACTGTTTGTCCTTACCTCACACTTCCCACCTTTGTTTTTTTGTTGTATCTGAGAGATCTTTTGATATTTAATTGGCAAATAACAGGCTGCTGGTCCCTCTTAAGAAGCAAACGGGGTTTGACGCCTATTTTACAGCTTCTGATAAGCACAGCAGTGTTGCCTATGTGTCACTTGAAGTGAAGATGTAGAAGTATTTTGATAGAAGAAACATCTCAAGGACAAGTTCAGTTCAAGTTATGTCAGACCTGTGTAACCACCACATGCAAACAAACAGTTTACCAACAGTTAATAAACTCTTAAATGTGATGTCTTCACACTCATCTCTCTTCTCTCTCAGGATCCAAGAGGATCCAGGATGGTTCAGTGGAAAGGTCTAAAATCTATCTGCTGTGGTGAGTCACATTTTGTTCAACCTGTCCTCATCTTCATCATTTATACCAGTGGTTCTCAAGTCCAGTCCTCGAGCCCCCCCGTCCTGCATGTTTTGGATGTTTCCCGGCTCCAACACACCTGATTCAAATGATCAGCTCGTTATCAAGCTCTGTAATGGCTTAATAACGAGCTAATCATTTGAATCAGGTGTGTTGGAGCAGGGAAACATCCAAAACATGCAGGACGGGGGGGGGGGTCCTCGAGGACTGGACTTGAGAACCACTGATTTATACACAGCCAAAAGTTTAAAACTAGATTTTTATTGTAACAATAAGAAAGTAGAGCTTCTGCCTTTTCAGACATGTACTATAATTCTGTGACTCCTTGTTTAATTTACTTTAAAACACTGAAAAGGCCACACTGCGTTGTTCTTTTTGAAACTTTTGTAGTTGTTCTATCAGCTGTTAAATAAGGTATTACACATCTAGTTTATGAACAGCATATATGGCATGTAAGTATTTAAGAAGTTAACTATGTCTGTTTGTTCTGCAGGTGTTGTGAACATGAGCTTCCCTCTGTCGGACCAGCCTGTTCTTGGGGAGTGGTTTATCTTTGTGGAAGTGCAGGGACACACATATAACAAGTCGTTTGAAGTGCAGAAATATGGTGAGCCTCTGTGTATTACATTGCCTTGTTTTTATCATTTTCTTTCTGTAATATGATTATGTGTTATTTGATAGTTGTCAGACAGCTTCTTGTGAGGGGTACAAAAAGTAATCCAACCAAAATAGCAATAAAAAATAGTAGAATATGTAACTGAAGCAACATTTTGTTCTCTCCCTCACAGTGATGCCAAAGTTTGAGTTGGTGATTGATCCACCACAGTATATAAGTGATCTGAACTCATGTCAGCAGGCTTCTGTCAGAGCAAGGTGAGCCACCTAAAACTCATCTAAAAGATATTAAACCAAAGTCCTACTTGTCTTTGCTGTGAGGACTCTTCTTCGGTCTGTGATCTATCATATAATGTTTGATATCCTTCATCCTGCTTAAAATTGTTTCTTGGGGGGCGCGCAGATGGCCGAGCTGGTTAGCGCGCCCCACGTATGGGGACCATGGTCCCTGCAGCAGTCGTGGGCTTGAGTCCGGCCCCAAGCATGTGCTGCATGTCCTCCCCCATCTCTCTTTATCTCCCCATATTTCCAATCTGTCCTATCAATAAAGGGCAAAAAATTGCTAAAAAAAATACTTAGAAAACAAATAAAAACTGTTCGTTGACGTACCAACAATCAATGTCTCTTCGGATGTTGAAGTCTGATCTGTCAATGTCACACAGGTATACATTTGGGAAACCAGTCACAGGGAAGCTGACAGTGAATATGACAGTGAATGGAGTGGGCTACTACCGTCATGAGATGGGCCATCCTGTCATCAAAACAATGGAGGTCAGTTTAACTACTATCCAGATATCATCACACAGCTAATTAATTTGTTGAATTTCTGTCATCCCCAAAAGTACTATTATCATGCGTGCATTGCCCATAATTATTACTATGTGTGGCCCAAACACAGGCATTAGCATTATGTTCTGCACACACACATACGATAACAGATCACTCCTCTGTTGTTCTCAGATCAAAGGCTCTGCAAACTTCAGCCTGTGTGTCAAAGACATGATGCCTGTGGATGTAGCTGATCACTTCAGGGGCACTGTGAGCATTTGGGCGTCAGTAACCAGCGTAGATGGGAGTAGACAAACCACATTTGATGATTCAACACCCGTCCACAAACAGCTCATTGACATTAAGTACTCAAAGGACACTCGTAAACAGTTCAAGCCTGGTCTGCCGTACAAAGGGAAGGTAAGACTGTTTGACACAAATGTTACACTTAATAAAAAAATCAGTTTGAATATTTTCTAGCTGATAGATATGGATAAATTTGGCAAATGTAATATGATATCTACCCAGTTTTCTGCTTTATTCATTTTCTTAATCAATATTTATGAACCCTCTCCTTTTAGATTGAAGTGACCTACCCTGATGGGAGTCCTGCTGATGGTGTGAAGGTGCGAGTCAAAGCAGAGCTGACCCCCAAGGATAATGTCTACACTAGTGAACTGATCTCCAAGGATGGCCAGGCCATCTTTGAAATCCCCTCAATCCCCACTGCTGCCCAGTATGTCTGGTTAGAGGTCAGTGACTGTACTGGTAGGAAGAGGAGTTTTTTTTTTCCACATATCTTGATGAACTTCTTCAAATCTTATTTCCTTTTGCTCGTCATAGACCAAAGTGACATCCATTGATGGAAAGGCAGTAGGAGATCGGTACCTGCCCAGCTACCTGTCCATAAGTAGCTGGTACTCTCCCAGCAGGTGTCACATCCAGATTCAGAGCCCCAGCACTCCGCTTAAGGTAGGTGCAGCACCAATGTAGTTTCTAATGTTTAGCCTGTAGGTTAAGACTTTTTTCCCCTCTGAAAATAATCCAAAAATACATCTAAATATTACGATGTCTTCATTTACAAAGCCATTGCATCTGTATCCTCTTGCATGCACAGGTCGGCCAAGAAGCAGAAGTCGCTCTCAAATCGACATGTCCCTGTAACTTCACCCTACACTATGAGGTGACATCTCGGGGGAACATCATCCTGTCAGGCCAACAACCTGCCAACCTGACAGCCTCACACCGAGGAAAAAGGGCCACAGTCATCTTTGACAAGAACATACACGCCACCCAGTTGCCTCCCTCTGCCTCTGGTGAGTGCATTTCTATCCTTCATGTTTTTAATGGATACAAAACTCACTTTTAGGACGTTGGATGTTTGTTTTATCTGCATGGCCATGTGCTAGAAGTTTAAATATTTTTGCAATATGTCTTGGGAGATTTCTTCAGTGTTTCATTCAGCCAATAGCAGATCAACTCTTATCAAAGCACAGCAGAACATTCCTCATGGTTCTCCTCCTTTTTTTTGATAACAATGTCATTAACAACCCGTTTGCCATCGCTCTGCCAGGTGTTGCAGGCTCCTCCTCGCAGGCTGAGATGGACAGCTGTGTGTCATTTCTGCGTTTCCCGGTTAGCCACAGCATGGCACCCCTCAGTCGTCTCCTGGTCTACTATGTGAGAGAAAACGGAGAAGGTGTTACAGATAGTCTTCAAGTCCCTATCCAGCCTGCCTTCGAGAACCAGGTTTGAAACAGATAGTTTTAGTGTTCTTGATATAAATAAAGTCTGTGGTCTCATTCCCTACAGAAGTGTTTTTTACTGATTTGTGATTTCATTTTCCTTAACATGGTAAGAAGAGTATCCACCATCCTCCTTTGAACATAAATTCTTCTAGCGAGAGGTGTTTTCTTCTTCTTAGCCTTTTTTACTCTAATTTAAAGACCAATAAAACAGTAAACCGATGATATCTGTGAGAGGGTTCCTTGCACAAACATTTATGTTGGAAATAAATGTGTTATTATAAAATAAATGTTTATGTAATGATTAATAAAAACTTGGCATAGTGTGTATATATATTTTGGAGGTGAGCCGAAGTATCTATGCACTAGCTCTGTCCACAGTGTAATGTCTGTAAACAAACAGCTGTGTTGGCCTGGGAGAGCTTCTCAGTTCCTGCCTGCATTAGGTGGAGTTAACTCCCTGAAGTATTTACTGCTCCCTGGTATGCCATTACAACACTCTTTCTGTGTGTGTGTGTCTGTGTGTGTGTGCGTGTGTGTGTTTGTGTGGAGGAGGGGGATGTGAGGGCATGATTAGACAGAGGCCGTGCAGGCTGCAGGCAGATGAGTGGGGTTGTGACAGAAGAGGATGACAGGTTACGGAGTGGTGAAAGGAGGGCAGCGGAACCGATTAACGGGGCTAATTTGTGACTGCAGGTTGCTGAAAAACAGTTCTGATGTGTGAAAGTTTACGGCCGACTCTCACCATCCCTCCTCCTGTCAAAGCCTCTAGTTTTCCACTCTGTCCTCAAGTTTCCCACCATGTAGTGGCTCTATAGTTTAGAGCTGTAGGATTAATGTTCTTCCTTTGTCTAATATATACACTTACTTCCAATGAAGTATTAAGCAACACTGCCAACTAGTGCTGAAACATTTAGTTATTAAAACGATGAGCAGATAGACATGATACAGGATGAACAAGTACAATCTTTTATTTACAGTCTTCTTATTCTTGCCTCTTACTGTGACCATCACCATCTTGACTGTAACTGCCGGATAAGATATACAATCTAATCATGACTACCATGATGTTTTCAGGTTTTTCTAACAGTAATCACAGTTACGCTTAGAATAATATGTTTTTTCTTGTTGTTGTTGTTTTTAGGTGTCTGTTACTCAGTCAACCAACGAGTCCATGCCAGGAGACCCCATCACCCTACATGTGCGAGGAGAAAAAGGCTCCTGTGTGTGTGTGGCCACTGTGGATAAGAGCCTCTATCTGTTAAAGCCTGATTTCCAAATGAGTCCAGATAAGGTTGGTCCCAAATTATCTGCGACAGTTAATCTCCATTATTTCTCCTAATGAAAAAGATCTGGTGTTTAAGTAGTATCATTTCTTTCTATGCTTAAAGTCCATTTTCATATGTTTGCTTGTTTTATTGTATTTCTTTGCTAAGTCTGTAGAAGTAAAAGGTGATAATTGTAGGTGGATACACATGTAAGACTAAGGATGTAACTTTTGTTATATCAAAGTCGAGCTCTTCTACTATACCAGGCTTTGTTTGTGTTTTCTCTGCGCAGGTGTTTAAAGAACTGGCAGAATTTGACGTTTCAGATGCCTTCGGCATTCCTAAAGATGACGGACACTTCTGGTGGCCTGGGCTGTCGTCAAAGAGACGCAGGCGTTCTTCTGTGTTCCCCTGGCACTGGGACATTACTAAAGACGCACGCTTCGCTTTCACGGTAAGAACACACACTTCGATAAAAAAAAATCCTATAACAATGCTACAAGGATGAAAAAATGTAATTTCTGTGTGAGTGTGTGTACATTATTTTTGTCTGTGTATTTAACTCAGGAAACAGGGCTGGTTGTGATGACAGATATGGTGAGTTTAAACCACCGGCAGAGTGGAGGGATGTACACAGATGAGGCTGTTCCAGCTTTCCAGCCCCACAGCTCCACCTTGGTGGCTGCCATGCACTCTCGTCCCACAGCCAGGTATGCAAACTCTTACAGAGACATACACTACACTGTAAAATCTCAACAAACACAAGTATTGTCGATCTCACTGTGCTGTAGCTCTTTGGAAAGATTTCTTCTTAAATCAATAGCTTATTAAAATGAGCATTTTCTGTCTCTCTGCTAATTGAAGGCTGCTGTTTTGAATGTGCTACTATTTAAATGACCCTGTCACTTATCCCACTACATTCACTGTGAAAGGACCACACGCAGCTTAATTGGGAGGTTCTCATCTGAAAACAATGAGTTTGAAAACAAACCCATGACAGAGCAGTAATTACCTAATGCTCTCGGGAATCATTATGTTCTAGTAATACACATCTCAGTATTTGTCATGCTTGGGTTGAACAATGTCTCTGAAATGAGTAATGTACAAGCTGAGAAAAACATGACAAAAGAAATTAGCTTTGTTGTTTTGTCCTTGTTTTAGATCTGCATTCCTCAATGCCACGAACACCTCTTACTCTGGTGATAAACATTAAACACATGATGTGACTCAGAGATTGTCAGTGTGGAATTCAGAATAATACATTTTCCAATTAAGATGTTGTTTTTATTGTGAGCAGCTGAGGCCTTTTATTGATGTCAGCTTGGGTTTTTGGTTGCAGAGCAGAGAAGCGTAGGCGTACATTTTTCCCAGAGACTTGGGTGTGGCACTGCCTCAATGTCAGGTATTTTAACTTTTATATAAATATTTTTCTTGTCTCTGTGTGTATGTGTGTGTGTGTCTGTCTGTCTGTGCATGTGCATGTGCATGTTGCATGCCTAAGGCTAGAAATATCAGGTACACCAGATTGTCTGCAACAACACAGGATTTAATCACCGACTAAAGTATTTAGGAGTGAGAGAACTGTAAGAGAGGAGAAAAGAGGAGAGGAAAGTTTAAAAAAAAAACTTGAAAGAGAGAGATGAAAGAGGGACAGGAGCCAAAAAAACAAGGGGGTAAAGCGGGCATGACACAGGGTTAGAAAGAGGAGAGAAAGAATAAAGACAAAAAATAATACGAAGAAAGGTCTTTAGGAAAATGTGAGATAAGGATATCAAAACAGGGGTGCTGGTAAGGACAGATTGAATGTTAGAGAGAAGACAGGAATGAGAAAGGAGAGCAAAGATCCAAGTGCAGCAAGAGGAAAGATCCATCACCCCAGCAGAGTCCAGCATTTCCTCACCTCTTGGTGTAAATGTGCCTCGTTTAACTTGGGCGATCTTGGAACAAACTGTCACCCTCTCAGCAGCTCTCTCCATTTATTTGATGCCAGTATAAATGAACTACCCATAGATTTCCATATGCTTGATTCCCTTGGATGGGACTTCTGCTTTGCCTTATTTCCTGTCAAGTGCAAAGCTCTGATTTCCCTTAAAAGTCTATTAAAGTGGATTTTTGGGCAACTTTGATCAAAAGAAAGGGTGTTCATGGAGTTCTTCAAGTTTATTATGCCCTTAGACAGTTTGCCAACACCAACACTAAATATGTGTTGCCAATAATGATCTCAGCTCGTTTGAATCAAAGAAACAGATTGGGTCAGCACCTGACTGTCCCTCCTGCATGTCCATTTGAAAGTGTTTTCTGTAGTTTCATTAATGCAGGTGCTGGTGTTGACACAGGTGTTAGCATAAAAGTGATCTGGAGTGATTCATCAAGCCTGTCCTTGTAGTCTGGGCCTTTTTATTTCCTGTGTTTTGAAAACCATAAAAATAAGCTTCTCATTTCACTGTCCACTTGAGTAAACTTGCGTGTCAACATGTGTTGCTCACAGCGCTGAAACCGGGGAAGCTGAGTTGCGATTGGACGTGCCAGATTCAATCACCACCTGGGTGACAGAAGCTGTTGGCCTGTCTGAAGAAAAGGGTCTTGGCTTAGCAAAGAGAGCGGAGCTTCGTACCTTTAAGCCCTTCTTTGTTGACTTCACGTTACCCTACAGTTTAATCAGAGGAGAGCAGACCAAAGTCCCCCTCACTGTCTACAACTACCTGCAGACCTGTGCTGAGGTAAGATATATATCAGATTATAAGAAAATGCTAAACAAGTTACTCTGAACCAGAGAAGCATATGGGGCAGTGTGGTGTTTCTTTTCATCCATACTCTACATAATAGAGCTGAATCACACACATACTGTTTATGGTGTCAGGATTAAACAATATTTATACACTGCACTTTGGTTTGGTTTCACGGAGATGAAATGTTCATATTTTAAGTCTGTAAATAAAACTTGAAAAACAATAGAACATACATACATCCATCCATCTTCAGCCGCTTATCGGGTCACAGGGGCAAAAGTCTAAGCAGGGAAGCCCAGACTTCCCTCTCCCCAGCCACTTCATCCAGCTCTTGCTCTTGCCCCCTGGATGCCTCACTGTTGAGAGGAGTCAGATGAGGTGGCTTGGGCATCTAATCAGGATGCCCCCTGGACGCCTCACTGTTGAGGCGTCCAGGGGGCATCCTGATTAGATGCCCAAGCCACCTCATCTGGCTCCTCTCAACGCGGAGGAGCAGCGGCTCGAATGACTGAGCTCGCGATCTTGTTCTTTTGGTCACTACCCACAGCTCAACCATAGAATAGAAGTAAAACATCTACAGTCCTCATAAGATTCATAACATATTTATTTTAGTATTGCTACGAGTATAAGCAGCTTGTGTTTTAGACCTGTTTACATTTGATGCTCGTGAACAGTTTGCTGTCCATCTCTTGTGTTATGCACAACTTCTTCTTTGGCTGATCTCCTCATCTCCACATGAGCTCTACTCATGCATTCTGTCAAATTGACAGGGAAATCTAAACAGAGTGTTGTGTTTTTCTGCAATTAAAATCTCAATTTTGAGCCCAGCTATATCAATAATTGTAATGCACAGACGATAATGACATATTACCTTTTTGCCAGGGTTTTTTACTAATCACCTGGCTGTGTTGAATAATTCTAAGACACAAAGTAACCACAAACTGCTGCACAGTGTTATGGGACTGATTGAGTGAAACAGAAACACCAGAAGATTGTAAAAGAAGAATTATACAGGTGCTGCTGTTATTTTCTGCATCTGTCAAGAATACCAACCAGTAAGCACAAACGTTTTTACCCTGCCGTGATTGAAAATGCAAAGTTTATTTTGTTTTTTTGTTTTTGTTTTTTTAGCAGTAAAGCAGTACAATGTTTGGGCTTAACCATGAACGAAAACAAATGAAAATGATGATGATCTTCAGACTTGACTGTGAAAATATTTGCAACAACACAGGATTTATTTGCTGATAAGTTATTTAGGGAATACCATCAACCTTTTTTGTTGTATAAATAAATCATTTTAAAACCAGTTAAATCATGTAAAGATAAGTATTTAGAATCAGCTTGTTTGTATAGTCTGTAGCTTGATAATAAGCCAGTTGAAGAGTTAGCTGATAGTTGTGCGATATATGTAGAATCTCTTCAGGATGGACAAGCAGTCCAGTCTGGAAGTCTTGTGTTTTTAAATTCAATAGAAACTTTCTGATGCCTGATCAGCATAACAAAAGATACAGGGTGGGTTGAAGAGTAACTTCAGGTAGGTAGGCAGAGGGGTTTTCAGGGATTAGAAGTGGTGGCTAAAGGAAGCACAGGTTTGTAATATGGAGATTATCCAAGAGGTACAGTATGTTTCAGCGCTTACTTTGAAAAGCCCTCTAAACTCTGTTTTGGCTTTAAATGGGTCCATCCTGCGCTCCACATGGATGACATCATGATGTTTGCAGATGAGCCTGTTAAATGGCCTGTGCGTGTGTTGCCCTGATGTCATGTTAGGTGAACATGCAAACCAGCGTAGCCCTTCCTTTGATGTCCACTCCGGCAACATGTGATTCCTATATTTTCTGCTCTGTTATTTATGACTTGTGGCGTGTGGATGAAGAACAGTAAAAAGATCACTCTGCATTACCAAGCCCTCTGTGAAAATTGGACGATGAGTGGAACTTAATCCTTCAGGGAGCTTGAGAAGCATGAGTCAGACAGCATGGAAAATTCACAATGTGATTTAAAAATTCTCCATCGCTTTGAGAGCTACGAGGCGAACACGCTATATGAGGGAGGGGCGTGCCACAAGAAATGATGTCATTGTGGTCTGTCAGAGGAGATCAGTTGCCTCTGATTTGTCCTTCCTCTTTTCTCTTCTCATCCCTCCATCCCTTCTTTCCTCTTACAGGTTCATGTTAAAGTCTCAGTTCCGAAAGGCATTAAATTTATTGGCCACCCTGGAAAACACCACCTTACCAGGAAGAAGTGTGTTGCTCCCGGAGAGGCTACACCCACATCCATTGTGCTGTCTTTCACTGAACTGGGGTTCGCAAACATCACAGGTACCTTCAATTAAAACAAGAAAACATCAACTGTATGGCAAAGATGAGTAAGGATGCGGAATTTTTCCATGAGAATTTACCACTCCACAATTTTAAAAACCTCAGGAAATATGTCTTTTCAGGCTTACTGTACACTGTGGGTACAGCTTTGTTTGTATCTCCTAAAAAAGAATGTTAAATTAAGCTAAGCTGATACCTATTCGAGTCTCATAATTACTGTTGCAAGATCAAAAAGTATACACTTTTTGTTTTTGGGGCTATCAGCTTCCCAACTTGGGGTCCAGACACCCCAGGGGACATACCAGAGATCTTAGGGCTTTGTCTGCTCAGATAATGTCCAAGTTAACTTCATTTATGAACTAAAATCCTTATTACACACTTGCTGGATAGATTGGACAGCTCTGCCTGTTGATATAAAAAATACATTTTTCTCTTTTTTTTAGGTAAGAACATTGACATTAATGTATTTTTTTAGGTGATGTATCACTTTTTTCCCATGAAGCCCCGAGGGGTGAGACTCTGCTTTTTAGCAATATAAAAAGTGGGGCTCTCAAAGGAAAAGGGGTTGGGAACCACTGATGTAAATAATACAGGTTTAATTGTGTCAGATCAGATCGTAAAAAGGCATCATTCAAACTATTAAAAAGATAGCAACCCTTCACGTGGATGTTGGTACCTCAGTGTGATGCCTCACAAAAAGACAAGCTTTTGACGTGACAGAGCTCTGCTGGCCAAGGAGACGAGCTGTGTGTGATCTGGTCACTCAACCAGAGTTACAAACAGTCCCCTCCAGAGTGCATGTGAGAACAAAGCCAGCCAGCAGTGGGGGAGCACCCAGAGTTGTGCTGTGACACTCAGTGGCATGTTGATGAGCTTGCAGGTCACTGGCGGTCAATGGGCCCCCCATGGCCCCACTCCTAGTCCTCTGGCCCCTTGCGTTTCCCTTTCAGTACACACACACAAAGAGACGCCACTGGCACAGGGCCACATTTACAACATGCTCCACAGCAAACGAACTAGGAGTCCTTGGACAGCCTTATTTTTCCTGTTGCCAATATACTAGATATATAGACTTAACCAGGTGTGGTCATTTTTGACCTAACAAACAAGATTTGACCTTTTCCCCCTAATGGTTGACAATTTGACTTTTTAATGATGATATTCAACTGCGTCATAGAGAGACATATTAATATTTCCTTAAGATGAACGTCCCTGTTTAGATATGCAAACATTAAAGCAGTAATAACCAATAGTTGTCATCTGCAGATGCTCCTGGAAGTGCAATGTAATGATAAAGATAATAATGAACACTTGGAAGTGTCTCAACCTCCAAAATACTTAATTTAGACAGTTTGAATGGGATCTGACACGCATGCCATGGCTTTCCATGAGCCTCTTGGCAACACATAAAGCCTTGTCTCATCTAATATTTTCTTTTATTTTCTTAACACATTCTGGGTTTAGATGGACAATAACTCAAACATCGACTTGAAGATAACAGCATGAACAAACCTGAAACTATTCCACCTTTATTTTCTCAGCATTGACCGTGAACTCTGGGGTTGGCTCAGGAAAGTTCTGGATGAAAAAATTAGGCGGTATTGTGACAAAACAGGAAGCAGCAAAGCTGATTTATTTCTCTGTGTTTCCAATAGCACGTGCCATTGCCTACAGTGAACCGAGCTGCTGTTCAGATGGATTCCAGACAAGCAAAACAGGCAATGACATGGATGAAAGAAGGACCCCGATTGGCCTGGACTACGTTCGCAGAACTGTCCAAGTAGAAGTAAGAGAGATGTGATATTTATCAATGAAACATGACATTAAAGACTGAAGAATCTGTTGAGACATTTTTGTTCTTTAACTATCCCACTTTTCTTCTTTCTTTCTCTCTCCTACGGTTGGATGTATCTTCTTCTTACTCTCATTTCAGCCAGAAGGTCTGCCCAGAGAGTACACCTATAGTGTCTTCTTCTGCCCCAATGGTCAGTACCTTGTTGTCATTGTCTCCCATTCAGAGATCATTGTTTGTTTTTCTTTTGACCTCTTCTCATCAAAAGATTTATTCTTACTCTTTATACCAGCATTCTGTAGATTTCACAACATCTGAATGCCTGTCTTGTTTCATTCTCAGAGAGAATTCACATTTCCACTCCAAACAAGTACGAGTACCAGTACGTGAAAAAGCCAACCAAGATGAACCAGTTCCAGGTGGCAGTGAAGACCCACAACGATGCCCATTTTGCTCTCTCTGCCAGCCCCCATGACAGTGCAGAGATGCTAGAGATTGTACTTGGGGGTAGGCAAAACACCCGCTCCTGGATCTCTGTGGGCAAGATGGGTGATCCTCTGGTCAGTGTGAATACACCGGGCATCCTCTCCTGGGACGAGTTCCGCAGTTTTTGGATCAGTTGGAAAGGAGGTATGGTACAGGTAAGGAGCTGAAGCAAACATACATGATCGAACTGTTTTTGAAGATGCATAATGTTGATGAACGAGAGAGCAAAGAAAATGTCAAATGAATTAGATTTGTTACATCAATCTGTATTTAGATTTATGCTCAAACACATGTCAGATATTGTAAATAGACTTTGAGGACCATAGTGTCTGCATGTTTGAAAAGCTGGTGCCAATTTTAATGGCATGCCTTCTTTAATGTGAGGGTTTACTGGCTTATGTCACAGAGGACTTCACATGTCTTTCCATTCTGATTCAAAGTTTCACATCTTTTAACATAATCAGACCCTAAAGGCTTTTATACAGCAAGATTTCTTTCATTTTTTTGGCTTGTCTTAGCTCTCTTTGTCGCTGAGCACCCAGCATGATGAAGTTCAACCAAAAAAAGTTGCTCTCCAAAGTTTGTTCACATGTGTGCATCAGTGATTGTAGTCTTTAATTACATAATCTGTGTTTTCTTAATCTTCCAAGGAGCTGTTGTTGTTGTGTGAACACAAGCTAATTCTCTGACTTTCTCTACAGGTGGGACACGGTGTTCATCCATCCAACGAATCCATCATCCTTCAGTGGGCAGGCCAGTTCCCTGGACAGGTTTGACTCACCATAACCCTAATGGTTTAAATATAAATGCTGTAAGACTTCAATTTTACAGATGACTCAATATAATTTTTCTTATTAATGCAGGTGCGTCACATTGGCTTCTCAACGGGCTGGGGCTCAGTTGGGGAGTTTAAGATTTGGAGAAAAGAAGACTCAGATGAGAACCACAATGAGGCGTTCACACTTGGGGTCCCACACAACATGGTGCCTGGATCTGAGAGGGCTACTGTATTTATGATTGGTATTTTGGGATTAGATTATCTTTCATTTTGACTAGCTGTTACATGTTATTGTGTGTAAGAAACATTTATTATCCTGTATTTAGCTTTAAACCAGTTTAAAGTTTAAAATGTGTGTAAAAATATATCCCTCTCTGTGTCGGTATCAGGGGATGTTATGGGCCCAACTCTTAATAACTTGGATAAGCTGTTGCGGCTCCCTTTTGGCTGTGGGGAACAGAACATGATCCACTTTGCCCCCAATGTCTTTGTCCTGAAGTACCTGCAGAAGACCAGGCAGCTCAGCTCTGAGGTTGAGAATGAAGCAACTGACTATCTGCTGCAAGGTAAAGAAGCTGAAAATCAACTCTTGTAGACTGTATCATAATAATATTTGTTTCATAAGTCCAGCAAATGTAATATACCAAGATATATATAAGAAAGTAACTGATAAGAGTATGAAGAATTTATTAAGAATTTATGGGACTCATTTTCAAAACCTGAATGAGTGATAAATAAAGGATCCTCACTGGTATTGCAACTTTTTACAATTCTGGCCTATAGGTAGTAAGCTGATCACGTTTATCCTGAAGATTTGCTGCATTCACAAAATCTTGCTTACTTACCTCCAATTAGTTAGCAGCCGTCCAAGCAGAGGAAAGAAAAGGGCCAATCACAAGTGTGACCTGAATCTCAAGTGAAATCCCTCTAGGCCTGACTGTGCACAAAGTGACTAAACGCTGGTGTTTTCTAACTGTTGGCAAGTTGTGTTCTGTTGTTGGGGTTTTGGAATTAGGTTTACCTTGGATAACGTAATTTGTTTGTGGATAACGTTGGAAATTAGAGGAACCTTGGTCTGTCTACTCTTAATACTTTGGATCGCAAACTGGAACATGGATGCTGTACAGAATTACCCAGATGAGTCTTTCTCCACCTCTTCTGATATCTCCATGTACCCCCTCAGAGACTTTCCACCCTTTCCCACTTGACATTTTCTAACTATAAGAGGGACAGGTCATCCTGCAGATGGAGTTGTGCTCAAGTCATGATGGAGTTTAAGCATTTTTATAAAATGGAAATGAAATTGTGGCTGATCCTCCACACCTTTTTAGTCTTTACATCTTTATTTGATAAACATATCTGTATTGGTGTCATGTGAGCAACAACAAGGCATGCTGAAGCATTTCTGGTACTTTTGAAGATATACAAAGTTATAGATCTGCACACCACAGTTGGGTCTCCACACTCATCACTTATCATCATTTGCATGCACCGCACCCCTCTTTTAATTAATGCAACCGTGTGCACGGCATGACCCATTTACAAATGGCCGAAGAGTGATTCACAGTCAAGTAAATACCAAATATTTTCAAGTGCTACTTTTAGAGTCTTTTTGCCATTTCTGAAATACCTCCCAGAAATCAACCTGACCTTTCTCTGTCTGTTTTCTTGCTTAAACTTAATCAATCACCTCATGAAAGTGATATCTTTGTTGAATAATCTGTCTGGGAAATTTGAAGAATTTTATTTGGTTTGCCATTCCTCTCTTTGTTAATCTGTATATGCTGAACACTAATGCATGTACTGATACGTTCAAATTCAGCACCATCCTGGAATTTTCTATTCCATCTGTACCTGCTTTGCTTGTAGTTAGGTGTTTTTTTAACCATGCCAGTGCTGAGGCTATTCATTAATAACATATCTGCAGTAAAGAATGAAGAATGTTGGAGTTCCACAGACTTGACAGATGCTATGTTTTCAGGAATGTATCTTTTTACACTCATCCAGGTTATCAGAGACAGCTGACCTACAAAAGGCAGGATGGCTCCTACAGTGCCTTCGGAGAGAGGGATTCCTCTGGCAGTATGTGGTAAGTCCTTGTGGGTGTAGCTGTTAAAGTTTACTCAACCCATTCCAACCAAACTATGAATAGCCAGGGCCACATTTTTCATTTATAACTGGTACATAGTTTGCTTGCCAAAGTAATGAAGTTTTTATCTGAATCTCAGTGTGCTGTGCTCAAATTAATGTGTTCCCGTTGAATGGCTGGTGAATGTTTATTTCATGTTATAACACTCTGGGGTCAGAGAAGGCAGGCAGGGATCATCTCCTCATATTTATGAAACTGAAATCAATGCTCTCCACGGAGCTCTCCGCTGCTTGCATTGTGCTGTCTATGCATACCTCTGGTTGATTTATGAGCTGAGGTGGGTGTTATGATATTTAATAGAGCTAACACTGTGAAACAGCGGGTTATATAAACAGCGTAGTATCACAAACAGACGACATAATTGGATCCCTAAGGTAGGCAAAACTGTCAGGATTTATTTGCAGTTAATCAGGGTTCATATCCGTGACACTGAGTGGACTCATGCTGCTTTAGCTCCACAGAGTAGCTCTTTATGCCACTATTGGAGACAGTGATATAAGTTGTCTGGAGTTACTTCACCCAATGGCTCTCTACTTTTTTTTTTTTTTGACATTGACTTGAACATTTTAGTGGCGCATGCTTCTAAATGACTCACTACCTGGGTGTAATTGGTAACATTAAACTTTACAATAAACCAAACTAGCTGTGGAAACCTTGGACTCTCCTCCAGATGACTTTTACAGGATATGATGTAACAAGCAGTGTTTGGAGTTTTCCTTGGCGCCCAAAGCAACAAGTGTGGGTTGTGGGCACGACTTTGGCGGTGAACCTTTAGTAAAACTGCATCAGACACTTAATGAATCCATCAGCAACATGTTTGCATCCAAAACAAGCCCGGCTTTTTCGTTTTTGTTCCAGAGTTCATGAGGTGAGCAGCGCATTTACTACCTGCTTAAAAGCACCGGTAATTCAGCGTTAATGTATTCCAGCTTGTAAAAATGTATCTGAGTGGAAATTGACTGGATCTAATAAATAGATTGAACATGATGACGAGGACTGGCAGTGATAGTTTGGGCCAGAGTTTTCGAATGCCCAGGCTGTCAACACCACATAGGGTGAGCTGAAAGTTCACCGACCAAAGGGTCAAAAACACTGAATAAAAGTTTCAACATTAAAATGCCTGAAATAAGAAAAATCTTTACTCTGATAGTTTCCAATAATGTGCTTGCCTGTAGAAACTCTTTTTTTCATGTACAGTATATTTAATGTAATTCATTCTTGAGAGTATGGCTTCATAGTATGTTCACCTGTATGATAATCTCCATAGCGACATGGACTAAAAGGAGCATTGTTGGATGTTGGTCTGTGTGTACTTTCATGCTTTTGATTGCCATACTTGTGAAGACTTTATTGACCAAATTCACCCACTAACCACTGACCCCAAGTGTTTCCCTGTCAGTGTCACATCTGAACCTCTCTTTCTTTCAACCATAACCTTGTCCCAAATTTCTTAAATCAATTTGGATTTGTCCTAGTTTCTTTTTGTGCCATTAAAACTACCAGAGCTGAAATGGCAAAACAGTTAAAAAGCTGTGATTTTACAAACATGTCAACGTGTGCTCCATCATTTTATAACCTCTTTCAGAGTAGGGCAGCTCCTTTTTTCATTTCCCCTAGCAGTCTCAGTCCTTGGCTCTACATGTTGAGGCTGGCATGGCATTTGTGTCTGCCCAAAGACTGATCTGACAGCGTAAGCATGGTTGGGGGCTGAATACCAGAGATTAAAAGAACTGATATCTGCTGCTGTATTAGCCTAATAGCTCTTTATGACTCTGTGCCTCTTTCATTTAAGATTGCTGACATGTCAACCAAATTGGAAACTAAAGGTATCTTAACCAGATGTTTAAAGGTGATCAGTAACAGCCAGACATTAGGAAATTTACCATTAATTTAATGTCCAGTTTAACAGCTCTTTTGGCAGTATCACTTTAATCCATCAAGTTGTCGTGTTCCCTTTGAGGACGAGAAGCCTCTATAACTTCACGGTACAGCTTAATTTAGTTGTTGCCATGCCTCTGTGTGAAAAAATAGCATCGGCTGTATTGGCTCCCCACTGCTTCAGTTCTCTGTTTCCTCTTGTTATTCTTGTTAAATTGCAGTTGGCATCCAACTCCCCCTGCTGCTGCTGAGTCAGTGGTGTCAAATACTGGCGGTGTGCAGTGCAAGTGCCACCTCATCCAACGCTGCTTTTGCTGACACAGTTGCGTCCACTGATACTTGGATGTTGAAGTTTCAGATAACAAAAGAGCTACTTATCGAATCTGAATGATATTTCAGGGGTGGCTATGGTCCATGTTGCTATTGCACTCAGAAAGCCCAGATCTCTGTCCAACCATATCCAAGTCAAGTCACAAAGTACAACTACTATTTAGTCTGTAGAGAATTTTTAAACCCAGATCAACAATGTCAAACTAAGGTAATGGCTAATATCATCACTGCTGCACTTTTACATTGGAAATACTTCAAGGTAAGGCTGGGCAAAATGTTACAAGTGAATTGAAACCAACACAATTCAATGATTTTTAAAGTTTTTCTGATTCTTTCAATGCTTTTAAAAGTTCTTGTCAGTATCTTCCTTACTTTGTGCATTCATTCACCGCCTCCTTTAAAACATACCAACACGTGTGTCACATGATTCCACCTCATCCAGTCTGAAAGCATCACAAAGGCCATCACAGTCGTCCAATAACCGGAAGGTTGGCGGTTCGATTCCCCCCTATCCCTAGTCTGTCTGTTGTGTCCTTGGGCAAGACACTTAACCCACCTTGCTCCCAGTGTGTGTCCTCCATTGGTGTGTGATAGTGAGTGTGCTGTGTGGAGGTGGTTGGCGCAAACTGGCAGGCACGTTTCCGTCAGTCTACCCCAAGGCAGCTGTGACTACTAAGGTAGTTTATCACCACCAAGGTGTGACTGTGTGAGCGAATGAGTGATGTATCCAATGTAAAGCGCTTCGAGGGTCTCTGATAAAACACTATATGAAATCTGATGCATTATTATTATTATTTTCTTGCCTGGGCTGGGAGTGACATTCACATTGAACATTGAGGGAGTTTTACTCATACATGAGTCAAATCTGCCATTATTCATACAGCCTACAAACCTAGTCCAGAATTGCCTGGTTGTTGGTCTGATCAGGTTTAAATTCTAGTTGACTCTTCCTGGACTCAAGCCTTAATCATCTCACAAAGTTTCATAATAATAAACGAACAGTACAATAAACATGCATTAAACAGGTAGTAAATGTAGTTTCTAACACAACAACACGGGCTTCTTCAAAACATTCAGCTAGCAAAGAAGCAGCTCAGAGATGAGTCTGGGTGCCACAAGTCAGAAAACAGCAAAAAGAAAGAAAAGGGATTTAGGGATCCGGAGGTTAAGTGCTATAAGTTCACTCTCCTAGTGCTTCCTTCCTTCCTCAGAGTAAATCATAGTTACACTTTCCAGTACCAGAACCACTATCCCCAGGGTCTGTCATTCAAAGCCAGCGACACAATATTACTTAACATTAAAAATTCCAACAGGCCTGTGGCTACTTCCCTCGTTCTGTCTCAGAGGGGAAATAACGTTTATGTTCCAGCAAGGAGAAGATTTAATGTTTTAGCCCTTATGCGTGTAATGTTCTTTTTTTCCCCCTACTCATCTCCCCTGGTGCTCTTTCTTGGATTCTACTCTCACTTAGGAGCCGTGTTGAGAAACTGGAGCACAACTTGTTTATTTATTTCCATCTTGTGTTCCTTTCATTTCTGGTAAGCAGCTTGCCTTATTCTTTAAGTCAGTTGTGGTCAGGGGTTGTTGTAATGGAATTCCTCACTGTCACTGAGGGGTTGTTGGCCAAAGAGTACAGCTTTCGATCACTACCGGGAGGTCTGCTGTTTATGGATGAGTGTGTGTTTATTAGCTCAGCCGTGTCCCCCAGGGCTAACCTTGGCCTTTCTCTGTGGTTCCTCTGGTCCTTCTTCGTCATGGCCAACAAAAACCACTGCTCATAAACTTTCAGTTGCACTCCCAGGCCAACCAGATTCACAACCTCCGTCCCTGAGCGCTCTGTTTATGCAAGTTACAGTTTGCTTTTGGAGAAACTCTAATGCTGAAAGATACTTGAGAACCCTGTGCGAGATTTGATTTTCTCAATGGCGCTAATACTACTTCCTGTAGCTCTGATCAAACTCCAGCAGCACTCATCGCTTCCTTTCCTTTCCTTTCCTTTCCTTTCCTTTCGATCTGTCTATACATCCTAATTCTTCCTCCCTCTATCTTTGACATAAACATCCTTCTTCCTCCCTCTATCACAAGTTATCGCTCCACTTTTGTTGACAGATTGAAAGAGGGTGAGTTGTCCTCCTTGCTGAAAAGTATTTTTTAGGGATTTGCCAGCACATGTTAAAAGGGGATGTTTCACTTAATCCCCCCTCCATCCCCCCTTCTTCTCATCAACCTCTCTCTGTCTCCCCCCTCCATCCCGTCTTCTCTTAACTCTAGGCTGACAGCTTTTGTGCTGAAGTCCTTCGCTCAGTCTCGGGGTTTCATCTTCATTGACCCTGAGGAGCTTCGCGCAGCCAAGTCCTGGCTCATCAAGCATCAGCGAGATGATGGCTCCTTCCCCGCCATGGGACGCATCCTAAACAAAGACCTGCAGGTACACGCTTGTGCCCTGGTTCGGTTTAAATCTTAGTAAACCACAACAGCATCAGACTCCATGAAGGAAAGATCTAGATGAAAAGGAGTGATTTCTTATTAAACCCTGAGAGTGGTCGGCGTGTACAGCATTCCTGTGATCTAATGTTTCTTTAAACTCTGTGTTTAGTGTGTTTAGTGTGTCGGGTATAAGATAACTCAGACCACCATCTAAGCAAGATTAAAGAGATCAGGAGAAATAAAGGCACAAAGATGATAAATATTCTAAATATTTACACTCTGGGTAAAACTTAAGGCTTAGCTTTGTGTACTAAGACACATACTCCCTTGACAGACATTTTTCAAACAATGCAAACACCATGAAATGAACAGCGGGCTAATGTGTGAATTTGGTGTTCACAGGGAGGGATCCATGGGAAGATCTCACTCACAGCTTATGTGGTAGCAGCTCTCCTGGAGACTGGGATAACAACAGAGGTAAGCAGTCAAGCCGGATAATAGTTTGCATTTGTTGCTTAAAACTATTGCAAACTGATCCAGTGTGCATTTTAAGTGGTATCTTTGGCCACTGTGGGAAAAAACACAGAAAACTAGTCTAAAAGTAGAAGTCCTTGCAACGTCTATATTGATCAAATGTCTGTGATTTGACCAGATTTTACCTGGAAATCTGCTTCTTTCACAAGATTTACATCTTACATATTGTATATAAAAACCAAATGACTGCATCACTATGAAAATAACAGACCAGGCTGTTTATAATCCTACAGCCTTGGTTTTTAAAGCCTGTAGTCGATTACTACTGTCAACAATGGGTTTGTTCACACTTGTAATCCTGTCAGATGTCTGTCAACTGCTTCTGGGAGTTTTTCTACCTTCAAAGTCAGAGTTTCACAACCTAAGTGTCTGTGTATGTGCAAACTCCTGCACAGCTGCTCCCTTTACAATGTCTTTGATTCTTCTTTATACCACACAGCCCACAAACTGCCATATTTATGATTTTTGTACAAAAATAGAACATTTTATAATGACATCTTTCAAATATGGGCAGAATGTTTCTCAGATGAAATGAAATCACAAGTTTTTCCATCTTCCTTTGACCCCTTTAATTAAACTTTTTTTTTTCAACTACAAGACAAATGTTAATTTTAAGGCATTTAGATTATTCAATGCGATTATAGTTGGTTGCAAACTGTTTGAGGTTAAGTCTTGGACTTCCAGATTTGATTTTACTTTGTTTTTAACCAAATCTCAATGTTGAAATCGTAGTTAGCGGCAGATCCCTGGTATTTTAGTGTACTACAGACATCAAGCTGGCTCCTCCGTCAGACCCAAAAGGCTTATCAGTGCACTGCAGATGAAGGAAAACTTGTATTTGTTGTTTCTGTGAACAACATTCAAATGGCAAAGTAACACAATGAGAAGATGTTAAATGAAATGTACACTCAACACTGACATTAATATTCAGGTCCCACTCAGCAGTTCTGAAGTCAGTTAGATTACGTGGCAACCTTGGCTCCTTTGCAGGACAACTTCAGTGCTGGCTCTCCACCAACAAGGAGCTGAGCTGACTGGTCCACAAGGGCTAATATACTTATTATTGACAAAAACCTCATACAACCCCTTTAAAAAAAAAGGAAACAAAAAACTATCAAGTTAACAAGACATGTAACTTAAGTTAAGTTAAATGTGCACCTTAAAATTTCGATGAATAAGACAGCGAGTGTCAGTGAGGAAGCTTTAATGAATAGATAAAAGCTTAAATCATAAAAAGTAAAACCTGGTGCAGTAGTACCTGTCCCACTTGCACCTCATACTCCTGCAGCTTTCCTACCAGCCTGTTGTGAATTTAAATACAGGTCGTGTGTGGACCTATCTCTGCATTCCTGATAGCTGTGAAGATGGATGTGCTGGCAGTCAGCCTACTCATATTTGTTATGCCCCAGTGCTTCTAATCTAATACCTAATCATGTTTTGGCCTACTTCAAAAGATTTAGACTGACGTGCAAAGACAATTAAGGGCTGGAAGAGACACCTCGGTTACATTCCTTACTGTCTCCGCTCTGTTTTTATCTGTGCTGCTCTGCTTTTCTCTTTTTTGGCTTTGTTTTTCTTTGCACCGTCACTTAAATAATCAAATGCTGGCACCATATGTGCTTTTCAATCAGTTAAAGACATGAGAAAAGGGAAAGTTACAACACAAATCCGGTGATATCGTCCTCATGAAGCATTGCTTACTCTGGCAATGTGACAGCCACTAAACCCCTGATTGTTTTTGCCTTTGATCTCTCCCTTTGTCCACATGGTTGACTCTTTATTTAGCATTTCCTCTCCCTGGCCCCTTCCCATCTATCTGCCCCAACCCCCCTTCACCACTATCTCTCCCAGAGAGTTTTTTTCTTCTCGGTCTGTCCTTTTACAACTGATAAAAACTGTACCCTTCACATCAAAGCAGAACCTTCAACCCCCTCCAATTTCACTTAATTAAAAGATGACTGCTGCAATTACAGTGAGTGGCTCTGGAGGCCTATCATCTCATGGATGAGAGAGGAGGTCACATCTGCATGAGATGAAAGTCAACTCTCAACTTTTTAATGGCCAAAATGAATGTTTATTCAATAACTACAACACAGCTGAGGAGCAGTTGAACACTGAAAGAGCTGATGCGGTGATGATGGCATTTGTGTAAGTGTGTATGTCAGGGTGTTTAGCTATACCATCTAAGAGGCATGTCTGATGATCCTGAGGAGGAAATGTGGGCGTTGCCACAGAGAATACAGACTAGCATAAAGATTGAGATTTCAAAGACTGTTGACATTTTAGGGGGACACAGTTTTGGTTACATGATGTGTCATTGGAGGAAACACAATCTGAAACAGTTGTAATAAGGGCATATTTACCATTGAATTCAATTAGTTCTTTGAAAACACCCTGCAAATGTTCAGGAACTGAGGAGACCAGTTTCTGAAGTTTTGAGGTGAAATGTTGCTCTGCTCTAGCCTGACATAAGATTTAAGTTACTCAGCCGTTTGGGTCTACTTTGTCATATTTATTACGTTGCAACATGTCAGATAATAGGCAACAATAGGCAGGCCTGTCAAGAACTCAGACTTTCTACTACAGAGCGGCATTTTGCTGATATGTGCAAAAAAGGGATGGGCGATAAATTGTCGTTCACGATTTATCATCCTCTACGATGAATATTGGCCAACTCACGATTAATGCAATAAACGCAAGTTGATTATTTAAGCACGAGCAACAAACGCATAGCCGTAGCCCACACAGAGCAGAATAACAAACAAACATGGCCGAAGGTGGTGAAGATTGGAGCTTACATGAGTGCAATCAGGTATTCCTGACATCGGACAGTGGATCTGCTGCTGCTGTTCACTCTGTCCAATAAGAGTTTTGAATGTATGTTAAAAGTGTTTTCACATTTTAGACGTGTTTAAAGTCTCTAGTTTTCATCATAACCTACCACTTAAACTTGTGGTTAAGTGTCTCATTTGACTATGCCAACGGGTAAGTGCCATCCAAGAACAATGTTTCCGGTTTCTCGAGACGAGACAGCATGAGTCAAAAACATGGATTGGAACGATAATATTTTATCAGGACTTTTACTGTTATCATTATGGGGATCAAATTTTTTAGCCCATATCGCCCATCCCCAGTGCAAAATGTAGTTTAGTATCCTCTTGCTGTATTAAGCAAGGTCTTTTAGATGACAGCATATATTGCTCCAAAGCCTGTAGTGTTTTTATGGCTTGTGTAAACTAGCTATGGTATGGACATTTACGCAGTCCAACCCTCTTTAGCATGCAGTAACCATTATTTCCAAAATGAGTGTCAGTATGGTTTACCACTTCACCTCAGTCCATCTTAAATTGACTTGGTCCCAGAGAAGTTGAAAACATTTCTTGGTCTTGGTTTCCTCTTTGCATGGTACAGCTTTAACCTGCATTTGTGGATGCAGTGACAAACCGTGCTCACTGACTTTGGTTTTGGGGGTGATTTTGAGCCCATGCTGTGATTCCTACATGATCTCATACATCTGTACAGTCCACAGCTAACATGCCAGGCATGGTGGGCGCAGACAACTGTACCTGCCAAGGAGAGCTAACCACTGACTGTGTATATAATGGACAACATTACTCTGTCTCCACCTATTCTGATATGTGAAGCAAAAAAACATCCAGATAGGCACTGACATATTGGGTGCTTATCAAAACGTGCTTTGAACTTATCAATCAAACATTCATGATCTCATACATCTGTACAGTCCACAGCAGAACAGATTCTTGCATTGATCACATATTCATTCATTCATTCATTTTTACCTTTTGCTTTAGGAAGAGAAGGTTGCAGTGGCCAAAGCCAAGGATTTCCTGGAGAGCAACACCTACTCTGCTGATGACCCATATACCACGGCCCTGTCTGCATACGCCTTGGCTCTGCTACGAAGCCCTTACGCCCCGCTGGCTCTGCGCCGCCTCAACCACATGGCCATCACACAAGGTACTGTACATTCATTACTGTGTCACTGGAGGTGGAGTGAATGCTGTTCAGTAACCTGAACATCACATGTTTTGCCAGGGGACAAAAAACAACCCAGATTTTAGGTAAATATCACTGATGATTTGTTAAGATGTGAAATTATGTGGTTTGATTTTCTTCTCAGATCTTTGCAACACTCGCAGTTTAAACAAGCGGTCAGCATAAGTCTTTATACAGAAACAACTGTGAATAGAGGTGCTGTAGTCGTCAGCAGTGGCTCAGTTCACTCCTCCCCTTCCCTCTCTGTTTCTTATCTCACTATTGGTTTCCTTTGGCCGTTTCCTTCTCTTCCTCTGAACTGAAGCTTTTTGCGAGTTTTGGCAGATTAGACAAGAAATTAGGGGAAGACAAAATTGCTTTTTTCTTTATCACAATAATTTCTATCCCCAAGTGCAATGAAGACACAGGGTTTGGTTGCATAGTTGCTAAAAGATTCACACAGTTGGGACATTGATACAATGAGTCACGGGATACAGGGTGCCGCCCCTTCGCCCTCTCTGTCTCTGACTCACTTTGTTTGTTTTTTAGATGGACTTACCCACTGGAGTCTGACTGGCAGCACTATGACAGATGAGGACACTTTTATGGGCTTCAGTGATGGCTTGTCTCAGTCAGGTACACACCGCAACTGTTCTATTAAATATTATCAAATCAGCCGTTTATCACAGGAGAGAGTTTCTGCCTCCTCCTAGAAAGAGCCAATATTGTCTGATTTCCCACCAAAAATACATACTCCAAAACATCATAATTGATTCTTTCTTATTACCAGTGGTGTCAGCAGAAGTGGAGATGACAGCGTACGGTCTTCTCACCTACACCCTCCTTGGAGATGTAGCTTCTGCCCTGCCTGTGGTCAAGTGGCTCTCCCAGCAGAGGAACGCCTTGGGTGGCTTTTCGTCCACACAGGTATCACTTTTTTTCTTGTTTCTTTGTTTGTTGTCCCTCACAGCATGAAGTCTTCCCTGACAGACTGCGGGGGAAAAGTTGAGTCTGCAGACGCTGAAGTGGAGGGTTTACATCATGATTGTAGATGAAGCAACAGGGACCTACGCTGTGATGACAGCTGTACTTATTTCTGTGATCCTCTGTACTTAAAAATGAATCTCTGTTTATATTTTTATTCTCCCTGTTAGAAGTCGCTCTTCCAGATTTGTACTAGTTATATGATGTAGTAGGTGTCATCACATGAGCTCACACCTACTTCACACAGAGATTTTACAAGAAAACTTTGAGATAAAGTGAATACAGCTAAAAATCAGTTAAAACTTGTGTTGATGAAGATAATCTATTACTACTACTATTGTACAAACCCTATTTCCAGTGAAGATTGTGTAAAACGCCAAAAACAGAATACAATGATTTGCGAATCCTTTTCCACTTATGTTATATTGAATACGACACAAAGACAAGATATTTAATGTTGAAACTGATAAACTATTCAATCATTTTGATGTCTGCAACATCTCCAAAAAAAGTTGTGCAAAGCCACAGTCGGCATGTGTTACAACAGTGTGGTGTTGTAGTTTAAGAGCACAGGTACTGGAAGTGAAAAACACAAAAACAGAGACGCTGGACTGTTGAGCCACTGAGGTTGTTCATCAAACAAGAATGGGAAAGGATTCACATCTAAACAGTTAGTGTCCTCAGTTAGCAAACACTCATTGAGTGTGAAAAGGAGAGGTTATGTAAACACAGAGGTAAACACGACCCTGACCCAGATTTATAAAACAAAGAAAATGAATAAATTCTAATTGTTTGAACATTAAAAATCTTCTCTTTGTTGTGAATTCAATTGACTATACGTTGAACAAATCATTGTTTTCTGTTTTTATTCAGGTTTTACACAACGTCCAAAACTTGTATGGAATAGGGGTTTGCAGTATTCATAATTAACACTGAAAACAGATTTAGAGTTTTCTTTTCCCTCTGTACAGGATACCTGTGTAGCTCTTCAGGCTCTGTCCGAGTACGCCATCCTGTCCTACGTTGGGGGGGTCAACCTCACCATTTCTCTGGCGTCCACAAACCTCGACTTCCAGGAAACAATTGAACTCAACAGGGACAATAAGAAACTCCTTCAGAGCGCTAAGGTGAGCACAAGAATTAAAAAAAAAAAACAGTGAATACTCTTTTCTCTGTGCATATGAAGAAAACTTTCTTATGAACTGCTGACATTATTTGTCAAAGATGCCATCCCTACCAAAATAATTATTTTGACCCCACCTGTGATTACAAGTTTTTAGAAAAGGCATTTCACCTAAAAGAAACCTCAGTTTTAATGAAAGTCAGAAGTGCTCCCTGTTAGTACAGTGATTTATGATAGCAGCATGCACCAGAGCCACACTCTGGCATTAAACATTAATCTCTGGGTTCCTACGTCCGGCTGTTCAGTGGCCAAGACCTTTTCTCACTGCCAAACCAAACTGGGCTTAACTGGGCTGGATTTCCCAAAAACACCTTTTTGGTCTGTTGATTTAATAACTGTGTTTTATTGGCCTGGTTGCCCACACGCTTCATACTTGACAGTGTGGGCACGAACAACCTTGGCCTGGGCTCTGTGGCATCAGGTCAGCCCTGCTGTGTGGGTAAAAGTGCTCCTGCAGACAGCCAGAGTGGTCCAGGTGAGGGAGCAGTATGTTCTCTCTGCTGGGCATGTTCCTCTGCTGTGATTAGTGGTGTCAGCTTAATTGGGGGCAATTAAAGCCTGCTGGTTGGTAGCCAGGGGAGCACTAGTGGCAGTGCAGCAGTGTACAGCATTCATTCAATTGATAAATGACTCATTCTCTTCACCCTGCCCCTTCTGTCTCTCTGTTTCTGTTTCTTCTTCTTCTGTCTCTTATTCCTCAGATCCCCAGTATCCCTACAGGCCTGTTTGTCAGCGCTAAAGGAGAAGGCTGCTGTCTTATGCAGGTATCGTACAATTCAGAAGTCTCATAAGAAAATACATTTGCAGTCTCGAACATTGTTTGGAGAGTGTCTAATGTTGTGCCAACTCTATCTGGAAAAACGAAGGGTCTTTCTAGCTGCCCAATGATACCCAGAGTCTTCTCTGTGAAGTGGAGTAATCTGCGATAGTTAAAACTTTTATTCTGGAAAGTCTTGATTGTCCCCCTGGCCAGGATGCTGTTTACTTTCTTTGTTTCAGACAAACATAAAAAGTAGTAGTCTTTCTTCTCTTTATTTGATGATATTGTGATCCTTATTATTAATATTCATATATTATGCTGCTTTTAAAAGGTTTACAACTTTGTTTTTTGGGAATCCTGGCATTTAGTTATTTCTTGAGTTTCACTCAGGCGGCGGATGTTATGCTCTGCTTTGCGGTTCTTTAAACGTCTTCCAACTGGTTCACCTCAGTGGTTTTCTTACACACAAACACAGCGTTTCTTCACACTTCCAACCCTCGCTACTTTCTCTCCATCCACACCTCTCTGTGCGTCAACACACCCCTTTGACAGACCCTCAGGCCAGCAGCACCTGGGCTCAAATGCAAGAGCAGGGCAATCAAAGAGACCTGCCTGAGTGTGTGTTGTAGACATACTCTATGTGACGAGTATTTGTCCTGTGCCTCAGGTTTATCATTAAGTAGCTTTGCAGAGGGCTCCAATAAGCTCGGATGATTTATTTAGAAAGTACTGGGAATAATAATCTGTGAAGTGAACGAGTATCAAAGCCATAAGTCCTGAGGCTGAAATAGTAGCCTTCTGAAAGTGGCTGATAAATAAGATTTGTGGTTGATTCTTTTAAGAACTGCCCTCGTCTTCTAGACTCGAAGTTCTAACTGTTTGAACTCAAGCTCAGAAGTTTCCTTTTAGTGAGGCCAAAAATTATAATTCTGGGTTTTTAAATATCCTTGAGCTATTGTGAGGAGAATTGAGAATACTAGTCCAGGAGTTTTTACAAACTGATCGCTAACTCAAAGAGGTCTCTAGTTTTGCAGGTCTGCTTTCTTAAAACTCACATTGAAGCTCCTGAGAAGAGCTCTCTGTATGGAAAGAGGAAAATCCCTGTTGGAAAAAAAGGGATACCTCTTAAAGTTCAGGCATTGCATGGGGTGTAGATGTCAGACATGAGCAATCTTGTTTAATAATTATGATCTCAGTATCAACCAAAATATCTTGGATATGTTTTTTGCCCATAATCGAGTCTTTAGAGAGAGGAAATGAGGGGCGAGAGAGAAGGTGGGTTACATGCACCCATTAGTTGAGATCAGGAATCAATCCTATGATCAGTGGGAGAGCTCTACAGCCATTGAGCCAAACCAGTGCCAGGACAGTTCGTTTTTTGGGGACCATGAAACAGTCTTTTTTATAGATTTTGTATTTCACTGAAAAAGCCAGGGTATCAAGGATGATGGATGATTATACCGATCAATCTGTTTTTGTTTTCAGATCGATGTGTCTTACAATTTACCCGATCCAGTATCCAAGCCGGCCTTCCAGCTCAAAGTGGACCTGAAAGAGCCTTTCCAGGAACGACACCAGCAGCCTCCCTCTTCACCAAATCCTCGTCATCCATCCTCACGTTCTCGGAGCCGTGCTGACAACCGTTCTGAGCTTAACCGCAAGCGGCGTGCTCCCATCGACGATGACGACCCAGCGGCCTATCAGGACAAAATGGACTTTCACATCTCTTTGGAAATCTGTGCCAGGTAGAAGAAACTCCAAGTATAAGTAAAACACAGATTTAAAGCTTCCATCCCTCATTTTGATCTCTCTGTCCAGGTGGCTCCATTCAGGCTCGTCCAACATGGCCGTCATTGAAGTCCCGATGATTTCTGGTTTCCGAGCAGACGTCGAAAGCCTGGAGAGGGTATGTAACCACATTATTACTGTTTACACCAAAGAGGTTTTCAGACACACAGACACCAGTTGTTATTGTCAGTTTAGGTTAATATTATCAGTGTTTCGCATTACGACATTACATGTTGTCAGAAAGGTGCCTCAACTGAGAGGCAGGGAAAGAGAGACAGATGGGTCAACATCTGGCGTATACTTGCTGAAAAAGCAGTATGTCATCAAAAACATCAGATTCATATGTAATCACACTCACAAATATGTATCACCTAGTTACCAGAGTAAACAAACTCACACATACTTAGGATTGGGATATTAATTCTGGGTGTTGGAGGGTGTAAATATTTATCTGAGCGGAAAGAGTCAAGTATCGCCCGTCATTCTTTCCACTGAAGTTCCTGGACTGAGCACATCCTTAAGATTCCCCTCTTGTGTGACCAGATCCTGACTGCTGTGTGTTACACACATGTGCAGTGAGATAATGTTTCATGTGTGTTTTTGTGTGTGTCATAGTCTCGGGAATAGTCATAAAGGTGAGAATCCTTTTAATGGTGTTTTTTTAAGGTATGATAGGAGAAGGATTGACCAGGTTAGGCCTCTGTGAAGTTGCAAAGTCTCAGGGTCAGAGGCCATTTGACCTCTTTTGGGACCTCTTCACAGATATTGGTTTGCTGAGTTAAACATGTGTAATTAATGATTGGCAACAGAAACCGAAGGATATATTTGAATGATCAGAAGATTGGACTTAAACAAATGACGGGATGGGCAATTGAATAATGTTTCACTTATTGTGAATGAGAGAAAGTGATGTAAAATTGAAGGTCGAGATCCAGGTCAGCTCCCCAGCCACCCAACAGAAGCCTGTCCCTCATTACTGACAATTATAGGGCCTCCGTCTGCAGGCTTCCACTTTTAAAAGAGCCACCACTCTGGCTACCTGGGGAGATGTTAAACTCTCGCACACACATCCATACACAAAAACACACATACACTGTGAGTGTGTTGATCGAGGCTGACCTGAGTTGCAGTGGCTAACAAGCTCAGTTTACACCCCTGCTGGCCTCCCTTGGAGTTTTACTGCTGCCTGCCCAACTGCCACTTGCATTCCTCAATTTATGATGGCAAGTTTGGCTTCTGCAGTCATGTCTAGATGCTTTCATGGAAGCTGAAGTAATGAATGATTATTCCACTGACTGACTGGAAGTTACCACAGCCTCTTATCACCCAATATAATGAGCTTTATTTAACAGCTGCGGACACACGGTACTTATAACATTTTAGCTTTTGGGAGTTCATTGGCAAAGTTAGCTGCTAGATAGACAATACTTTTTGTAAACAGACGACAACTTGTCTAGTGTGTGCATCTGTGTGTGTGTGTGTCTCGGTGGCGCCAGCTCAGGCTGAGCACCTCATAAACCCCTGCTCTCCGAAGGCTACCACCTTTGACAGTATGAAAACCCCCCCATGGGGCAAATTTACTCTGCTGGCTCTCGATCCACAACATCACATTTGCAGCAAACAGCTTCCTTATTACTCATTCATAAACTCATACACTCACAAGATCTGGGCATGCGTGTCCAACCCAACTATACATTTGTGCACAAGGTACGTAAAACAAAACATTCAGTATAAATCACCGATCAGGCAGTCACTTGAGGCGAGCTCAGATCCAAATGACCTGTAGCATCATAAGGTCATGTTAACTACAGTATTTGTTACATGTTTATTACTTTGTAAATAAGCTTTATGAATATAATGACAGTAAACCCTGTTAGCATGAGACTGGGCCATCCATTCCACTACGGTGCTGATCACTTTTTACATCCAATTTTACGCAGTTCTCAGTTAAGCCTAGCCTTTGTGCAGTGTCGTGTATTTGTATTCGTAATAAACTAAAGATGACTTGTGTTTTCATTTTTTGTCAGCACCAAATCATTGCCCCCTGTAATGATATGATACACTATCAAACATAATGTTGGTAGGAATGAACATGGGTAGATATACTCACTCAATTCAACTCAACTTTATTTGTTAAGCACTTTAAAACAGCCACAGCTGAACAAAGTGCTGTGCATAACTAGACAAAACAACAAGATAAAAAACAATCAAAAAACAATTAAAACAATGGATAAAATAAAAGCAGAATTAAAAGTAAAATATAGTTTCAATGTTTTTAAAAACTAATTTAAAAACATAGAAACAAATAACTAAAAACAAACCATAAAACACTAAAACAGGAGCCGAGTCTCATGCAGGGTTAAAAGCCAATGAATAAAAATGGGTTTTAAGACGACTTTTAAAAATGGACAGTGTGGGGGCTTGTCTAATTTGGAGGGGTATACAAGGCAAACACCTCAGAAATGCATGTGAACTAAAACTACAGAGTTTTTGAATAGTTTCCCCCTCTAATCCAGCACAAGTTTCTTTTTTTCTTTAAAAAACCTTATGTGTATTTTCTCCCTCCCTTTCAATAGCTGCTAATGGACAAACGAGTGGGTCTGAAGAGATACGAGCTGAATGGGAGAAAGGTGTTGTTCTACTTCGACGAGGTGAGTTTGATCCAAGTTTCTCCATGTTTTCACCATCCGAAGTGGGGCAGAGCCTGAGAGAGTTATGTAAAAGTTGTGTTGTTGTGCATATTTTGACCCATAGGCAGTTATGTGTATCCGGCTGTTTTTGCACCAATTCTTTATGTGTTTGTAGATTCCCAGCCAGTGTATGACGTGTGTGGCCTTCCAGGCTGTCAGGGAATACATTGTGGGCAAGACAGCACCTGTTCCGGTCAAGATCTATGACTACTACGAACCAGGTGTGCCTCTGATGAATATTTTTAGTACCGGTGTTTAAAGAGATGCAGAGTAGGAAAACTGTCTCACTGGCTGTGATTTATGAAGTGGCTTCTTTTTTAGTGGAAATGGGAAAGTTTATGACCTAGTTATGGTAAGCCTAATCATTGTTTTGTGTGTGTGTGGATGTGTGAACGTGACGCTGTGGGTCTGTGCATGTTGTGTAGCTTTTGAGGCCACCCGTTTCTACAACGTTAGTGAGAGCAGTCCGCTGGCACGGGAGCTCTGTGACGGACCAACTTGCAATGAAGTGGAAAGTTCAACCAGCCAGTGGATAGGTGAGACTGCTGCTCCAACCCTGATGATTCACGGATGTACAACTTAGACTCATCTTACCAAAACACTTTTTTTTTCCTGCAGGTTTTGTGCAGGCAAACCAGTGCAACAACGTATTTGGCTGTCTGGAGGAGGAACAGTTTGAGCGTTGCACTTGCTACAGGGACTGTGGTTATGATGGGGAGCCAGTTTGTGGGTCTGATGGGCAGCTCTATCAGAACCAGTGCCAGATGGAGGTGTTTGCCTGTCGGAATGGGACACGCATCAAGCAGGTTCCTCTGTCCCAATGTCCTCACTGTAAGAGTTCTTAAGACTTCACGACTCTCTCCTGTTGCTCATTGCACTTCCCCAACCTGGTTTTAAACCTCTAGCTGTCTTTCAGGTTGTTTAGTTTTCACATTGGGAAAGCTGGTTAGAAATCAAACTGAAATTATAACTCGATGCTCCTTAATGCCCCTGTGTCCACCAATGATGTTTTTTGTTCTGAAATAGTGTTGTGTCGTTCACGAAAGATTGGTTCAAAAGAACCGAATCTTTTAAGCGAACGTACTGAACCGAATCACTTCCTGGAGTGATTCAGTTGAGCTGAAGTGAGAAACAGCATTTCCAGGCTAGCAGCCAGCGAATGAGGGACCACACGCCTGAATCACTTGGTGAACGAATCACGCATTGAACTACATTCTCTTGAATCATTTTTGTCGGACAAAACAAACTTTTTTTTTTACTGCTAAATTGCCACCACAACAACTTGCATACAATAGGACACAGCATGTAACAAGTAGTGCATTAAACCCGCAGCATCCAATCACTGCAGCAGTTTGCAAGGGAACGGTGTATGTTCAGTGCGAATTCTTCTAAACGTTCAGTGAACGAATCACTCACTGAGCCCAATTTACCGAGCAGACCTGATAAATAGCATACCATAGGACAGCACACTTAAAACATCATGACTTATAAACAAGTTCATTTTTATAAACCTGTTTGCCAAAGTAACACAGCTTAACACTCTCATCTCCCGGTCCCAGAAGCTTTGAATTGAACTGAATCCTGAAACGTTCAGCTGTGTATCAGTTCAGGAAGTCGAAGTCACAGGCTGCTCCCGCCAAATTCGCTGATTCAGTGAACGGATCTTTTGAACGAATCTTTTTAGTGAACTGATTCTTGTGATTCAGTACATCTAAAAGAACTGCCTTGCCCATCTCTCCAAAAATTGCCTTCGGTGTTAGCTGTTTTTTGTCACTGCACTCTGAGCATTATAAGTCAAAAATAGTTCAACTATTTCAACTACTGCACTTACCAATGTCACTTTCTCCTCACCAGCCAATCAGAATTAAGAAAAGGACTTCTGCAGCCATTTTTTAAACAAAGATAGAACAGAGACTAATTAGCTTTAATTTCTCTGTGGACATCATTTCCAAGAGTGGAGCTGCTGCTTATGCAAGGACACAGTTCTCTCTTTTTTAGAGAGAGTTTCTTTGAAGAAAAGCAAATATTAAGTATACAGCGTGAACAATAAAGAGCAGAATAGCTCTGAAATTGAGATTGTAAGTGCTGTCTGAAAATGCTATAAGTGGACACAGGCTCTATTGCCTGACAAGACCAGCAGAAACTAGTTGAAAACTTTTGTAAGTTGTCCTTAATTTCTATAACTGTGGCCAGCGAGGTGTCAAAGACAGTGATGGACTGCTCACTGCTGTAACAGCTTGTGTTTACATTTCATGGGCAAAGATTTACTGTCAGTTAAAAAGAGAGCAGGGGGTGATTACACCTTCACATGTTCATGACATGAACAACAAAAGACAAGAGTTACAACTCTCTCCGAGAGGGGGTGACAAAACCAGTGCAACCTCTAAATCCCCTACAGGAGCTTCAAACTGTGAAAAACTGCCTTGGTAAATTAGCATTAACATTGTAAATATAGATGAGATTTCAAGCAGAGAAACAGCGTGTCATATATATTTCTGTTGCTAATGAGAAAATGTTCATGTTTGGAGGTGTCTGAACAGGGCAAATACACAACAGCTGCCACTTATGAAACTGACAGGAGGACTGGGAACTTTTTACAGGTCATTCAGAGAGTTTCTCGAGACGGGAAAAGCTAGCATGCTAACTTGCACTCACACCTGGACATGTCAGAAAACTCTGTTCAACTTTATGGGACAGTATGATTTAGATGTACCACTTTTACTTTCTTGAAAAAAAGCTTTCTCTTTCATTCCTTAAATTAAAGTGAGTTTGTGAAATTTTGGGTCAGGGTTAGAGCTGGTATTCACTGACAAGAAATTTTTTCCAAAGCTTATTCTCGCAGTTCACTCCTTATTTGTGTTATCTCTTGACAGTTCATAGAAATTAAGAATATATCCAGACTGTTTTTCCCCTTCAGAGGAATTAAGTATGTGAATAAGCGTTTGTGTTTTCAGGATCTCTTGTGATCGTGTGTGTTTTATTGGATGCAGTCAGTCTCCTTTGATGTGTTACAGTCTGAGTGTGTTATCGTCAGTATGCCCATTGTTCATTTATCTGTGTGTCTGTTTGCACGCACACGCACGTGTGTGTGTATGCTCATCTGTGTGCTGTGATCTGAGCTGCAGAAACAGCTGTTCAGGTGTTGAGCTGATTACTAGATGAGTTTTCTGAGGAGAGCGACCCACCGCACCCCCTCACCCCCCCTTCGCTCTCTGCTGTATTACAGGGCTCTCTCCAAATGACAGAGTGCTTTTGTCCAGCCCTTTGAAATCCTTGTCACATTCCTTTCCGACGCACAGCCCAACAACAAAGGAGCCTTCATGTTGCAGAGCAGATTGGGAAAAAGCATAGACAAAACTTTGGTGGGAAAAGACCTCAGTTTGTGCCAAGTGGTTCATGCTGTAGATTATCAAAAGAATCGTATTTTTGTTTCATGCTCCCCGACCTTGTTTGTTTGTGTATGTTTGTGTGGGGGAGATTCCTGCCACAGTTTTCCTGTTTTGAAAGGAAAAAGATACAATTTGTTTCCACACACGGTCCTTCTGGCTGCTATTTTTGGACTGATTCTGATGCAGGCCTCTGTTGAGACTAAGTGCACATCATTATTTTGCCAAGAAGTGTTGCGCAGTGGGCTGGATAATGCTTCTGTGTTGTATTTAGATTATGCAACACTGAAACTCTGTTGATTTCATTGCTACTTCTCTAGTGGGTGTTGTGGTAGCCACATAATTGTGAATATTCTAAGGTGTGTGTTTTTATTTTCCAGTGGAGACCACGTTGGAGGACAGGCATCTAATAACACGACAGGAAACTGAGCAGCCCTCGGTGCCTGTACACACAGGTAACTCTAAATACTGCTCCTTTCTCTCATCATACACCTATCCAGCCCTCATGCACCTCACTTTTTTTTCCAGCTTTCTGCTTTTTCTTACTTTCTTTTCCCCCCTCATCTGCCTGCAAAGGCGAGCAGCATCTCCTGCCCATGGAGGACTTTCTCCTCAACAGCTAAAGCACATATTCTCAGTCAGCAGTATGTTATACCTGCTGCTACAGTTTGATTGTTTTTGGAATCAATGAGTCAATCTGGGCCCCCGTGTCAGCAAAACGTGGGCTTTAGGCGCATCATTTGTCATTTGCATAGAGCACTTTCATTATACTCTGTGTGTGTGTGGGGGGACAGGAGTTGACAAGGGCGGAAGGAAGAAAGAGTGAGAGACAAAGAGATGAAAGGGTACATGGGGGATGTGGAGCTTGGAAAAAAAAGGGAGTGAGAGAGTCAAAGAGGGATGAGCAGAGGAAAAGATGAAAGAGAGAAAAAAAGGGGGTAGAAAAAAAAAGAGAGAAAGGACAAGAAGAGGGAAGAAGATATGTAGGCAGGGTGTGTGGCAGAACATTCCCCAGCCACCACATCATGTCTACAACCGGTGTGATAAATAGGTGGATAGGTTTTCGCACTGCAGGCTTGATTGTTGCTCTGCCATGAGCTTGGATCCGCTACTACTTTCAGAAAGAGCAGCCAGGATTCCTGTGAGGAAGTTTGGCTGCATGTGGAGGGAGGATGTGGTTGTGTCACATTTGGCAACAAAAACATTAAAGGCCCTGTGGTTATTCAGAAGGTTGCAGAAGCGTGCATGATGTACACACACATGCTACATGTGCGTTAGTTGCGTGCAGTTTTCCTGATATGCAACATTAAGGTCGACTTATGTGAATGTTTGACTTGTGTACAGGTGTGTGTGTGTGTGTGTGTGTGTGTGTGTGTGTGTGTGTATGTGTGTGTGTTATGTGGCACAGCTTGCACTGACTTGTTTCCCAGCCTGCAGCTCCCAGTAGCTGCTGCTCACAAAGCTGCTCTCAGTCAAAGGTCTCCTTAGTACAAAAGCTAACACTTCACACTCACCACAGGAATGCTGTTATGTTCACACACACACACACACACACACACACACACACACACACACACACACACACACACACACACACACACACACACACACACACACACACACACACACACACACACGTATATATCTTTATATGCTCACACTTACACATGTTACATGCTCACACAGGCAAATATATCCGCCCACTCTCAAAACACACACACACACACACACACTTAGAATATGATAACCCTGGGATGATTAGATTGAATAAGTACTGTGAAAACACTGTCATTGTAAACCATTAGAATGTTGACGACATGCCCGCTAAGTGCACTCAGAGTGTAATGGGTGAAGCTGGGCTGTGCCAAGGAAATGACAGTTTCCACTGGAACAGTGGAGGAAGCTGAAGCTCAGGAATTAGCTTCCCTGTGCAGACTTGTCTTATGAGTGAACTCTTCCAGAGATCATCTTACGGTGTCAGGGTTACAGACTTACAGACTTAATTTAAAATGAAATTTTCGTTTTTGTTTTTTTTACTTTGCAATTTACTTACATTAATCTTTAAAGGTTCTGTTAGAAAAAGGAAATGTGTTGCAAAGTTAGGAGTGTTAAGTGCATGCATCTGTGAGTGTGTGTGTGCGTGTTTTAATTCCCACAATAAAGCTCAAACTTTAATGAAGTAATATATGATAGGACTGGACTCACACTCACTATTCGGCGAAGTAAGAAACTAGTTTACACTTTTTGGGGGTAAAGTGTGACTTTTAAGAAGCATGCCACAATTTGTGAGAATGCAGCAGTTTAGGCAGAGGGGGACCCCTACTGTCTGTGATGGGGAACTGCATTAAAAGCCTCAAATTTACAGGTCATTTGCTGCACACTGGAGCAAACAAGAAATGTAAAAAATACAATTAACCCACTAAAATTTGTATTTAAATAAATTAAACTAATAACGCTTAAACAAATAATTTTAGATGTCAAATGACTGTCTGACTGTCTGTTGCATGGTTTTGACATAATTGTGCTATAAGTGTTACTGGTTAGTAACATACAGTAACGTATGTTTGAACACTTGATAAAGTCAAGTCAAGAAATCTTTATTGTCCCCGAGGGGCAATTTGTGGTGCAGCCAGCAGCAAAACAGAGGCAACATTAAAAATACACAGCAGTAACATGACAGGTTAAAAAGGGTTGAAAATATACAAAACGACAATACATAAAGTGCAATACCACGATAAGGGACAGAAGAGAAGGAGTAAAGGGACCACAGTGCATGCTAACTGGTGTTGTTCAGGAGGCCAATGGCCACGGGGACCCAAGACTTTTGAAGTCTGTTTGTCCTACATCTTGGCATTAAAAAGAAGTTGCCTTGGCATTTGCACATGCTAACCAGATCAGAACCTTAACCAAACGCACACTTTTTTGTCACTGACAGAAAAGGACAGAAAATTAAAACTTCTGCTGCATTTGTTTAGCTTGGACTCTATGCATTCTTTTAGTGGCTGAATTTGAATGCTGCCGTCACATTTTTTTTTTTTTTTTACCTTGCCCTACAGGTGAAGAGGAGCAGGGTTCCATGGCAGAGGTGTCCTACTACTCCTATGAATATGACCCGGACTCTGAGCCTTTCCTTGCTGACGCAGATGGAGGTGACCAGTTTGACCTCCCTGCGGGGGTAGAGGATGTAGAGCAGAAGGTTGTCCTGCCGGCAGATACCCAGATTTCCTCAACGGACACAAAGAACATCCCTGAGCGATGGTACGGACTGGGACGTTAATATTTTTGTTCGTCATATGTAGGATTTCTGGATTTGGACCATATCTCAAAGTATTCTGATTACAGAGATATATTTGAAGCCTTTGATGATCCTGAATTGAAAATGTGTCCTGTTTTCTTGTTGTCCACAGAAACGCCTAAAGACTGAAGCCATACCCACCTCTAAATTGTACATTATTTGTGAATATGCTAGTGAATGGAAAGAGAAGAGAGTCCTGTGACTCGTCCTGCCTGACAGGAAGAGATGGTGGAGTCTGGAGAATGAGAAAGTGACTGTGTGAGTGTGTTGAGTGTGTTGAATAGAGTCTGTGTGGATGCATTTATACCTATGGCTGTGTGGTTAGATGTGACTGTGTATGGCTGCTGTAAGTTAGTGTCCTCCAGACTTTTAGTTTTCTTCTTCCAGACTCCTAGTCACCAATAGGCACCATAGCGTCTTTGTTATTCACTGTACTGCCTTTATAATCACTAGAAGAAATAATCAAGTATTTATGTTTGTAATTACACCTGACTTTAAGCAAAATATTTTGTTATATTTTCTATCTGTGGTATTTATTTGTAGCTAGAGGTCATATCATTTTATTTTTGTTTGCTCGCTTTTTTTTAGTCTACTCTTACTTTGTGGTTTGTTGAGTTCAAACAGAGGAGAAGTGCTGTCAAAGGCATTTTATTTTTCTCTTTCATAGCAAGCTTTAACCCAATCACTGAAATGTTTGATGAAATTCCTGTGCTGGTACCCTGCTGTAAAAGACATATGTTAACCATATGCTTTACAGAAACACGAGCTCAAATGTTTTTCATTTTTTAGATATTTTGGGCTTTTGCCTTTAACAGACAGCACAGCACAGCACAGCAGAGACTGACAGGAAGAATGAGGACAGAAGAGGACTGACATGAGGAAAGAAGAGAACCGACATGTAACAAAGGCCTCTGGCCGACTCGAACCACAAACCTGACCGTTACAAGATAAGTGTGTATGGACTACTGGAATCCAACCAAGACACCAACAACATCTACTCTCAAGTCACCTTTCACCTTACCTACCTTGAGATTTGATTGTACAGTTCATAAGCTATTTTGTTTTTTTTTAAATTTTGATTCGTGAAGCAATCAATTGAAAAATCATGAAGTTTTTAATTAATGTAAATGGACCAAATTTGATCAAATGTAGTCCCTACTCATTTTCAAATAATGTGCTTTTTAAAACAAACAAGAATAAAATTTGTATACAATCCAAGACTTTGCTTTTGTTGCCTTTACATTCTTGCATATTATAAAAAGTAAACCAAGTGCCTTCTGGTTACTCTTTAAAGTGGATTAAATGTAAACTAAAGAGTAGCCAGAAGAACTTGCTTGTGTGTGCAGCTTCTCTCACTCCTTCATTTTGTCGGAGCCTAATCCATTACACTTTCTGTAGCTGTGTTGGCGTAATACCTCTACCCTTTCTACTTTTTCAAACACTTCATTCTTTGCAGATGCAGCGCAGTATGTGGACCTGCTCCTACAGCAGAGGAGCAGCGGTGCAATTGTTTTTGAAAGCTGTGTTGCTCCATTTCCTTTGAAAGGCTAGTTAAGTCTGGAGATCATTTCCTGTCAGCAGTGAGCTGCATTACAGGCCTGCTGCTTCAGAAGGTTCTCTGCTTTGATAGCTGACTTTCTGACCCCTGGTATGTGTCTGTGTTTGAGACGAAAAGCATGTGGGTATAAGTTTGTTTATACACTATACTGTACAGGTTCCACTGCGCTCTGAACGTTAGTATTACCAAGAGTAACAGGGAGCTTTAGAGCCTGTTAAAATTTAATGTTTGTCTTCTGCACATGTCAATTGTCAACCCTCTTAGTTATTGTGACCTCTGGCTACTCAGGCCTTTAATTTAATCCTTTAAATCCCGACTACAAATAATCGATGAGATTAGAGGAGATCAAAGGCGTAGGAACTGCAGCTGCATCTGCATAATCAGTTTGACTTTAAATTAAAGATGAGGAACCAGATGATTGCATGTTTGTACTTTGGCCTGTTATTTCTCCAGGTATGCTGCACCGTATCCAACGTTGCATTTGTGTGTGTTGAGTGAAGAAAATTTATGAAGCTGAAGATAAAAGTTGAATAACTTAACACTGAATTCCCCCTCCATCAAAGCTCTGCGCTTCATGGAAAAAAACCCTGGACCAGAAGGTACAATAGGTCAGCAGTGCAGGGGGTTTGACCTGAGTGAACTGTCCAGAGCCGTCTCCATGACGACTGAATGGGTGGCTGAAGAGTGATATTGCGTCTCCACACTGGGATGAGCAGAAAGAGTAAAAAGAGAAAGGAGGGAGAAGGGGATCTTGGTTTCATGGTTTGCAAGGGGAGCTAGCATTACATGAGAGTTAATCGGAGTGATGACATTGTTCCTGAGTACCAGCTGAGTGCACCTTTACATCCACCTCTGTGCAGGAAGGGCTATTCATCATCCGGGCCCCCACAGGTGGAGCAGATGGACAAAGGGACAAACAGGCAGATAGATAAAGCCCTGTCCTGTGAGGAGCCTGCCCTGCTGCTGACACATTAATGTGTATTATACATCTCAGATTACGGATTGTTTCAGAGGAAATTAGGGATTGATTCTGAATTTTCTGGGTTTCACTGCCAGCCTGGGAAGGTGTGATATCTAAAGAGAAACACCAACATGTTGGACATGGATTATAGTTAGGGGCTGCTCTGATGCTTATCTGCCCGGCAGAAGGAGGGTCTTACCTGTGGTGAGTTGAAAGAATGATTTTCATTTTCTGAATTATGATTATGGCTCAAGAAACACTATTTCCTTGTTTTGATTAAACACTGAATTTTTACAGTGTTGCTACAATTGAGAGATTCCTGGAATATCCTATCTTCAAAGAGTCAAATGGAGAAAAAATACCCTGTTATTGCTGGGAGGGAAAAAGGTAAGGTTATTTAGAGGAACTACTATTTCATGTGCATAAAATCTTTCACATCAATGCCAAAGCTTTGTTCAAGCCGACCGCCTTTGGTTGTTTACGTCATTACAATCGGGAAATGTTGACTTGAGCAGAGTAGAGGACTTCAAAGTGTGCAGACCTGCCAGGACTCGCTTTCTCCTGTGAAATATGCTCCCTCTTACTCTGCTTGTTCACATGTACCTGAACACATGTATGCTGATGTAATACTCTGCCTTTAGTCGTATGTTGTGTGTTCCAGTCTGTGAACATGGTAGATAACAGTCAGAGCAGGCACGCAAAAATTGAACAGACATTGAGTACTTGCACCCACCAACTAGTGTTGAAAACTTCTGCCCCTTAGAGTTTCTCTTACCTGTCATTTGTGGCAAATAATAATTGGATTTAATCGCTTTTAATGTGAAAATGTTCCCTTTGCATCTGTGATGTCTCCCTCTTTAGGGCCAGGACCTGGTCACTATGGCCTTCCCCCCACCATTGGATATGTTGATCATGACTTCACCAAGCTCACCAGCCCTGCCTATTCCTTTCATGGCAGAATGACTGACAATAGTGAGACCCTCGTCTTTCTCTCACCCACTTTATTGCTTAGCTGCAAATGTGCTTAAATATTTGGATGGCCATGGTCAGAATCTTCAGGCTGATGAGATTACAGACATATAACCATAATAGTTGGAAATACATTTTTAATAGTGTTGTACAAATAGTGTTTTCATCACATCACTATCATTCCATCACCAATAATTCAGAATTTTAAACCAGAGGTACTCATTTAAAGTGATGTACTGTGGATGTACCTCCACTAGGGGGCAACAGTACTCTGTAATTGTTGATTTTTCTTTGCAGGATTTGCCATCTGTCAGAGGAATAAAATACATTCAACTGATCATAAATGTGTACTGTCCTTGCAGTGTACCGTATTGAATCCAGCCCAGGGCCCCGGTATCATGTTGATGCAAAAATCACTTGCTTCGGAATGGATGGTACTCCTGCATACTCCATGTTAGGCAGAGTGAAATGTCAGAGTAAGTTCTTATTCTTTACAGGAAAATGACTATTAAAAACACTCACTTTATTTCTGTTTATTTGTGTTGTCATTAGGGTTATAATATAATCCTAAACCACACTCAGAGCTCCATGATGGTTTTATCTCTGCCTCTGTTACTACTTTTGATCAACGTCAGCTGTTATAACTGAAAGTCTGGCACCCATTCAGTACATGCTCTGAACCATATGGTCTTGAGAGTTCATGTCGTTGTACTGTTTGTTTTCTGATCCCTAGAGGAGCTACTCCACACTCCTGGTCCAGGTGCATACAGCCCAGAGAAGGCCCCACCATGCAACCTCCAACGCAGACCCCCATCCTACACAATGAGCTCCCGTACACACTACAGGAGCATCGACCCGGTACCTGCTCCTAACAAGTACTCTCTCCCTCCACTCATGGGCCCTCAGGTCCCAAACAAGCCCGCTAGCGCATGCTACACAATGTCGGGTCGCTACAGCACTGGAGGACCATCTGAGGACTTGGCCAAGACGCCAGGGCCTTGCAGATACAACGGCACTGACCCAAGTGTTTATCTACACAGACAGCCGGCATTTTCCATGCTGGGGCGTCACAACCTACCCAGAGATGCTACCAATAAACCTGGTCCTGGAACTTACAGTCCAGAAAAAGTGACTGTTCACAAAGCCAAGGCACCGGCCTACTCCCTTGGAATCAGACACTCTGAATTTGTTACCCCCTTGGTCGTCAATGTCTCTGACTGAACACCATCTACAAAAAAGAAACGGCAAGGGTGAAGAAGTATGTTTAATTTTGTTCTTTCAGTAACAAAAAGCTGGTTGAATCAACCACAACTCACTTTAAAAATGTATAATATCTACAAATAATATATACATTAAACAAACGCAACTTTGACAAAGAGGAAACATTCAGAACACAGGAGCCCTCTACGGAAAATGAAGAGCTTAAGGAAAATAAAATTAATCATGAGAAAATGGCATCAAAGGAAAAAAAATACTGAAAGTATTTTAGATTAATCACTTGACAGGCTTGCTTTTACCTTCATTTAGTTTGTGAGGTTATCATTTACAGCGGACCAAAGGCGTTTGCCTCTATTAACCTCTTAAAATTGAGGAAGATGTAAAGGACAATAAACACAATACAGCAATGTTTACTAAAACAGTAAATTAGATCATAGATAGTTGCAGGAGAGATGCAGCATCCAAAATCGGCAAAAATACTAGCAAGTGTATAACAGATGTTCCAGTTCAATCCTTGGGGAGAGGTCTTCTGAAAAGCAATATGTGTGGCTCTGAGGAAAAAAGCAGAGAAGAAGTTTCTGTCAGCACTAACCACTGCACAAGACTGATTCATTCACATTGTTTCTTATATGTAGTTGTAACTTGTCAAAAGCAAAACAAGAAAATATCAATGTGATCACAGCATTGTATATTAGCCATTGGTGGATAAACTTGATAAAGTTGTGCCTAAGTAGAAGTAAAACTACCTTTCTGTAAATCCACTCAAATTAAAGTTAAAAGAGTACCTACTTTTAACCCAGGTCAGGTGGTTAAAAAGTAATACATGTAACCTAAATTATACAATATTCTTCTTAAGGTAACTGTTAAAGTATAACCAACAGGAGACCGTTGTGACGGGATTTTGTTGACCAGACACCCATCCAGGTTGAAGTAAATATTTAGTATTAGTTAGTAGACAGTCCCCCCTGCGTGGAGTCACTCCCTTTTGTGAAAATCGTTCACTGTAGATTGTCCAGCTCACAGGAGGATGGCTTGTTCTATGAAAATGAAGTTGTGGCTCACTGTCTTCTTCACTGTGGTTGGACAAAGCTGATTTTGTAGCAATGTAATATGTAGACAAATGCAATACCTCTCACAGATAATGCTTGAGTTGAAGTGAATGTTAAAAAGAAAAAGAAAGAAAAAAGAAACTAAACTTATGGACTGATTAAAATTATCAGTAGTAGAAGTTCTTCAGCAGCCAATGATTAGAGAGCAGATCAGTCAGTAGCAGTTATATAATGCTGATATCACATTGTTGCAGTCTTTTGCATTTGATGAAATAGGACAGTATTATAATAGAATATCTGGTTTAGTAAGTTACTGCCTCTTTTGGATTTCTGTGCAGCCATCTGTAGTTATTAAAACTGTAAAATACTAAGGACATTTGGGGGTAAGAGAAAAAGGCATGTGTAAGTCCATTATTCCAAGCACATTACAATCTAATATGCATGGTTTTCTAGGTATGTTACATTTAGCATAGATTTTATGAAAAGAACAGCTCTATTCTTTTTATTCGACCAGCATGCACTTGAGTTAAAATCACTGTCCAGTAACAGTTTGAGATTTGATTTGTATGGTGGCGGAGAACTGCCACTGCTGCAAATAAAAAGGATAAAAACAAAAAAAAATTATTTTTAAAAAGCCACAATGGCAGTTAACGATGCAAAAAAAGTGGAAAAGTGTCAATGAAAATAAAAAAGTTACTTACGGCAAAAATAAAAGGATGCAAATAAAAAAAGCCACAACAAAAGCGAGCTGCCGGGGACCAGTAATGATGATGCACTGGTGTTTTACGATCTAGGCACAGAAAACAGCGGCAAGAACACGAGCAGAGAAGTTATTGGAAAGGTTTTTGTTTAATTTCGCTTCGTGTGCCTTTCAATGTGTCATTTGGTTTGGCCATGTAGCGCCTGAGTGGATATGAAGTTGAACTGGAGGATACCGATGTAGTGTTAGCTTCAGTTCAACTTATCGACTCAGGTGCTACATGGCCTAACTAAATGCCACGATGAAAGATACACAAAGCAAAATTAAACAATAACCTTTCCACTCACTTCTCAGCTCGTCTTCATCATTATTGGTCCCCCGGCAGCTCACTTCCGTTGTGGCTTTTTTTTAATTTGCATCCTTTTATTTTCACAGTGAGTAACTTTTTTTTCTATCACCATTTTTTTTTTTGCGTTAACTTCTGTTGTGGCTTTTTTCCCGTTTTTATCTGCACCGATTCTTTTTTTATTTACAGCCGGCTTCGTTTTCTTTTTTTTGCATCGGTAACTTCCGTTGTGACTTTTTTTTTGCAGCAGTGGCTGTTCTTGGCCACCGTAGAGTTGCTGTCATTTGGGATGGAAAACCTGTGTTATAATTTAGAAAAGATGATGGCCACATTAGCCTCCTGAGCCTCGGCATAAACCTGTGCCAGTAATTTTAAAAAGACCACTAACTGGCTTAAACAATCACTGATCGGCTAAATCGGTCTAACCCTAATCAATAGCTCTACCAATGAACAGTTTGGGTTCGTGGCCAAGTGTTTAACCTTCCTCCTGTGTTAGCTTTTGCTAGGCACCCACCGTGTTAAATCAGCTGTAAATTACACTAAAAACATTTCTCTATCATCCAGTTCGGTTCTCATCTCTTGGTGACCTTGTTAGGCTCCATTATCCATGAAAATATTGCTTATAATAGCTTTTGTTGTGGTCCTTTGGTCCTTTCTTTGTCAGTATAACCCTCATACAGACATCGATACTGAACTGATCTCACTCTGGACATGCCTGAGGCTGTATTTTGTTGGGAAAACCAGGCAAAATGAGAATTTCCTTAATCTCACATGATTGGAAGAGGATCTGACTGTCAATGCGGTGCCTGACAGTGCACATATGATTTCAGTTTTTGCTCTGAGTATTAGATATTGATCAACAGTGACCCTACAGTGCCATGATTTTAATAAGAGCATTTTATAATTTTGTCAATTTATGTTTTTTAATTTGTTGAAATAGAAGTTCCTGACAAAGTCAAATAGTCTTGAAACAAAAAAAACTTATTTAAGTGGTTCTTTTAAGCATTTAAAATCAAAATTGAGCAGACCCTAACACAGGGGGAGGATTCAGACAACACTAGACCGATTGTGTGAACCTAACCTCCATATCTTACCCGGTGTGTGAATCATGTAGTGAATCCAGCCCTGGCTCTGCTGCACCCCGAGTCCTCTCCACTCTTCCTCTGTCATCAGGTGGGTGGAGGACACGAGCTTCGACAGCTGCTTTGGAAGCACGACATGTCTGCAGGAAAGGAACCGTAAATACAACAGTCAGTACGGACAATTAGGACCTAGAAAGCTGTGTAAAGTACAAAAAATGAGCCCCAAGAATGACTTACAGATTAGTGAGAAAATTTACACGAAACCTTAGGCCTCAATTTATCATATTGACGTACTTAAGGTATCCTAACACCGTTCAAATAGAATCGTTGAAGACTAAACGTGGACAGTTAAGATCTCCAACAAGGTTTTTTTTTATAACAGTCGATGGGTACCGCTTGCTACGAAACCTATCTATAACCAGACAGCATAATGATAAATATTCGACTGCCTTTTACCGATTTTAAGTCAACTATATGAAAATAAAGTCACCAGCAGATGTTAGTATTGACGTAACATTTACAACTGACTATCAGAGACGTTGATATATGTTAAACGTACCTGTACTCGAACTCCTCGTCGTTGTACTTGTCAGAATAGATAATCTGTTTTTTCGACATTTTTGCTCGATGATGAAGTCGAAGATAAAAGTCCAAAGAGCTTTGTCTGGTTTGGAAAAGTATTTTGCTCTCTAACTTATAAACTATATCTGCGAGCTCAACAAGCTGCCGCTGCTGTCATCTGCCGCTGTTTTCACAACGATTCAAACACCAACGGTTCCTCGCTGTCCCCAGATTGGTCGAAACGGCAGCACGCGGACTTGCTCTATGTTTAGATCGTCTATACTCCGAAAGATGAGGCACTCTAAACTTTGCGGTAAACTTCCCAACGGAGATAGCACTGTTTGTAACACATGGTGTACATTGGCAGCTACATTGATCAAACTTTGCGATAATTTAGCTATATTCTCGAGCTTTAATCTGAGATAGTTAGTTCAAACGAGTTTGTATTATTCATTTTGACGTGTTTGTAAAAGTTTCCAGTCCCTCGCCATAAGTTTTGGTACGGGGGAAAAGCTCTTCATTAATAACGTTGTGTGCAGCTCTGAAAGAGGGGCGTAGCAAAAATGTCAGAGCTAATGAGCAAATACAAACATTGGGTAAGAGCTAATCCACTCTGTTATAAATTTCAGCTCATATCGATTATGCTGCTGCAGGATGCCCTTTTTTGCTGATAGACTGACAGACCTTATTATATAATATTACCTCTTTTTCATTTGAACTCTTAAAAGAATCAAACTGAAAATATAAAAAGTGGGCTTCTAACTAAATGTTAAGTATTAATCTTCCTCTGTATTGTATCTTGAGCTTTATTCTTAAAAAATCAATCAGATCATTTCCTTTAGGTAAAAACATATTTCAAATCTCTTTGACTTAAGATATTTTTATCTCCAATGACAAGGCCAAGCACATAGATCTGCACCATAGTTAGCTGAGGTGTGTTTTCTAAGAAATGGTACCTCTTTTGGTCACTTATTTTCATCAACTTCATCCTTACATGTTAACCAGTTAGGGGCCTCTATGCTGTAACAGCCTCTGTTGTTGTTCTTAGTTGTAATCACTGTTCTCAGGATAATAGCTGCTAATGTGTGGTGGTTTATTCACAGCATGATTTGTTCCACTTGTAAATGCAAACTACTTTGGTCAGGCGGTAAATGTTAACCCTACACTTACAGGACAACACATTTAGGGCTACTTATGTGTTATTCATTTGTCTGTTTTTATTGTTGGACATTAAACACACAGTCTTCTCCAAATGGCTGCCGCTGTGTTTTTAGGAAAAATGATGGCTTGAAGTCTTTCCTTCCTCTGCATCTGAGTGATGTGCTGCCTACTCAGTTATTTGTTTTGTGACAGAGAAAATAGGACAGTACATACTGAGGCTGGTCAGCTACTTGTGCATTTGTCAACATGCATTGATTCCACCTGGTTTATCAGTAACTTCTTTGTGGCAAACAAGAAGTGATTGGCTGTTTAAAGGAAGGTGGGATGCCAATAGTCCTGCAACCTCACTTCCTATGGTTGTTAGTGTGTATGTGCGTGATTTTGTTGGTCTTCTGGCCTCCTGGACCGATCAAGGCTAAAGCATCTGTATGCTTTGATATCTGAGGACACGCTTTTTTGAATAAGAATCATTGCAGGTTCACTGGACTTGGTTTCGTTATTATCCTGTCTCATCAAAGTCTGGTACTTAGGTAAGCACTGTGCCTTTTACTTTTTTCTACATAACATTTTCATTTTAAAGTTGGATTCAAAGATATCAACTGGACTTTAGTCTTTAACTAATTGAGCACCTCCTGGTGTGTGTGTTAAGATTTGATCAGCAAATTTGCCGTCTTTTGGCATAACAGATGTCCCTGACTCTTAGCTCAAAGGTATAAATTCCAAAGCTAAAATTGTTATCTGTTTGCAGATGCTTCTTGCTGGATATTCTGTCTTTTTTAATCTGTAATTTTAGCATTTAAATCTACTTTCCTCTTAGATACATTCTTTATTAATGGCACGATAAGAATGATATTGTTCCCTCAGTTAAACTTCATACATTCATACTAAAAGACAAAAACAGGCAACAAAAACAGATTAAAAATAGTGAGTAAAAATGGTTTGACTGGGAATAGGAGGGCAGGCCTGAGGTTATGGTGCGAGTCGAAGCTAAAAGCATGGTGCTGAAATAGCTGATTGCTCTCTGGAGAGATGGGTGGGATGGAAGTTGGGAGGAGAAGTCAGACAGATGGGACTGGGTGGATGTTTTGAGACCCTTTGTAGTCCCTTATGAGTTTGGTTGCATTATCCCCTTTGTTAAAATATTCTCTGCTGCCAAGACCAATGGAATTACACAATCACTCAAACACACCAAATGCACATAGACACACTGGATGAGACTTCTGCCTGTTTTTATAGACAATCACCAGTTAAGAGTTTCTTTTAAAGAGAGTATTTTCTTTTTTTATATGTCAGTTTAACTCGATAAGTGGTGTAGTAGTCATGGATGTTGTTTAACGTAATAATCTGGTATGCATTTTGGCCTCCAACTATAGAATAATATCCAACTACTCATTGAGGATGAAAATGGTGTATGTGCATTAGGGCTGCACGATATTGGAAAAAACTAATTTTTTTAAATTTTTTCAACCCTGCGATATATATTGCGATATTAAAAAATAGAGGAATTTTCACCAGATGACCTGAATAGCAATAGGAGATATTTTTAGCTTTTATTGTGCTGGGACGTTATTGTGGCAACAGATGAACACAGAACAGTTGACGATTGGTGATGTCATCCTTCTTGTAACCGAAATAATTCCAGATAAGTGACGTTGCCTTTCTTTTTGCCAACAAGTCTTCATCTTCAATGGTTTTTTTGTTGTTCATTTTGCAATCGTTGTTGTTGGTATCAGTCATGTGCCGAGAAACCCATGTCTGCCGAGAATTGCATGCACCTCGCAAAACGCGCACTGCTTATAGTAGTGGTCCATGGAAATGTACGATTTAAAACACATACAGTTCTTATTTGTGGGACTAAACTATGATGAGTAATGTTCCCAAAGTAATTCTCGGCGGGCATGCCTACTACACTGCAGGCTTTGCAATGTGACTGTAGCGTATATCGGCACATCGCGATGACGATGCTCAAACGATATATTGTGCAGCCCTAATGTGCATTAGAAAAATGGATAAACCATTTCCCCTCAAGACAGGCTACTTCTAAAATCCGGACTTGAGTACTTGGAGATATCAGAGTCATAATATAGGTGAAAAAACACTGATGTGAAATTGTGGTTGCCTTGACCAATATAAAAATCACAGTTCTGTGTTGTGGTTTATGTTAAAATCATGTAGTTAACCTCAGACCAATGTGTTTTTAGGACAGCTGATACAGTGTAGAAACATATGACTAGGCTGCTTCATTTCAAATAATTTTCCACATTAGTCTGGCTTCTCCATCCCAGAAACAAAAAGGAGCAAGAGGAATTATGGAGTCTTTACTGTATCTAAAATTCATCAGTCATTATCTTGAAAAAGCTTACAGCGAGTTGCTAATGTTTACTTGCAGGATCTCCTCCATTCAAAATGATAGGTTTTTGAGTGTTAATGTGCATTTATGTGTGCAACAATATGTAAACAGGGTGGTTTAGGCAGATGCGTTTTAGCTAATACAGTCTGAGAGCAGCTGGGCAGGGCAGGGCTAATAGACCCGATGACATCATACAAAGAGAGAGAGAGAGAGAGAGAGGGGGGAGCAGGCGAGTGAGAGAGCAAGCCTCAGGCAGTTAAAGGAAGCAGGCCAGCTCAGACAGAGAGGAGCGTGGCATGAGTGTGGGACAGTGTGTGTGTGCGTGTGTGAGCTGGAGAGGTGCATACACTTGACAAGGATATAGGACTCCACCTGGACGGTTTCGTCTCTAGTTTTTTCCCCTTCTTCCAAAACACCTCTCCCCCTTCCCTCCCCTTCCCCCCCTTTTCCCCTTCCCCCTCCTCATCCTCTGGCAGTCATCCCTCCTTTACAGCTTCCAGCGGCTCCTCCGGGCATGCTCCTTAAGCCAAAGTATGGCCGTTTCCGCAACGAGTCTGTGACCTCCTCTGATGACCTGATGCAGAGCTTAGCCATGAGCGGCAAAGTTGTGGCTACACCAGTGGTCCCTTCCTCCACCCCAAGCCTCTCTCTGCCTCCTCTGCCTCCTCTACCTCCTCTGGATCCCAGTGCCAGATCCTCCTCCTCTGCTGGGGCCGCGGCTCTGGCCGACTCCCCCTGCCTGGACGGGGAGCAGGATGCCACCACTACCTTCTGCATGCTCATCCCGAAGATGCCCCAGTGGAAGTTCTCCAACTCTCTGCTCAGCCGGAGCCCATCCAACTCCAGCTCCAGCTCCAGCTCTAGCAAGGACTCGGGGAAGGCAGCAGCAGCTCCTTCCCAGAGCTCTGTGTCTCTTTCCTCATCATCACATAGGCCCAGTGGTGTGACCTCAGCCAGTGGCCCCGTGGCTAGTCTTGCAGCGGTACTTAACTCCTGTGACCCTGTATGTGTCACCCCCTGTTCCTTACAGGCCATTCGTGGGCAGAGGGCAGTGGCAGCGGTGAACTCTGCCAACCCAGGAGGGCACACATTCGGGGCCACAGAAGCCATAGGGAGCCCTGGGGGATCCAGCAGTTCCAGATCAGGGATGAACCGAAGAACAAGAGTGGAGGGTATGTGGCTCGGGGGAGAGGACTTCACCCAGAAGGGGAGCTTCATCCACAAACCTTCTCAAGGCTGGCTGCACCCAGACAAGAAGATTGCAGGACCGGGGGCTTCTTATATTGTCAGGGTGAGTTGATGGACTACCTTTTTAACTGGTGTCAATTTTTCAGGAAAATCCACCTTATTATCTTTATAACTTTGTATTTGTTTTGAAAGTAACTTTTCACTCTCTTGCACTCAGATAAAAACTAACCTCTCTCAGGAACAGGAGAAACAAACAATATTGATGAGCCTGTTTGGAGGTTGATCTATGTAGTTGGGAAAAAAAGACATCAGTGCCAGGCAGTTTGTTATTCCATGCATGTGGCGAGGGCTGGGGAATACATAGTTTAATCCAGATAGAAAGCTTGGTGTGGCTGGCGGGGAGACTGCGTCAGGATAACAAACAGGCGTCAGGGTGGTGAAAGATAAACAATGAAATTATGTGCACAGACTGTGGTCAGGATCATTATCAGCTGTACTGTTTACAGTGGACCACATATTATAATACAATAACCATCTTTATAAATAGTACTTATGAACCATGTTTGATGGTGAGCTCTTACTGTAAGCCTGTGGGAGTGGTGTTCTTTGTGTTGTTTTGGGATTGTTTTCATACAGATCATATCAATACAATGTGATTTCAAGCTCTCATCTCAATGCATGACACTTTTGAGTAATGAGTATAACCAGTATCACTATCTCTAAACAACCCGTCAAACTTTGAGGCTTTTTATTAAATAAGATAATGCTGCATATATCAACAGACGGCTCGCTGCCCCGTCAGAGAAATGTTTAAAAAAGAGGAGTAACTTTCTTCTGCAGAAACATGTCTATCAGAGTAAACTTGTAAATTCTGTTTACAAAGCAGCGCCATCTCATTTAGACGTCATTATCATGATCTTCCTGTTTTCCTCCTCCTACATTGCACCTTCTTCCCCCCTCTCCTCATCCTCTCTATATCCTCCTCGAACTAAGGACGTGGCTCCTGATTAGCTCAGTCTGGGAGCCAAGGATACTTTGCAACGGCATTATACAGGCACCATTCATTTCTATATTCAATTAGGTTTAATCACAGTCATTTGTGTCATATGATGTAGAAGAGGACGCTTGCATCAGTATGGGAGGGGTCCCATAATGAGTGTGTGTGCAGTCTCTCTCTTCTTCACCATGCAGGGCTTTCCTCGATTCATAACAAGTGCTGCTCTAATATCTGATCAATATCTTGCTTAATTAGCAGAGCTTTTATTGTTGTCATGTGAAGGTGTACTGCTCTCACTTTGGATGGCTGGTGTGAGATAATGTTTGAGCTGTATTCCAGGGGGGACTGTAGGTGCAGTTCAATGGTGGATCTATGCACAGGGGATACATGCTGCATGTATTAGTGTCAAAGTGACAGTAAATTTCTGCTGTGCTGTGCCATTTTTAATCGACATGGCTACCATAGTGCAGAGCTCTCTCTTTCTCTCCCTCCGTTTCTGTTCCAGTTCTTCTCACTCTCTCTCTCTCTCTTTCTCTCTGTCGTCCACAAACAGGCACACCCACATACATTTAATCTGGTGCTGGGAAGGATACAGACATGGTTCTGAGCACTGATTCCCTCCTTTACACTTTTGTCTTTGTCAGGCTCTGTGTCTGGCCTGCATCTGCCATCTTTGACAGCCAGGACACTGCAGTGAGCTTGAAAACAAAGCACTGCAGTGGCCACACAAGCATGTTATCATTTTATACTGCCGCCTAACAATCTAGCACAGAATATCTTTATCAAATTTTACATATTGACAATAATATAAGATAAGATAAACTTGTATTCATCCCACAATGGGAAAAATTGAAGTGTTCACAGCAGCAAAGGATCAGCACAGCAAACACGGAGTGCACACGGTGCACAGAAGATTATAAAAAGTTAACTTAGACCTAGAAACAAGAAATGTTATTTACAAAAAGAGAGAAAAAAGTAAATGTCATTTTTACCAAAAAGGGGTCTGTCAAGGTGCATTTGTTTTTAGGATGCTCTAAAATCTGCTGTGAACAGTGCATCAAAGTATGAAATTGGTTGATATTTAATCATGCACAACATGAAAATAATACGTCAGCATGCCAAACTGTGCTAAACTTGCTGTTTACACGCTCCACCTAGTACATATACTGTTCAGTAATATCCAGCAACTTTCAGCATTCTCTGCACATCAGTCCTTACACAACTTAAATTGAATTAGAGGTGACATGAGAAAACATTAAAATGATAGATTTCCTAAGAACACACGGTGGCACGTTGTGTTAATAGACTGCCAGTTTGATTGAATTTAGCCCAGGACTTCCTAGGAAGTCAGTGTCCTTTTATCCCTGCTTGGAATGTGGTGTTGGAGACTTGGCCAAAGGAATAGGAGTGCAGGTTTCTACGATAGAAAAAGGGATGCGTTGTATCAGCAGCAGAGTCTATCACAAAGGAGGCATTGGCTTGAGAGCGCGAAAGAAAAAAGAGAGACAATTTTCCTGATGGAAGACTTCCCCCGCTCCTTCAAATCTGGTTAGAAAGCTCATTAAGCTCTCAGGCTCAAAGGTTGCTCATTCTCCTCCCTCTCTTTCTCTTGCTCTCTCTAAATTTGTTCATGTGTTCTGTCTGCTCTCTGTTTACAGTCGCTACCAATCCTAGAGAACTGAACTAGATATGACACTGACTGAGCCAGAGTCATGTAGAGGAGGATGTAAAGTATGTGGCGCCAAATTAGTTTCACAAGATCTCATAAATCATAGGGGCTGATATGTGGCTGAAGAGTTTACCATCACGGTACACAGTACAGCACTTGTGTTAAAGTCTTAGTAAGAGAGACACTGACTCAGTCAATGATGAAAGTCTCACTTCAGTGAAAGTGAGAGATTCTTTATATTTACGTATTATCTCAGTGATTTATTTTACTTAATTCCCTAAATGTGCCATCGTTGGCTCTGGATAGCTATTCATCATCACCATGTTGTTGTACTGCATAGTTACTCAGCAGGCTAGCTTTAACACAAACAAAAAAGAGACCTCACCACTTTTTCTTTCGAATGCACCTTACAATACTACAAAATAACACATGAATGACTGTGCAAACCAGCACACTCACACCCTCAGCATGCAGCTGCAGTTTGTCTGTGATTTGGTGCTTTTAGTGCTGCTAATCTAGTCAGGGGGCCATTAGCACCCCAACCTGACAGCTATTAGGACGCTCCTCAGCTGGCAGAGGTAGTCTTAAATGGCCTGGATGTGGAGCTGAACTAGGTTATGATGCAATGTTGGACACAGTCAAGCCTGTCAAGAAAGGATTATGTATGATACACTTTTGGGATGTCTATGAAGTGTAACCTTGGCTTAACTTTATTCTATTCGATCTATTTTAAATATACAGGTACAAATCACAGGAGTTTTTTTAAACTGGTAATGACCACAGACCAAAATTAACAGTGATGCCTTTTCATGACCTACAAAAGAAAACTGGACTAAATGTGTGTGTCATTTCCAATACATTTTATTTTTTCTATTTCAATTTTTTCATATGGGATTTTCCACAAAACCAAAGATTACTCTTGTTAGTCGTTATGAAGGTTAAGAAAACTAAACCTATGACGCAACAAAACAGGTAGATACAAGAAACACAAATAAAGGAACACTTGACTTCAAACAAATAATGAAAAATAATACAACTTTTTTGAAATCTAAAATGACAATAACATACCAGGTTTTTTATACATGTATGTATGGACATACATATATAATTCTGTTTTTGTTGGCAAAAGTAATTGCTTAAAACTCCTGAGAGGGCTTGTAACTGGTGATAAAACAAACTGAAACTAATACTGATGGCTCTGTATGAGCTTCAAAAGCAAACAAGACATCAGCAAGACTGTTCATTTCTGAGGAGTTATTTTTAATACCTGAAACTGCCTCTGCGATGCAGGTGTCTGACAAAGAAGAAAGGAGCAGATTTCTGTTTTTTTTTTTTTCAGTTAAGCAAAGTGTTAAAAATAGAGCAGGATGAGATTTTCACTTAAGTTTTTTTCACAGGGGGTGCAACAATCAAAGATTCTGGCAGGAGTGTTGACATAAAAGAAAAAAGAACAACATTTTTATAGTTTGTTGCAAGTGTCTGTTTCATTTTTATCTTAAAACAGTTGAAATCACTGACTCTGATTTGCATCTGGAGGAGGAGGAGTAGATTTCCACTTGATCAAAATTTACCATCTTGGGCACATTTTAACCATAAATCTTTTTGAGCTTATTCCACATTTTTACTGCAACAACATTGACTTTGTTTTCTCTGTTTGATTTTGCAGTACATGGGCTGCATTGAGGTGCTAAAGTCAATGCGTTCCCTGGACTTCAACACAAGGACTCAGGTGACAAGGTGAGTTACCGATAGATCTATTTGTGTTGGTAAATCAGGAGAATTCAGTACAAGCTGTAGAGGGTGGACTGAAATAGCAGCCACAATGATTTCAATTGCAAACTGAAGGGTGTCACCTCGGGAAGACGGGCGTCTTCCTAGATCAGGAGTGGGCAGATTCTCAGTTTTTTATTCTTATCATGCCAGTGACACTTCATGCTTTCAAAACATATTAAGAATAGAACTGCTCATCAAGCTTTTGGTGTTCAGCAGTAAACTCTAGTTTGTATTGACAGCAGCACAATTTCAAAATTCTTAAAGTGGTTTTGATCAAATATCTTCCTCTAAAAAACCTCTCAAATCTGTTCAAAAGACCAGATGAAACTTCAGTCAGTGTTTTGCACAGTTATGGGAATAAAACGCTGTGGACAAACAGAACAGCAGTATATGTGCTCAGCTGCATGACATGAGAGCAGTACCTCAGGGTCTTTGTATGTCTGTGACAGTGTGTTGTTGTGCCTTGTGATGTTATTATTATAAAAGCAGGGCTTCTTGTCTCATGGGAGATGTGCACTCTCTCTCTCTCTCTCCCTCTGTTTCTCACCCCCCTCCCTCCCTCCCACTCTCTCTCTCTCTTTCTGTCCTCCATAATCGATCGGCTGTAATCTGAGCCTACCGTACAGCCGGGACTTAAGTGCAGGGGGGGAGGGTGCAGCAGGGATGGGGCGATAGAGAGGGAGATCTATTATTGATGATGTTTGCTAATGAGTGTGGAAAGCTGCAGTGGACCCCATGAACGCGCCCTGCTGGATAATGTCTGCGGTTGTAACTTCTTCAGGAGGAGGGAGAGAGAGAGAGAGAGAGAGAGAGGGCGGGAGAACGGTTGAAAACAAAACAGCAAAACATAATATTAGTGAAGGGAGGAACCAGACAGAGCAAAGCTGACTACTCCAGGCTTTGTCAGCCTGAATACCATGAGATAAATGTGTGATGAATAATGACATTTTTTAATGTTATGATGATGATATGAGGTCTTTCAAGTGAACAAATGTCAAAGCTGACATAAAGACTGTGACTTACATGCATTTATCTGCTGTTCTGTCCATTTTACACAAGAGCTGTGTTTGCAACATCCAACATTAATCTACAATAATTGCAGCAGTGAGGCTAGCTCAGCTGTGTTATTGGTAAAACGGTATGAAAACAAGGCAAATATACTCAGGGTTATTTCCACTGAATGTGTGAGAGCATGGCATTTTATGTTAACATTTGGGAAGCACAATATGGTTTTTTTGTTTGTTTCTAAGTCAATACCAATAATGGATAATAATCTTCTCCTGATGACCACTATCCATGAAGTTGATAAATATATTTATATTTTTTTAAGTTTTTTTTGTTGTTGCCAGAAATAGACCAAATAATTACATTTTGGCTTATCAGCACCTTAAAGGTCCTCACAAGGCTGATATCACCATTTTCCTCCCAAATTAAAAAGCACATTTTTCCAATGACAGCAAATTAAATCCAAAATGCCATTAGCTAGAGTTTTATGCACTCCTAAAAGGTAAAGATGCATTTATATACAATATTTATTGAAATCAGCACTTACACACACAAAAAAAAAAAAAATCTGACTCTTCATTCATATTTCATCTTTTTCTAACTTTGTGAGCCAGAACATGCCTCTACATGCGATTATGTCTACCCAGTTGAGCTCTTCATTCAGCCACTAGGCTGTCAAACACTCACTGGACCACTGCCAGCTGTCTATATGTCTGCGGTGAAACTTATGTCACTGATGTTTTTGTTGATCAGACAGTAAATGTGTGTGTGGAGATCCCATCATACAGGGCAGGCAGGGGGAGACTCTTGATACTGTTCCAGGTATTGGCTGGTAGAATTATTGGTCCTCTACTTCAGCCCAACAGTGCTTAAAACTCAGTGGCGTTGTCATTTGTTGCATTTTATTTTGTGTTGTTTTTGATGAACTTTCTGCAGTTTTCAAATTCTCGTTGAATTGGCACTATGGCGCTCACCCTTTTTTGGGTGATAACACTAGATAAAGCCACTACTTCAGTCCGTCTTCTGTATGATGAAGACTTTTTAGGTGGCTAAAGAGATCGGTTAAGTATGAATAAATCTTAACAACTTTTTTCTTCCATCCAGATGCACATGTTTTGTAAGTCATAATTGCATGAACCTAAAAACATACACACAGATGACACCAGTTTTATCCTTTCATTCGGATGTTCTCTGTTATGGCGACCCCTACTGTGCCAGATTGTGTTGGCTTGTTAAGAAGTAAATGACAGAAACTTTGATCTGTTTTTAGAATAATTAATACTTAGATATGTTCCCCTTGTTGGGTTAGTTATCTATCTGCCCAAAGTATGTTGTGTATCCCTTTTTTGCACATTTGTGTGAATAACAGCAGTCTTCTGCAGTGTGAGCATGCCCATCCTGTTTGAGTTTTTAGTATAAATCACTGCACTGACACATGTAAGTCATATTTCTACTAGAGTACAAATGATGGATGTGTTTTGTTTTGAATCTTTGCAGCCCTTGACTTTCTGCTTGAATTCAAAGTAGCCATTTTTTCTAAATATGATGCAGTTTATCAATTCCAGCTTCAAAACAGACTTTCAAATTTCCCAGTGATGCTCACAACATAAGGTTTGGGTCTCTTGATTCCCTGGGGCAACATGGATTGGATCATCCGTCCCACAAGGCTGAAAATCAATGATTTGTTGTCTCAATCAATTGAATAAACTTTGCAGATTACATTACTTTATCTTAATTTATTTACTTTATCGCAATTAATCCTGGATGCACCTGAAAAGAGCAAAAGCCGCCTTATTAGCTTGTAAACTTGTAGAGAAGAGAACTGGAAGAACCACAGCAAAACATCCAGCCAGTCCCAGAATCTTAAAAATGTAGTTCAGCTGCTGCATTGTATGAAGATGCATTTTCCCAACAGTGCTCTCTGTGTGAGGGTGTTAAACAGCAGCAGCAGCCGCGCTAATGATGCCCAGTGTTTTATTGCAGCTCAGATAAGGCTGCAGAGGAAAACAACAACAACAACATCCAGCCCAGCCCATCTCTCTCCTTCCCTCTTCCTCCACCCTGTGTCCTCTTTCTGCATGAGTCATTGTGATGTTTTTCAAAAATCCCTGAGAAGACCTTTACTTGAGATGGGGCCCAGGACTCTGCTTTTTAAATATTTACAGGCTACTTGATAGGGGCAGCTTGCTTCTTGCCTGCTGTCCCTGCTGTCCCCGAGTGCAAGCCTCAAATCCACATTATGTCTCACTCCCACTATCAGACACACAGGGGACAGGAGCCTTAGATGCCCATTAGGCAACCGTTCCCAGGAGTTATAGCAGCCTCACTGCAAAGAGGTAACAAATCTGCTGAGAGGAGTGCACTGTGGAGAAAAAAAATGCTGCAACACAGAAGTAGAGGAGGACGTGGAGCTACACTGACCCCACCTGCTGCAGTTGCAGTGTTTCAGAGTTAAGCAAGGGTCCAATAAACAGTCACTGCTGTCACTCGTCAGCAGTAGTTACTTGTGAACAGACCCTCTGGAAAGCTGCTGCTGAGATTAGAGCTGTGATGGGTCTGTGACCTCTGATCTCAGCTGGAGGGAAGGAACACAAAGCTTCTGTTCATGTTTAACCCCGGGTTCGTGCATCATTGTGATGCAGCATTTGTTCTTGTTTAAGACCTGACACTGACACTGACCTTACATTTCAATGTATCGATCTCTGTACTGCTGTCACAATTTCTTTCATATGTTCACCTATAAGAATTGAAGTATTTTTTCTAATTAGGAAATGTATCTTGAAGCTATTTCATGTGACCAGTGTGTTTTTAGCACAGTCTGACCTTCGATCTTTTACTATTTCCTTTATTAGAGAGGCCATCAACAGGCTGTGTGATGCTGTGCCAGGTGGAAAAGGAGCTTGGAGAAAGAAGGTTAGTAATTCCTCTGATCTTTCCTTGTATTGTTTCTGGTTCTATTTGATTAATGCTAAATATGTTAAATTGATGCAGTACAACTCAATAGCTATGAGACTGCTACCAAGAAAGTCATTTTGTAAATCCAGCATGTATATATATAATCATTACTGTTGTTGGTATTCTGACTTTATTCTCTATCCATTACAGGCCTTGAACAAAGCCCTCCAGTCTGTAATGGGAAAAAGTAACCTGCGATTTGCAGGCATGAGTATTGCAGTCAATATTTCAATAGATGGCCTTGGATTGCTTATTCCTACCACACGACAGGTAATATACCAAGCTGCTGAAAGATAATCAATTAAAAGTTTTTGCCATCGGTTCATGCATAAAACTTTCCTCCCTGAGAACAAATGACTTAAAATGACCCTAAAACTGGATTTTTATCATTTAATTTCACCAAGACTAAATACAGGTGAATTTTCAATCCATAAATAACCTAAAAAATCTGCTAGTTGTGGTTAAAAAACTCATTTGGTTGTAGTGATCCTAGTCTAACCGAATATCACCCCAACATAGGATTTATTCCCATTTTAATCCACCACGAGTGGAGCACGCTGCTGCACTTAAAAAGTTATGGTTGCAAAGATAACCTTCATTTTAATGGGCAGAAATTTTGAGTAGAACCAGACTCACATTAGTCTGCCACTGGTGCATTTGGATCAGAAGGAGATAGAGGAAGGTAAAGACAGAGATGGTTTCTCAAACAGACTTATGGTTACAGTGTTAATGACAACAGTAAAAATGGTAACAGTATGTGTAATATTTACTGGAGCTTCAGAAACTTGTCTCAAAGTTTATGGCATTTCAAGTCAACAGGTCTAAGAGTAGTTATTGCAATAATAATGCAAAGTAGGAGTAAGATGGATAAAAATTATGATAGTTGAGGTCAGGTAGATAAAAAAAAAATCAACATTAGCTTTGTCATAGTGTGATTATAATGGTGAGGCTGATACTGAAAGCTGTATCAGTTAATTTCCGAATCTATTGTAAATAAATCATTGACGGCGTGTTGAAATGAATTACTGTCAAACCTGTCTCAGCTCTGTCCCCTTCTCTCTTCTAGGTGATAGCTCACCACCCTATGCAGTCTATCTCCTTTGCCTCAGGGGGCGACACGGTGCGTGCATCATTTCACAGGCTGCGCTGCTTTGTGTTGCTGACATTTTGACAAATTCACTGATAGTTTGGCAGACTGCACATGTCTGACAGGATTAAACTGAGCTGGTTTAAAATGATCACTGAAGTCTTTTGTTAAAAAGGCTAGACCTGTTTTTTCTCTGGTCTAACTGAATTTTTTCCCCTTCTCTTTCAGGACACGCCTGATTATGTCGCATATGTGGCCAAAGACCCGGTGAATCAGAGAGGTATGCTATTCTACCTTTTAGATCTCACATCAACTTCAAAAGAGTTCAAAGTTTTAAAAATAAATCTGAAAGACCACCCTGTGATTTACAAGTGGGGGAAAAATTGTAAAACCAAGATCTTGAGGATCTTACCCCTAAGAGGACAAGGCAGCTAGACATGTCTCCTCTTCTCTGTTCCCTCCAGCGTGTCACATCCTGGAGTGCTCAGACGGTCTGGCGCAGAGTGTCATCAGTACCATCGGACAAGCCTTCGAGCTGCAGTTCAAACAGTACCTGCACAGTCCTCCCAAAACCATGGCACCAGTGGAGAGGTAATGTGCCAAAACGATGACTTTTATGAACAGCCTCAAGAGAGTGTTTGAGATTTCAGACAGACAGACAGACAGACAGACAGACAGACAGACAGACAGACAGACAGACAGACAGACAGATAGATAGATAGATAGATAGATAGATAGATAGATAGATAGATAGATAGATAGATAGATAGATAGATAGATAGATGATTATACTTCTAAGGTTTTGCATTGATGCCACTGTAGGAAACTTCAAACTGTGCAGCTTTTTTGTCTGTTTTGATTTCCTTCCTGCTCTCAGCACTCCCAGCAGCAGCTCTGTTGATCTATATAAATCTCTGTCAGATTATTATAGATCACTTTCGGATGTGGAAATGTTATCTGATCAGACCGCATCCATTCGAGAGCCAAGATCTTCTCATCATTATCATTCCTATTAATATCATGAAATATCAATAAATATTAGTTTAATTCTTGACGTTACAGAGATGAGTGTCTTTTTTCCACTATATTTATAGAATTAAGTTGTTTATTTCGAGCATGATGAAGAAAAAAAGCAAAGATGACAGGAAACTTAAGCCAAGGCTTCAAACACACATATTCACAGCTGACCACATTACAACAACAACAACCACTTCACAGCAGCACTTGGCAACTCTCCAGAGATACATGAACCAAGATAACAAAAGTATATACCAAACACACAGCACCGTCTGCTACAGTCTTAATGCATGAATATATTTTTCCACATGAGCTGTTGTCTTTTCTCAGGTCTGTCAGGACAGAGGAGTCCATGTGGGGAGAAGATGAGGACCCCTCTGATCATGATTATTACAACAGCATCCCAGGGAAGGAGCCTCCTGTTGGAGGGGTGGTGGACTCCAGGCTCAGGCCCAGTGGATCCTTGCTGGGTCACATTCACACCCAACCACAAGCAAGCAAGACAGCAGCACAGGTAAATATCCGGGCAGGGCTTTTGAACATCAGGACAGGCCTGGTTCTGGATTTTAGTCTGTCACCTTTGCTGTGCAGGATGCTTTTGTTGAATAGAAGAATAGAATAGAATATTCCTTTATTGATCCCCCATGGGGGAAATTTTTTTGTCACAGCAGCATCACAGACAAGACAGAAAGTGCAAAATGCAGTTATAACAATAAGGGTCCTAATATTAAGAACTTAATAAATGTAATAATTAAGAAAAGAATAATTGAAAAGAGAAAAGGGAGAAGAAAAAATAAAGCTTTCTGCAATATACACAATTTAAATGCCATAAAAAAAGTGGTGGTGTAAATCCAGTTTTGTTACTGTTCATTGTAAAGTCTTATTGCAGAGGGGAGGAATGATCTGCGGTAGCGCTCCATCCTGCAGGGTGGGAGTCTCAGTCTGCTGCTGAAGGAGCTGCCTAAAGCCCCCACAGTCTGGTGCAGTGGGTGAGAGGGATTGTCCATGATGGATATAAGCTTTGTTAACATCCTCCTCTCACCCACCTCCTCCAGGGAGTCCAAAGAGCAGTCCAGGACAGAACCGGCCCTCCTGACCAGTCTATTCAGTCTCTTCCTGTCCCTCTCGGTGCTCCCTGCCCCCCAGCAGACCACTGCATAGAAAAGTGCAGATGCTACCACAGAGTCATAGAAAGTCCTGAGCAGAGTATAACTAGTATAGTATAGTATGAGTATGAGTATGTATGAGTATGAGTATGAGTATAACTATAAAAACAGCGCTGAATCCAGAAGAATGAGTTGCGACCAAACCATCCAAATTTAATTATGTTATATCTAGTTGTTATCAAGCGTGCATGACTAACCTTTAAGCAATGGCTCCTATTCTTAAATGAAACCCATGACTAAGATGTTTCTCTGCTACCTCTGCATACTACCTACATGAATGTACACAGCGAGAGCGAAACAGTATATCCCATAACAAACCTTCTGGTGTTCCTGCATCACAGCTGTCCAAGATGGATATGATTAGATAAGGAGGCTGGGCTTCTTTGTTGCCTCTCTGCTGAGTAAAAAAAAACATCTTTCCCTGGCTCTGAGAGTTTTCTATTCAAGTAAGGCAAGAGCAATTCACGTGTTATCCTGCTCTGAATGTGTGTTTTATAGATGGGCTCACCAGCGAGGAGAGATGGAGCATCCTATCCTCCTGGTCAGCTGTGTTATGAGCTGCACTGGGATACAGAAACGACGAGTGGCTCAGGTGAGACACACTATTGAGGGCAGAACGTTAATCTATACTCAATAAAGGCCTGATAAAGAAAAGGCTGATGGCTGGGATAGATTTTCTGTACTTCAATATGTTTTTTTGTTGTAGGAGTTATTTTAATTACTTCTACCTCTTTATTCTAAGCATTAAGAGTCTACATAAAGTTTCTTCTCAGTGATGAGTGAGTTGGAATACGAATAACCAAATTTCAGTTTGCTAACTATCAATAATCTACCCATCCTTTTGATGCATTAAACTGGGTAACACTTAAATTGACGCCTATCCCTTTAGCGCACTATAAATATATGTATAATGTGTTATAATCACATTATAGTACTGTATAACTATAGTTATAAACACTCATAAATGATCATAATGCTTTATAGCAATAATCATAACACATTATAAAGCATTTTATCATGACTTACAAGGTCAGGTATTATATTGTGTTATAACTGTTATCAACTCACTGACAATGCCCACATAGATAATACATTATACATATATTTATGATGTGTTATAATATGCTTATAAATTTGTATAACTATCATTATAAATATTCATTAATTATAACAATAAGCATAACACATTATAATACTTGACCCTATAATTCATGATAAAATGCTTTATAATGTGTTGTGCTTATCGCCAAAAGCATTATGATCATTTATGAGTGCTTATAACTAGAGTTATACAGTGCTGTAACGTGATAATAACACATTATACATATATTTATAATGCGTAATAGAGATAGGCGTCAAGTGAAGTGTTACCAAACTTTGTTCTTTACACATAGACATGCTATAAATACTCATTAGAAGACCAAAATAAGAGAATCACTAAAAAACTGATGTGATAATACTATATTTTAAGATCAGACTAATGCTAAGTTTTATTTTTGTTATACATATAAAAACTGCCATGTGCTTTTGAGTTTCCTTCTCTCTTTTCAAAGAGTTATTTCCTGCATTTTGCTTTAGTTAGAAAGTTACTAGCAATGAGATACATGTGAAAACAAGAGGAGAGGGAGGGAATCTGCTGTAGGAGGTGGCCCTCTCATGATATCCTGTATTTCAGTTGATTTATAGTTAAGGAACTAGTGATACATCCATGCACATTGCCATGGTTCTCTCAGTGTTTTTACCTATGTACAGAAATACCCTTTGACTATTCTGTGGTGTCTGACATGACTTAAGATTTAGCGCTATAATTTGGCCACTAGAGGGAAGCAAAGTACAAGACCTGTTTTGGATGAATACACGTACTCTCAAACACACACCTTTCCATAGCTCAGAAATGTACTGTTTTCAGGTCTGACTTCAGATGGATATCTTTGTGCTGATGGCCAACAACCAGGCATCAGAGACTATGAGGAGCATCAATACGTTAACACCCAGAGTCTGGAACACCTGGATTCACTGGCACAAGGACCTGATGGACACAGAGGCTCCAGGGTTCCTGACAGCCCCAAAAAGGACCTCTTTGACATGAGTATGTTGAAAGAATCAAAGTTACATGATTGAAAAATTCCGGAGTGACGATGTTTTCATTTGTGAAACTTCGTTGTCCTTTGTAGGGCCCTTTGAGGATGCTCTGAAGCTCCATGAGGCCTGTGGTGGAGCTGTTGGGTCTAGTGTGTCTGCTGCAGCTGGAGGTGTGCGGGTCATGGAGGACCAATGGCCCAGCCCTCCACGTCGACGAGCCCCTGTGGCCCCCAATGAAGAGCAGCTCCGTAGGGAGACGTGGTACCACAGCCGCATGAGTAGGCGAGACGCAGAGAGGCTCCTGGTCCGAGATGGAGATTTCCTGGTGCGGGAGAGCACCACCAACCCTGGACAGTATGTACTAACAGGCATGCACTGTGGGCTGCCCAAACACCTGCTGCTAGTGGACCCAGAGGGAGTGGTGAGTTACCAGCAACGCAGATCCATTATAACTGCACTGTGACACAGTAAACAGTTGTGTTTCCTAGTGTTCGGATCGAGTGTTTTTAACAGAATAGCTTACATGTTCCTGTCTTTTACTGTTCTCGATACAGGTCCGAACCAAAGACATGTTATTTGAGAGCATTAGTCACCTCATCTCATATCACCTGCAGAATGAGCTGCCTATTGTTGCTGCAGAGAGTGAGCTCCACCTCAAACAGGTGGTCAGGAGGAAACAGTGAGCTATCAAGCTGTGGATGGGATGGTGAGCAGTAAACTCCACATTTACAGGATAGTTAAAATGAGTTTGATTGAAAATTCAGGAAGGTAGCGGACATAAACTGTAATTTTAAAAAGGTTTTGGTAACACTTGATATAAACGCACATGTTACAATGCATCATTAGGACATAAGCCTTGTAAATGCGTCTATACAGCTTTATACCAGCCTAATGCCTTAAAAAGCAACTGTTTTGAACTCGAACTTATCCCTAAAATCTGATCTTTCTTTTCCTTTCACATTTTACAGAATGTTATTGTTGTCTCATGCAAAAACCACACAAGAAAACATGGCATCATGGAAACGGAAATCATTTATCCCAGAGGGAAGTTTGTCTGGCTGCAAGGATATCGCCGATGATTTATATCTGTGAACAATAATCTACAAAAAAAGGAGCAAAAAACTCTGACATCTCCCTGTACTTTTCTGCCTGTGGGCTTTCAGGATCACAAACTTCTCAGCACACAGTTAGCTAAAAAAACAAAGCAACCAGAGTCCGTATCAGTGTCTACCAATGCAGATGGATGGGGGACCAAACTTCAGAGAAGCAAATCAGGATTTGATGCACAGAAGAGTCCTACATGCCTGTGACAGTGAAGTGCTTCCAAATGATCACCCACCGAACAAATAATGGACATGGATAGAACAAACATACTGTATGTCATGTATCAACTGAAACAGATCCTGATCAAAAAGCAAATTTATCATTCTGTATAAAGGTGAGAAGAGTGACTTTAAGAGACATTAGAAAAAAACGACTGTTCATTATTCAAAAAAGACTGCTGGGTGTACCTGACACTAAGATGGCACAACGGAGAAACCCTTAACATGAGTCAGTGCCTGATTCATGAATAAGCCACAATCTTCTGCCTTTTGTTCATCACAAATCCACTTCCTCCATGTAGACAGTCGACTGGACATGCAGTACACTAACTTATAGTGGGATTTTAATCACTTTTACCATTAACTTCAGCCATTGTGTTGTGTTTATAAGGGCTGCTCATAGTTTGTATGTGTTGTCAAAGCTTATCAACCTATTATTAGTCAAACTGCAGTGACATTTTGAAGAAATCCTCCTCAGAAACTCAGTTTATCCATGCCTGTATTTCCACAGCCTCTCCAACTTCAGTGCCTTAAAGACTACAGGGACAGGCATTTGTGTGTCAGTGTATATATAATGTGCATTTATGCTCCTAATGCAGAGTTTTCTTGCCATGCCAATGAATGACTGAACAAACTTCAGGATGATGAAGCTCTTAATCTTTAACAGTGACGTAAGCTGCTCTTGTCTAGAGTGTTTAATACTGTCTAATTGTGTCATGAATGCTGGTGTATTTATGTATTTCCTACAACAATCCTCTTCTTTTCAAGCTAGCCACAGACAGCATTGGTGTGCAGTGATTGACAACAAAGACAGGGGATGTGGACACTAAATTCATTATTAGTCCCAACTCAGGGGAATATGCCACTGTATTGACTGTCTTTGTCCTGCGTTTGTCTTTACATGTCAGTGACTTGCTTCTGTGTTTCCAGACTGTTTTTTTTTTTAAATCTAATACTTGAGATTCCCTCGCCATATGCTTTTTGCCTTTTTCTCTGTGTAATTATCAGCATATCTTTGATCAGGCCCTCCACTGTTTTGAGCTGCAGCCTCATGAATGCACAGAAGGATAAGGTGAGCAACAAAGCCTGTAGTGAGGCATGAATGTTAATTATTCCAGATGACTTTTTTGCTTTCTCAGGAATTCTTTTTTGGACCTTCTCTTCGTTGATCGACTTTAATGGCTGTTTGTCAATAAAAATAATTGAGAAGAGGGTGCAAATCAAAGAGTATGGTTTTTCTTTTTGTGATCTCTCATATCTGGCAGCTCCGGAGTTATGCCCAGCTGTCAGACTTTTCACGCACATGTGCTGCAGCCAAATTAAGACCGCAGATTTCTATCACCCAAAATAGATGTGAGGGAGAGGGTGGAAGCTGCAGAAACCGAGTTTGTTTTATCTCTAATCAAGACGAATACGAGAAATTAAAATCATACACAGAGCAGTATGTTTTCCTTCTTTTATTATAACAATACGATATAACAATATGATATAAAACAATAGGCTTATCACACAATCATTTCTCTCTTCCAAATATAGATTTTCATTCTATTGCCCTCATGCTACCAGTAACTCCAGACTTACAGGCTGCTGAATCTATCCCGCCATGAAGGCACTCTAAAGCTCTGTTTTTCACTGTTTGGCTATCAGTTAAGCCTCAGGGATGTTATTACGGGTAATTCAGAGTACACATGCAGCTGCTTCTTTGTACAGTTCAGTTATTGTTTGGCGTTCCAGACAGTGTCTCAGTAATGCTCATCGTACTGTGCTGGAACTGCTTAATGCTGACTTGCACAGGGGATTGAATGAGGAGACAGGAGTTTAAGTGTTTTAGATTCAGTGTCCTGGCTGTGACATCCTCAGGATCTGGAGCAGCAAGCCCTGCACCTCTTCATCCATTCGACCCTGTTGGGCATCACAAAACAGAGAATGAAATGAGGCTTCTTCATGGGTTTCTTGTCATATAAAGGAAGGTATGGCATTAATTTAACCAGACAGCAAGAACCTCGGTGATGTGGTAACATATAATCTCAAAAAATATACTGCTACCCTTCACAGTGACCTAAAACACTGGACCTTTTCTGGCACACTGATAAATGTCAGGTGTATCAATCGCATCAGTAAGCCTGCACGGCACTCCTCCTTGCTCCTGATTGAAGACACTCTTGCAAGATTCAAGCATAAAACATAGTTAGGTGTCAAAACCAGTTAAAGGCCTGGTGGTGCAGAAAGCAGCCATAAAAAAGATGTCCTAAGTATGCAGAGGAAGCAGTCGCCAAAAATCAACAACCTGAAAATCCTCATGTTACCACCAGCATGACGAAAAAGCTTAGGTGTATATATTAGTTGTGGAATATGATGAAAGTGATCCACCCCCCCTTCCCCTGCACCTCTCCTGAAATTTCATCCACTTTGTCTAGGTAGCAGAGAGATGGACAGATCATTTCCACCCTTTATTGTATTCACAACAAAGAGGTCAAAGTCCAATTCAGCCGTCTGTGCAGTTCGCACAACAGATTATGAGAGGGAGTGAAACAAGCTGAAAGCCATCAACAGCTGAAATATGCCATCAAGTACACAAAAACTTAAAAACATACAGATATTCAATAAAAAAATCTCCTTAGATTTCATTTAAAATTGGGACTCCTGGTGTGTATGAGCAAATATAACTGACCTGCACAGCTGCCAGTAAATGTGAGCGGTATATGGCCACCACCTGTTTGTGCTTTCTCTCCCAGTCCTGCAAAAAGACGATGTTAATGTCATGAGAGATTCGACATGTTAATGACATTGGTGATACATATGGCAGTCAACCAAGTACTTCTAGTAATTATTTCTTCGCTTCAAACAGCCCCATTATCAGTGTCACCTGTAGCTGCTGGGTGAGTATGGCAATCCTGTTCTGTAGTGCCACTTGTTGCCCTGGGTTACCATGATGAGTGGATGAGGAGGGGGAAGAGGAGGATGTGATACCCAAAGGAGGTGACAGAGCTCCCAGGGCCTCTTTTAGCCGAAACACTTCCTTTGACAGCTCTGTAATCTAAAGACAGACAGACACATCAGTTTGACTCCCTCATGGGTAATTTCAAGTATATTCTGAATTTGCTCCCTGAGGTCGTACTTTGCGGTCCTTCTCCTTGACCAGCCCCTGGGATTCCTGAATGTTTTTGTGGAGCTCCTGGATGTGGCTGGATTTGGCCTGTAACTCTGAAAGCTGCTGCTGCACGGTGGTCAGCTGGGACTCTGCAACCTGCCGTTCACTCTTGTTAAAGAGAGCCTCCCTCTGGACCTGGAACACCTAGACAAGCAAAGCCAGCAATGGCATCCTGTTACTGCAGGAAGAAAATCTTTGACCGGTCATCATTCCTATTTAGCTGCTCTCGGCTTAAGTAAATGTAGGAGGATCTATGTGGTATCCAGGGGTGAAAGTAGGATAAGGTTCTTGCAGGTACTGTACCCGTAGGCTTTGTACAAGAGGAGCACACCCAAGTTTAATGAGGTGCCGACTCTGATGCCACAGTATCATCATCTGCTGCATCTCTCTTTCTCTTGAACATAAAATCAATTTTTCACTGCATTTTGCTTTATTTCTGCATTAAAACTGAAGCAGCCGTCTCTTTAAAAGTTCCCTCCTTCTGCAAAAGGTGGGAGGCGGTCCCCAGTGCCAAGGCAACCAGTGTCAAATCAAAAGTTCGCACTGAGCGCTCCCGCTTCTGGAGTTTGTTTGTTCGCGGAAGCAAATACGACTCACTTGCAAGCAGCATGATCCTGTTGGATTACTACCATTACAATGCAGAGTGCAGACTGACGTGTGGCAACATGGTAAGCAAATGTAGCCTACAGACATTGCAGGGGTGAAAGTTTGCATACCGGCTGTAAACTGCAGTTTATGTCTTCCCGGCACGGCGTACCGCTGCACACCAGCTTACTTTCACCCCTGGCTGTATCTCAATCTGCAGTAACACTGATGTTTATGCAAACAAAAGCTGCAGTTAAACAATTCACATTGGCTTTGAATGTGCTGTTAAAGTTTACGCCAAAGAAAAATGTGACCTCATATACACACTGGCTGTATTTGTCTATTTCTAGTACAAAGCACACTAGCTTTTACTTTTGAAATAAAGAGTAATCAGGATATGAAGTATCTAATGGGCAAGGAAACTAACCAGTTAACAAAGAGACAGTTCTCATAACAGATTGTCACTGTGCAGGCTTTGGGGGGTAAATGCAAACTAACTTCAGTGCATCAGTACACTAATATAATACACTGAAGGGTTGGTGAAGTATAGGGAGGTACTGAAAAGAGAAAGTAATACACATATGAATAATGCAGAGGGAGGGAAAAGCCTTCATGGAACACCGCTCACTTTGTGGTAAACACAATGAAACCAAATGTGGCTCTAGATGAGAAGGTATACACACACACACAAACCTCAGTGCAGGTCTTCTCATGTTTACGAGTGAGGTCATTAAAACGGGCCGTGAGAGCGTTGATCTCTGCCTGCAAAGAGAGTCGCTGGGCTTCGTGGTCCTCCTTAGAGATCAGACCCTGTTCTGCGGCCTTCTGGGACTTCAGCTCTCTCAACTCCATCTCCTTCTCACTTAAGGCCTCCTGAGCAGTGGCTGCACTTTTCTCACTCGTCTGTAGGAGGCGCTGGAGCTCTGCCTGAGTTCCAGGGAGCAAAGGAATCAGTCCATTATGCTCTTTAAAAAGCCATGGGTTTTCTTATGACATGTCATTGTGTTCAAACGTGCAAGCGCTCAACAAGGAATGAGAAAACCTCTCAAACATATTCATACATTAACCACTGGACTGTAAAGCACATTAGTAAAGCACATCATTTCCCTTATTTGCAATTATATGCCCTTAATCTTGTCTAAATTCAGCTTTCCTGGTCCTGCTCTTTAGCTTTGAACACGATTAAGTCATAATCAACAAAAAGCCACTACCCTCCAATTCAACTAAATTACACAACCAACTTTAAATTGCTTATATTAGCTGCAACAAAAAGCTGTTTTACATTGTGCTAACTATTCTAAAATTGTGTTTTTTTGGAATCTAAACATTAATTTAGTTGTAGAAATTGGCCATGTTTCCTTTTAGTTATTTCCATAATGAATGAATAATAAATTGCCAAACACACTGACTAAGGCGCATTCATTTGCTAGTTATGACCTTGGCACCCTGATTTCTAAAAGACCGGGCCTCAGCTGCAACTCTACACCTATAATAGAATACATGATCTGACAAACTCCATTGTTGTCACCTTGATTTGCTCATGCTCCTCTTTCGGTACAGCATCCTGCATGGCCTGCAGTTTGGCCTCTAGTGTTGCAGTCTGCTCCTCAGCTTGACCCCGCAGGCTCTTCTCCTCCTGGAGCTCCTGTAGTGTCTGAGCCAGCTGTTCAGACACTGCAGACAGCGCCTCCCTGTGCTTTGACAGAGGCACTGCATCTTTCAGCTGGAGAGCATCTTGTGCACGGCCTTCTCGCTCTGCACACAGACAATCCAAAGCCTGGGCTGCCTCCTGCCTCGCAACCTCCAGTTCCTCTCTTACTGATGCCAGGGAGCGTCTGGAGTGATCTGATTGGATGGAGATGTGATCATTTAGAAAATTGGCAAAAGAGACGGGAATTTTACGACCCAAAGGCTTTCACAAAGTAGAACAACATGACACTGCACACCTGCTGTGACCGAGGGCTCTGAGCTCTCTGAATGATCCTCCTCATCCTCTTCCTCTTCATCATCCACTCGTTGAGGTGGCCTGAGTCTCTCCAGGTCCAGGAGAGCATTGTTGAGTCTCCTGGCCACATCCGCTCGCTCCCTGGCCAGCTGCTCACACTGGAGCCCCAGAGTCACTTGCACCTCTTCCAGCTCAGAGCGGGGCACACTCTTTCTCAGCTGCCCCTCCAGCTCTCCCACGCGCTCCTGCAGACGGCGGACCTGGTCCCCCTCTCCTGCTGATCCTCCCACTGTCCCCGATGTCCCGCTCTCTGCCAGGGTTGCCTCCAAGTCAGCCACTTTTGCCCTCAGGAGCCTCACTGTTTCAGCCTCTTCTCCGTCTTCGCCTTTCTCCTCTTTGTGTTTCGTAGACTCTTTCTGGACCAGAGCAGCCTGGAGTTCCTTTACTTTCTCTGTCAGCTGTTTGATTGTGTCACTGTCCTGGCTGCTCTGGCCCTCTGCCTCACCCTCTCTCTTGGCTAGCTCCTCCTCTAGCTCCGTCACCCTCGCTCTCAGTTGCCGTGCTTCTTGGCGAGGAGTCCCCGCTGCAGCCCCTTCAGTCCCACCACCTGCTGCTGCAGTATCCCCCTCACCACACTCCACAGAAAGCACCCCAAGTCGCATCTGCTCCTTCAGCTCCTCCAGCTCAGACCGGGAGGAGGCCAACTGCTCTGTCATTTTTTGCAGCTTCTCTTTTAGAGCTTCAGTACTTTCTGCATCTCCTCCTTGAGACTTCTCATCATCACTGCACATGGAAACAAGACCAGAACTGGGTTATTTTTCAAAAACAAGCTTTTACAGTATAAGACACATGTCCACATCACTCCTTTACAGTAGGTGTTGTTCCCAGAACTAGCCAAAAATGGGGAACATGGTTGCAACATCTAACTTAGTAAGGGATAGTAAGGGATTAAAATTGTATCTACTGACTTTTCAAATTCAAATAACATAAATTGAAAAAGACATCACTTATTGCTTCATGTCAAATAGTTGACCGCTGCACTAATCATCTGATTCAGCAAGCGAGGTTTTAGGGCTACGTCAGCACAGTGGAATCCTCGCTCTAAGAATATTGGGTGGAGTAAACACACATCAGCTGACGATTGATTTCAAATCCCTGCCAGCTCCACATTCTGCAAGTCAGGAAGGACAGAACAGACTGGTTGCAAAGCATGTTGTCAAAGATGTTCCTCCCATGTCAGCTGTCGAGTTTACTGCTTTGAGAAAACATAAAAAGCAAAACTAAATATCAACATGAATGAGTGTACTGAGGCAAAGAGAAGTAACACTTCGGTTACTTCCTCAAGTAGATAACTACTTCGATTATGCAGTTAATGGTTCAGTTACTTTTTGATTGGTTACTGGTCGATGTAACTAATTACTAAAAGCTTTGATTCCATCGTGATCGCAAATTTTAAATGTCCAGATTTCGCACCAAGACAGATTAAAATCGACATGAAAAGGTAACATTTACACCAAAACAGACACCCGACCCAGTTTTGTGAACATTAGAGTCTAAACTTTGATCAAGAATTAAAAGTTAACACCACCATCAAGTTTCATTACATTTTTTACAGTGCTTAATTACGTGCAGTGTTTTCTCGGCCAGTCAGTGTGGAAGAGGTTAAAGTAACTTGAAGACAAGTAATCAGATCATTTAAATATTACTTTGTAACAATAATCTTTTACACTTCAGTATAACAAGTGAGCACTAACAGCAAGTGTCCTCTAATTGAGCTCAAAGCTCTGCCAAATCTATGAAGTCATGGATACCCCATGCCCTGCTCAGCCTCCTGCAAGCTGCAAGAAAAACATAAATGCTCAGCACTTTTAAAAATGGTCCTGACAGAGGCTCTGAGCAGACACTGCTGAGACTTTACAACTGGTATTAGCAAAGGTGTGCACATCTCCGAGTAAAGACCTGGTCTAGCACAGTGAAAGTGGCCTGTAGTGGCTCTCTCTCAGTCTGCTGGTCATAAATGTGCCTGAACATATGAACTATTGTTCTTACCAGTCCTCAGCCACACTGGAGGCTTCCTCTGAACCCCGGGCTTGAGAAAGACGATCCTGAAGGGCTTCAAACTCTCTCCTCAGGGTCTCATACTGGACGAGAGGCACAAAGTCTGCGCTGGAGGTCTGCATGTCTGTATCATCTTTCTCAAACATCTCCAGCATCTGTTCACAATACAGAAGAACACATTTTTTGGATAAAGACTCACTCTTATGAATAATTATCAACTGAAATTTCAAAGTGTGTACAAACATCTTGGTCTTGGTGGCTGTTTTTTACACAGTGGTGGATAAAAAAGATCAGAACTGAAGATGTCAGGAAAACATACTCTCGGTGCTCAAACCAGCATGACCCACTTAGTGAGGAGTATGCCCCCATGTCTGATGCTGCTCTGTTCTATTTATGCCTCTATGAACACTGCCTTAATGCATTAGTGCATGGGAGTCATAAAGTTTAAGTGGTCATGACTAATGTTTGAGTCAGAGACACTCAGGCATCCCTGAACCAGTGGCTTCATCTGCTGGTGGGAAACATTTACGATTGACTTCACTGTTTCAGGAGCGTGTGTGTATGCCTGTGTATGTTTGTTTGCAGAAGATAAGAGAGGAGATCATGTCTGTGCTTCTGTGATGAAAATGTCACACTGGTATGAGCCTACTCAATGTGTTTACATTTGGTCTGTCTTGCCGTGATTACTCTCCTTGACCTTACCTGCACTTTGAGAACCAGCTCAGAGTTTTGTGAGGTAAGTTCCTCTATTTGTTTACGCAGCTCAGTAACAGTTCCTGGGTTTGCTGGAGCAGGAGAGGGCTGGGCCGGGTCAGTGTCTGCTTCATATGCGGTCACATCGGGGGAAGGGGAGGCTCTGGAGTGTTTGGAGAGCAGCTTCTCTAGAGGGAAAGTTAAAGAACAACCACACCAAAAATAAATCCATGTACTTCCTGATGGGCCAGACACACAGTAATGTGCGTGCACATGCATGGAAGTACATGCATGCTCTTTGTCAGGCCTGGGAAATTCAGACTCACATAGATAGCATACCTGGGAAGTCAAACATTTCATCCATGTCTTCAGAGTCACTAGCCCCAATGCCATGACCGCCCTTCAGCTCCTCAAGCAGCTTGTCTCTTTCGGCCTCTGCCACCTCTAAGCGCTGCTTTAGTTGAGACAACTGCAGAGCACATGCATGTATAAAAATGGTGGTTACAACAAGCAACACTGAGTCTTTACAAATCGGTATTATTTTCTGATATACTCTTATCTCGAGCCTATAGATGTAGGTTTATGTAGCATCATGAAATATTCTGAGAGGGCACTGTTTGTACCACTTGCATGCAATACCTCCTCCAAGGCCAAGAGGGCGCTCTGTTGCTGCTGCTCCAGTGCCTTGATCTTCTGGAGCAGACGGCCCCTTTCCAGACGTAGCCGTCTAATTTCTTCAAACACCTCCTCATCCTCTGACTGAAGCAAAGACATCAAATGTGTGCGTTAAGTCTGATTTTCCCTGATATGAGCGGCAAACAGTGAATATAACCAAGCAAAAAAGCAGAAACCTGGGCTGGCTGCTGGGTCTCTGGAGGCTGTGGAGACGGAGAAAGGGACTGGGGCTCTGGAGACTGGGCAGACAGAGCGGGACTTCTGGGTCGTGGTGTGGGTGGCACAGCTGGGATCTTCATGATTGGACAAAGAATTAAATAAACTTTAATATAAAAGACGAGTTATTCTCTGGTTAACCCCAAAAGTAGCAACGCTGTATCACATATTTACTAACAAAGAGGTCACTTAAATTTGCAATAACATGGACACACTTGTACCTTGTTTTCTGTCACAAAGTACAAAGTTGGTCAAATGGGAGAAAAAGTTTGTTCATCAAATAATTCTCCTTTGAAAGTAGGTTAACTAAACATTCTGGTCATTGGAAATCAAATCATCCTATCATTCACAGCTCAGAGATGGTGTCTGCAAATGTGGGCCGTGCTAATGAGTGGTTCATTCATACTAATAAGACAGAACGTCTTGACCTGTCTTGTACAAAAAAAAAAAAAAAGTTTCCATCCACCGAGAGGTTTCTCACAGTACCTGGAGAGGAGAGCGTGGTGGTGGAGGAGCTTTCCGTTTGCGGGGGGTTGTGCCCCCTTGCACTGATGAGGCACCTGAGGGGATTTGGGAGGACTGTGTGGGGGTGGGTGGGTGGGTGATCACAGACAAGCAGAGGTCAAGCTCAACTTAAAAACGGGAAAACAAGGGGAACTTAGATAAGACACAGGGACAGCAACAAAGGGGAACACTAGCCAATAAAAAGAAAGCAGACCACAAAAACAATGACCTCATATTGGAAAACATGCACAATATGATCGGCCAAAGGAGGCCATGATCTCATTTAATGGAGGGAGTGATCCATCACATGGCTATGCAACATTACCTCTTCGCCTGTGCCCTCAGCAGCTACGTATGCAAAAGGAAAGAGACGGAGCAAGACACTTAGACCTCGAAAGCAAAAATAAACATTTTCACTTCCTACCACACATGAAGTTTAGATTGGGACCCTTAATTTTACCAAAAACTCTAACCATAGAATAAAAACTGAGGAGGTCTGACATCACGTGCACACCAAACTCTATCCTTCATCTTCTTACAGCCACACATCTGTTTTTCATATATCAGCAGTGTCTTTGTTGGGAGATAAAAGTAGAACGAGACGGCCTCTCTCTTTTTTTTTAACCCACTTCAGAATCACACCCGGCTGTCCTCCTGATCCACTTCCTTTCATTACAGGAGTTTCCTGGGGGAGCAGAGACACCACCAGGATCCAGAGCAGCACAGGCACACGCAGAAGCCAAACACCGAGGCTAACAATCTGTTAGATCCTGCAGCCATGTGTTTCATGTGTTTCCACAAATCTGACTTTTATCGAGTTGTAATACAACAATGGAGTAAGTTGATTATATACAGCTCTGCACACCTTACTTATGCAGACTATGAGACAGCGTCATCAAATGTTTTTTACCTGGAGGTACTCCATTTTCTAGCATATGAATGATGCTCTGGTTGCCGGTGGTTACGCTGTAGTCCATAGCTTTGTGTCCGAGAGAATCGACCAGCTGTGTGTTGGCCCCACCTCTCAGTAGAGCCTCTACAGTCTCGACACCGTCACTCTCACACGCCAGCATCAACGCAGACCTGCAATCCAAAAATCATAATAAACAGTCGAGAGCATTGTTGAGCAAAAAAAAAAAAAACTATGTTAATAAAGAAGTGAGGCAGTATTTGTTCATTTCTTTGAATCAGAGGACTCTGACATTATGTTCAATAAAAAACCCTGGAAAACAATACAGGTCCTTCCAACCCCTTAGCTGGAGGATAACTCCCCAATCATCCTCTATGGAGTCAAAAGTTTAAGCAAAAGTTGGACCCAGTAGGAGATCCTGACCCGCAGCCTCCCAAACCCAGCCCATACATGAGATGTCCCGGGAAAATCCTTCCTCTATCCTCCTGACCCAGACAACCCAACTGCTGTGAGAATAATCCTCGAGTGTATTTTTTGGTCCCAGCTTAGAAAGAAAGCTGTTTCATGCCCCAGTCTGCCTCAGCAGGCCTCCCACTGTCAAACACTCTGTCATTTCATCTGTCACAGCTTTAGCCGCAACTGTGAGAGAGCAGGCAGTGAGATAATTTGTGGTCAGGGCAGAGGCCCCACTGCCTCACCAAACCCTGAATGTCATACAGAGGAGGAGCCAAAAAATGTCCTGGAGGTCACTATTTGAAGCCCCCTACCTTCCTTGGCTGTCTTGAATGTTTGCGTCTGCTCCTCGACCCAACAGAAAGACACACAGCTCCACTCTGCTCATCTGTGCTGCTAGGATCAGAGGGGTGGCCCCATCCTGACAGACATAAAAGTGGTTATTTTACAATCCAGATCACAGCTAGAGTAGTAACTTAGAGTTTGTGAAATAAAATTTAAAATAATGTAAATAAACTCTTCAGCTTGCCTCATCCTGGACATCCAGACTGGCTTTAAAGTCCCATAGGGTCTCAGTGCAAGGCAAGCAGCCACTGACAGCTGTAGGGATAAATCAGATGGGGCTGATAACTACCAAAACAAACAAAATTGGAGGACATATGTTTATGTTTTTGCTGGATTGTTGTGTTAATGTGTCTGTTTAAACGTCCCAAATAAAGATATATTTATTAAAAAAAGGTAAATAGGTTAAACTAATTGAAGCATTTTTATATTGTATTTTAGCATCATAGTGAACAAGGGCAATAGCAGTGATTATTGATGCCTAAATACTGTAAAGGTTGATGATGATGTTGGCTAGAAATAACATCACAAATAAAAAAGGTTAATAAAATATCATTGAGTTCACCTTTTGTGTAAAGTTTTCCTCATTGCTACCTCATTTTTAGCATCAAAGCGTTATCCAAAAATATAGAGGTTAACCATCACATAATCAAATTAGACTTGGATATTCAGTTCTGTTACTGTTACCTGCATGATGAAGCGGTGTCCTACCAATGCTGTCTGTGCAATCCACTGCCAATCTTTCCTGTCAGTGGGAAAAGAGGTGACAGAAAATAAAATATTTGTGATAAGAGCAGCCTACAAAGCCTGAGTTTACTGTGAATATGTGTTTTACCTGTAAAAGTCTCTTTAAACACTCTGATTCACTGTTTTTGGCTGCGAGGTGCAGGGCACTAAAGCCTTGAATCGGGTATAAAAAAACATGTAAATCGTCCATAATACGTGAGATTTAACAGTCTTTGGTTTTGACATAAAAAGTTCAGTTTGATAATTAATACCCTACCAGCACCATCAATGACGTTCAGGTCAGCTCCTTGAGCAATCATGACCTCCAGACAGTCAAGGCGGCCTCGGGATGCACAGAGGTGGAATCTGCCAGATGATGGAGGACCGTACAAATTGTGGATAAAGAGTAGTTTTACATTACAAGAAGCAACCGTTACAGGTCATAGATAACTATGATACTGAGTAGAAAAGGAAAACTTTGTAAAACGTTTCATGCAACTCCAGATGTCTGGAGTTGAGGTGTCCAACTTACGCTGACTTTCCCTCTGCATCCAGCTTTGTGGGACATAGACCTTTTTTGGCAATAAGGGCCATAACTTTGTCGGGTTCATTCTGCTCCACAGCCTGAAGGAGCCTCTCATCACTCTTACTCCAGTCCTGACTCTGAGGGGGGCAAAACAGAGGGCAGGTCACCACCCTGAACTGACCCGACGGAAACTGATACCAAATGCATTTTTTATATGACAAAAAAACACATATGAGTACACAATGTACATCTTTCCAAGCTACGTAGTATGTGCAACAAACAGGTACAATATTTTGTTGCCTGAGAAAGTTTTTTAACTTATAATAAACTAAGATAAAAAGCCTCTCAAGAAAAGAAAATGAAACTTATCAGTTTTATTTTATAGACCTGTATTAAAAGATACAGAGCAGGGGTACCTACTGGCAGTGGCAGCAGACTGAAGCAAGGACAGAGCCGCTTCATCAGGCTAAAAACAGGCTGCTGGGGATCCATACCAGCTAGCAGGACACTACACACTTATCTAAATACAGCTACAGAGCATTGAGCAACCATTGTGTGTCCTGACTGACAATTCGCACTGCATCCTGGCTCAATCTCAAACACACACATTTACATTTCTTACTGCAGAGAACCCAGCTACCTATAAGTTTCTCCGGCAAACCCTTTAGAGGTCACAACAGCGGCACAAAGATCTACAAACCAGAGACATTTTAATCCTCTAATGAACTGAATATCTTGCCATAAAAACTCAGGCAACATTATTTACTGTCATTGCAAAGTCTCACAGAACAGAGCTCCCTCTCCGCATCCAAAATGTGATCCTGTCATCCTGCTTCGGCTGCTAGCAGAGACGCAGAACAGGGACAGAACAGCCGGTTTTCAGCACCCCTGCACTTCACACACATATGCAGCCGCCTCCTTCCTCCCCTCACTGTCCTCCTTTCTCTCTAACCTATTAATTTCTCCTTCTCTGGGGAAGGCTTTATCTGTCTTTCCATTACGAACATTATTTTTGTCAGGTCCTGTACAGCACCTCCCTGGCAGCGTCACTCTGTACTGTAGATCTGTTTCTCTGCAGTTACAGAGCTGGGCCTGTGTGATGTGAGGACTCAGCAAAAAGAAGGGAAACTAAGCTGGCTCTGTTCTGCAGGTCTGGATTGCTTTTTAGACGGAGGAGATATGATGGGCCGAACAGGCTAAAAACACTGTTCGACAATGGAGTTGGATGATTTGAGAGTTATTTTGACAAACCTCCCAGAGCAGCTTTTGAGTGAATAATGTTTTTGGTGACTTGTAACAGGGAGATATATTTCTTCTTGAGGCAAATCTTGTAATAATGCTCATACAGTTATTCATTCCTAACAGCTGCTATTTTTGTTTGTACAGGTGCTTCAGTGCTTCAAGCATGTACCAAGTAATTAACTACATGGACCAGGAAAAAAATGTCAACACCATGTTTTAAAGTCCTCAAGAGTTACATCATGTTTCAAGAAGGCAACAGCAGGAAAGTGGGGAATCTTTCACTGTGCATGTGTGTGTGCTTGTGTGTTATTGAGTGAATGTGTGTGTGTGTGTGGGTCTGCCACTTGTAAATAATTGAAGGCCACCTGAGCTCACTGGTTATAGCAACAGTCTGGAGACAGCCCTGCTCTCCTGCTGCTCACTGACACTTAAACCCATTTCTCCTTATGAGCACACAAAAAAATCCAACATGGGGTCTTTAAAAATGACTCACCAGCCTCATGCAGAACACATAACCCATATGAATTATTTCTCAAGAGATAGCAAACAGATATATATATAACTTTTACTTTGAAGCTTTCAAGTTTTAAGCAGAGTGCTCTTACCTCCGTCTTTTTAAACTTTGCCTTCAGACTCTTCATTATGATTTGAAACCAGAAAAACTGCAATAACACAAGTTGTTAAGAAAGAGTTATAGTATATTTTGAGTCGTAACGAGGTTTGTCACACATAAACATTTGTCCCGGCCACATGCCAACATGTGGTTGTACCAGATCTTTAAACACAGCAACAACATGGCAGCACTGTTATCCAGCTGTACTGATATAAACAGGTGTAAAAAGTCAATTGTTGAAACATGTAGCCTACCTGTGGGGGGGTTCAGTCTTTAATCAGGTGAGAGTCTCGTCTGTCCCATCCGCCACTCTCACTAAAATACTGAAGTCACTGCTGCCTCGCGCGTAACAGAAACACACCCGCCCTCATCATGAATCAGCCAATCAGCAATGCGCAAAACGCCGGATCAGCGTTTGATTGGAGATGATTTATGACACACCGTTCCTCGCGCGTGTCTCAGAGCCCATGTGAAAAGCTCGTGAAGAGGGAAGCTGTAATTTTTGTGCTAAAGAATAGCATCCCGTTACGTACAGCTTGTTATTTCGTCCGTGTAGTCCGCGTTCGCGCTGCCTCGAGCTAAAAATATAACAGAGAAAGCTGGGGTAAAGTTCATTATTTTGGTCATTTCTGTCTGGCCTATCACCGAAACGTAAAAGTGATTTCAACCAATGACAGTACAGGAAAGCTAGACCCGGAAGTCCACACTTATGAATGACAGGGAGAGATAAGTTAGGAGTGAAATGTAGAACTATGTTTATATAGAAAGATTTATTTGGGTTCTGCCGAATTTTGAGCTTCATAAAATGGTAAGTTTCGAAGGCACTGACCTTTTCCTTTGTTTTCAGTGTCATATAGGAAGACTAAGCCCACATTTCAACTACATTACCCAGGTCTAGGGGAGAGTGGGGTAAATTGAGCCAAAGGGTTAAGTTGAGTAACCCCCTGTTTCTTGAAAATGGTAAAAGAAATTGATCATGTTACCAAATATTTAGGAGATGGGCATCAATTCATGGAGTCTGTGAAGGTTAGAAGCACATGGGTGAAGGGGTTACACATTTATTTACAAAAAAATAATTTCACTCTCGAAAGTGAATTTAGTCTGTCATAAGTTTTATTAGAATTGTGTTCAGACCAAAAAAGATCATTTTAAATTTGTTTTATACATCAATTGTGGTATCTATGAGCTACAACATGGGGTCAAAAACCCTGGGGTAAAAGTCCACCATTTTAGCTTAGAGGACTAATAAAGTCATCATAGTAGTTCAGGGTTAAGTTGAGTCACGAAAGTAAAGGAGTCTGATGAGAGGATCAGAGTTTCAGTTCAGATTGTTGAAATGTGTTACTTTTTCTTTTCTAAAATACAGCTGTGAATGTTCTGAATCACTTAAAGACATTCTCATATTTCAATGACTTTTTTTAACAGCTTTTAGCAGTTATATGCAATAATAATAAAAATAATTATTGCACCAGTTGAATAGTGTATAATAGATAAAAATACACATGGATGTGAAGAGGTGACTGTTATTCAGAGAGAGAGAGAAGGTGAGGAAGGGCTGGGGTGGAGAGTGGGGGGCTAGAAGAGATACGGCTCAACTTACCCCGTTCCTATGGTCAACTTACCCCATACTCATGGTTAGCTGACCATGGGAGACCACTTTTTTTTGGCATGCTGTATTATCACGACAGTCATGTTTACACTCATTCTGTTGGTTTACAGGGATGCACAACATCTTGAAATATATGCAGATACACCAGTTAGAGACAATACTATGATTGCCATGATGTAGTGACCTAAAATATGAGATTCTCTCCCTATGGCCATCGAAAAACTTAAATTTAACATAAAGTTGAATGAGACCTGCTTCTGTTGACTTGTCTGAATGGATATGTGCAATATATACAAACCACCAAATGAGGGCAGTAAACTCAAAGCAGAGGAAAATGCAGAAAGCAGTTCCTCCAGTAGCTACAAGCGTCTAAAACAGTCAACACATGAGCAGATTTCAATTAAATACTTGACTTTGAAAGAAAGCTGATAATGATGTGTGTCAGGCTGCACGTGACAGCCTTCAGCCACTTATGCTCTGCAGCATGTTTGTGAGCCCCTCAAATCCAGAACTGGTGCTGCTGGAAAAAAAATCAACAACTGAGGGATGAAGTTCAGAGGGAATGTCACATCCATATTTAGCACTTCATAATGAGGGAGTCTTATTAATTTTGAAATGTTTCACAGCGCCTTGTTGTTTCTGTTTGATTCAATTAAATCTTTGGCATAATGCAACAGTGTTTATTCTGTATGCAAAAACACAATGACTTTTTTTTCCTGACTGTAGGTCTGTTTCTGATTTTCACTTCTACTTGGATGTATCTGGATTTTTCATCAATGTTCTTTCTCTCCCCTTTGCCCCCCATGTGTTCTCTCCTTGCTGAGTCTGACAGCTTGCCTCTTCGTCACTCTGATTTTCCATCTCTTGCTCAGTTTAATCTTTTGCACAGCTCTGGCTCTCACCTTGGTCTAGATGGAATCAGAAATAAGATGTATGCTTGATATGTATGGATTGAAGGGGTTAAAGGTGAGACCAAGTAGATGGTGCAGATGAAAAGTGTGGATGTATACTGACATCGACAAAGAAGGTGGGTACACTGTAACAAATTTTCCCATTAAATAACAGTAAGATACCGGCAGCTAGAGTTGCCAGCATCTTACTGTTATTTTACAAATCCTCTACTGTAACGTAAGCTTCTTGCTGTAAAAAGTATTACAGTAGTGTGCTGTGTATAATGCACCTTTTACAGTCCAATACTGTTTACACAGTTACTGCATTTTACTGTTATATTACAATAACTACCGTATTCCAGGAAACAATATTACTGTTAAACCTATTTAATGTAATATTTACAGTTTCAATTTCAAAATGAACATGAGATGACTTTGTAGAAACCCAGAGGAATCAAAGGGGGTTATTTTATTTAGGTGAGTGGAGGGAACATATCACAAGAACAGTATCCCTCCTTGTTCAAACAAATGCTTCATCTACAACAAAACCTCAATAGCTGACTGGGTGAACTGATCTTACCTGCAGAACATAAGAACTTTTGCTGAGCATATTGATCTTATTCTCATATGATAAATATTTATCCATATAACCTGTTAATTGTGTTCTTATGGGATACTTTATTTTCAAGGATCTTGCCCTATAAACACACAGAAAAATAACTTCAGGAGGACAATTGTGCTGCAAAAAGAAGAAAAAGACAACAAGAACCCTGGAGAATGGTTTCTCCAGTGAAATAAATCCAACAGGTCCTTAGCTCTGGGTAATGCCATGTAATTGATCTTGTCCTCAAGTTCACCACTTCATCACCAATACAGATATAAATTGGACTGCAGGGACTTGTCTGTCTGCAACACATCCCCTGAGTCTTCAGCCTTCCTAATTGTTTTTTATCTCGAGTATCCTCCTGCAGGGTGAGGGTATGGGGACACTTGAACACATAATAAGACAGACTGAGAGATGTGGGAGTCTTGATGGGTTGATTTTGACGGTTGTGCTGGTGGCAGTGGGGGTGGATTCAGGCACAATGACCTCATCTCGCCTCCCACCCCTGGGAGAAAGTGAGCTCATGAGTGTCATAAAGACTGAAGCATTTATGGTCTTTTAACAGACATGTCCCTACCCACTGTAGCATGTGTTCTCCAACTTAAAGCTTGGACTTTGGATAATGGGACATCTGTGAGAGGATGAAAATCATTCAGAGAGAAGGCTGAAACAAAGGAAATGACACAAACACCTAATAAAATTCAGGCTTCAGTACTTTTTGAGTTCTTGTTTTTCTAAACCTCCCTAAAGCCTCATTCCAGTTACCCAAAGCTTCTCCTCCTCCATCAAACCTAATATACAGCGAGGCAAGGTTTTGTTCACCCCTCCAGGCTTTTGTAGTTCTTTAAAAAATAGTTGCAAAACAATTTTAGAAACCTTTGGTGAAGCGAAAAGGGAAAAAATATCCCGTGATATCATTCTGATAAATAATGCACATCTTCGGAGCATATTCATACAAGCTCTTACATAGTTTCTGTTTTTCATGCGCCCTACGTTGTTGTGTTTCTGGCAGAGGATTTGTATCTCTTGTTGCAGTCGGTGTGTGATGTGCAGATATTTCAATGAATGAATGAACGGTCGGCTGACTGTGAAAGAGAATAGGAGGATACTCCTCTGGGAATGAAGCACCTCCCCTTTAATCGCTTCGTTGAGTTTGTCTCGGAGCTGTAGTCGCTCTCTCTTCACTCGCACACGCTCCCCGACAGTCGTTCAGAGGAGCTCCAGAGGATTTCAACGCTCTTGTTTTGTTCAAGGAAAGCGTTTCTTTTTCTTTTTCCTTGTCTTTGTTTGGATATAAAGCGCGAGCAGAAGCTGGGTTTGTCACTTTTCAGCGCTGTTGTGTTGTGATCGACATGGAGACACGACAAATAAAGCGTCCAAAGTGGCTAAAGGACTGAATAGGATTGGTAAGTGATGTGCCTTTGCAATATCTACACAGTCACACTTTAAGCCAGTGTTTTTGGATACAATTTTATGGGGTAGTTTTTCCAGCGAGTTCCCAAATGAGATGGAACTGACGCGTTAGTTTACTCAGAAGAGAAAAAAATAAGATGTTGAATCGTTTCTTTGATTTCTTTTGCCTTCCATACTCCCTTTCAGTCTTCGTCTGCCTTTTTTTATCAGTTTATATCACACTTTATTGTAGGGCTGTGAAATGTAATTGCAGCCACCGGGTAAAGTCCAGATGCCAGGCGTTATTGCTCCCTGCGTAAAACAAAAGGCGTGCGTAAAACCCAGCTGTTACTGTAGTTTAATATCACATGAGTCCATCTAAACGCTGAAGTGATTGTGGGTGTGTAATCAAATGAGAAAGTTGTCCATCCTAGATATTTGGAGAGGATCAAGACCTGTGGATTAATATTGTTTTGATAGTAGTAAACATTTTATTCTGTAATCTTTCATTGTCTTGTCCTAAAACCCACAGATGCACAGCTCAGATCAAATCCGGAGCATACAGAAACTCATCAGAGAATAAATCCACATGTCCCCCTTTGTGCCCTCTCTTGCAGCCTCCTGCTAACCCACCACTCCACCAGAAGCAGAGCTGTCATGGCCAAGTGGCTGAAAGACTACCTGAGTTTTGGCAGCAGGAAGGTGCCTCCTCAGCCACCCACGCCGGACTACACAGAGAGTGAGATCCTTAAAGCGTACCGCCTACAGAGGGACTTGGACTTTGAGGATCCGTATGAGGACTCTGAAAACAGATCCAGGGGTGAACCAAGCGCTTCTGAACCTGCCACGCCAATTTATGGGTCTCCCATGAAAACAGCCAGTGTGGACATGAAATCCCCCAAACACAGACTGATCAAAGTGGACTCCCAGGAGCTGGGCCGCACCAAGATCCTCCTCAGTGCCATTTCTTTGGAGGACCAGCAAGAGCCTGTAAGAGCTCCAGTTTCTAAGCATGTGTTTCTTGGTGTTGAGAGCTAAAAGCAGGTGCTGATAGATAATTTTTTTTTAGCGTGGTTGCTCTTTCGTGAAGTGGAGGAAGCAAGTAAGTGGCTGACGATAAAAACACTCTTCCACTTCTCCCTCAATCTACATTCTCGTCTCTGTGACAGCTTTATTGATCAGCCTCCATAAGCAAAAGTCTGGTAATGTGTGTCACAAATATGCTTTGTTTTCATAAATCACATTACATCCCACGTGGGACATAAATTCGCTGCCATAGATGGAAGGAAGAATTATTGATGGTTTGAGCGGGCCGTTAAGTCTGAGAGGGTCATAGTCCCATGAGTTTATGTCCTTCCATAAATAATAAATGGGGTTTGGTTTTGCAAGCTGAGAGAGAACCCCGAATGTGCACATGTTGGGGCCCTTATACAGTGTGTTGTATAGTGATACGCCAAGAGCTGCAGGTATAATTCATCCCCTGTCACCAGGACTGCAGAGATTTCCTGCGCCTGTTGTTTTTTAGGAAACACAGACAGAAAAAAAACAGAAATATGTTGAAAGAGCAACTGGAGAAGAAGCAAGAATTTTACAAGGAGATGGTCTTCACATTAATGCAGCTCACATATGCTGAGTATCTCAAGGAACCTATCAGGCTTTTCAGCGCCGCAGTTAAATCCATGACTCCGCTCATGGAAAATGCTACAAGTGCGAAAGTCCTGAAGTGGATTGAAGTAATAGACTTAACTCAAGTCGATAGCTCCCACTCTCTACCCTGCTCTCCTCCTGCTCTCATTAATTTCCCAGGCTCTGTGGGAACATCTGCACTCTAATTAACATTGCAGATTCCTGTGCATCGATAGGTATCCTGTTACCAAAACAACATGGGATTAGGATGCCTTCTTTTTTTTTGAGTGTGTGTGTTTGAGCTAAGCATAAATTTGGAAAGGGAGTTTTGTTTCAGCAGGTTTTTTTTTTTTGTCACAGAGAGGAATGAGAGGAGGGCTTTCAGATGTGAGTGTAGGTATGTGTGCAAGAGACCATATGGCCGCCTTTGTAGCTGTCAGTGTGCCAGCTGACCATTGCTTTCCTCCTGTGATTGCATGAACGGACAAATGCTCCCCACCAGCACCCACTTTACTCTGTGGTCTTCACCTAAAAATCACATCTACCTCGGACAGAATGATTTATGGCTGCATTTCATTTGGCTTAAAAGTAGCAATAAAGATAAAATGCTGTTCCTTTTAAAGGCTTTTAAGAGGGGAACTATTTTGGGCAGCTGACATTTGAGTGGTTTTGTAATGTTGCACACTGAAGGTGCAAATTAGAGTCCTTATGATACTCCGCAATTGCTCTGGCTGGAGCCAAACATGTATTTAACATGCCACTCAGTGAGGATGTGATTGCTTTTTGAGCGCTATGCTGCTCTCTCTATCTTAGGTTCTTGATGAGCTATTGTCTGTCCAACAATCTGTCCTTTTAAGTAGTTTTTTCATGCTATAGACAAAAACTCCCAGAACTAAATATGCATTAATTCAAGTGTTTCACGTGTTTCAAGTAGATGTTTTACAGAAACTATTTCTGAAAACTGGATAAAAGTCTTTTTAATTTGACATGTGACTGTAATGTCCACTCCACACTTTTGAACTGATGAAAATCACAGCACCAGACTTTTTCTGTGAGGGAACTAAAGCAAGGTGATGTTCATTGTCAGAAAACCTTTTTTCTCCTATATAAAGAAGTGTGTTTTTTACCTATAGGTGGTGCCATCAGCTCCACTGGCAGGAGACACGGATTATTCCGACCCCTTCGATGCTCGCTTGGACCACAGGCCAGAACCAGATCATGGACCTGTTCCCTGTGAGAACAACGGCTACATGGAGCCATATGAGGCCCAGAGGGTCATAACGGGTCAGTGGACTTTTATTGCTTATCAGTCCCTATCTAGTGAGTGTTATTATAGATTTCTGTTTCAGTTATCTTTCCTCTGCTGCTTCATTTTTCCACTGACTTACATGAGCAGACTTCCAAAGGGCTGATTTCAAACTTTATACCTGATACTAAAAGCTGCAAAATATTTTATCGTGTTTCAAGTCACCGAGTCATGAATAATATAATGTAATATATTTCTCTTCCTTTCTTTATAGTTGGGTTTGTCTACCTCTGTTGGGTACTTTAGTCTTATTTCCATTTTCTCAGGTCTTTGTTCTAAAAATACAGCTTTTAAATGCAGTTCTGCTCATTAATTCTAGTTTAATGAGTCCATTTGAAAGTACAAAGCACTTCACGTTTCTTGTTCATCCAAGGCAGACTTTTCCTTGGGCCTCACAAAAAAAACGTCTGTTTTACAGCTGTCTACCTCGTATCCAGTATCAGACCCTCCCTCATCCTCCCCCTGCGATTCTTTCCCACATGATCCAGCCACATCTATCGTTTTCCATTTGTCTCTCCTCCCATAACATCTCTGTCTGCCCCTTTCCCCTGCACTCTTACTGCTCTGTCTCGGTCATTTAGTGTAAAAGCCCCCCCCCTCCTCCAATTCACTATCTCTCCTCATCTCAAGGGCTCTCCCCAGCCCTGAGGGAGGTCTAGCTTTCATACTCATCTGTCTTTCACCAAATTTTCGGACCTGTCCTCCCCTTTACCATCACCTCTCTGCCATTTTTGGTGATCAAATGAAGTTGGCAGAGTGAGAATAAAAAGGAAAGGTGAATCTCATTTTTTTTTTCCCAGACAGAATAAGATAAATCTTTTCTCTGCGGCTAGATGAAGCCATTGGAGAGATGAGATTTGTGTGGCTGATGGCAGAGCATTTGGCGAAGCATTGTCTCGGCTCTTTCTCTGACTTTGAATTGGCGCTGTCACTTCAGGGCTGTCTGTCTGCCTGCTTTTGTCTGTCTGTCTCTTTGTCAGTTGTTGCTGTTGGAGCCACAGCAGAGCTGCGAAGACAGATGTGAGATTGGAATAGTAATTATTTCTCACAAAGACTGTCCCAACACCTACGTTTTTTTAAACATGACTTTAGGATAAAAAAAAGGAAACATCTTTAGCTTATTTTTTACTTTATCAGGAAAATGACAAGCCTCCATTTCCTGCATCTGTAAACCCAACACTTTTCAGTCCACCCATCCCCATTTTCCTCAATTTCTAACCCCTGTCACCTTTCTACCAAATTGCTATTTCTCTCCCCCTACTCCTGCATCATGTTTCCCATGAATTTCTCATTTTATTTCCTCCATGCCTGTTTTTATCTCCCCCACCTTCATCTTCTCCATCTTCAAGCTGCCACTGACACTGCGGGCTCCCAACGCAGGTAGAGCAGCATTCAGCCTCACTGTGCCTCTGTCTCAATGACTTAACATCAAACGATGACAGACTCCCCCACCCCCCTCACCTTACTCCCGTCCCTGTCCTCCTCCACCATCACCCCGCTCCTCCCCTTGCTTCCTCAGTGTTTTCTTCTCCTTCTCCTGTTTCTCTCTCTTCTGCTTCTTCTTACTCCTTTCTTCTTCTTTTTTCTCACCACTCTTTCCTTAATAACCTCAGGGCCTTTCCCCAGGGTTTCCACTTGGTCGTCATGGTGACTACAGGGTGTCATATCGTGTGAAGGTTAAAGTTTTCTCTGCCTCTCGCTGTAAACCCTTCCATTTAGTCCTCTTCCTCTCACATGAGTGCACGGCTGTTGGCTGCGTACATAAAAGATGCCTACTCTGTTTTCTCTTACACTGTTTTTAAAGGGTACATTTTTGAGGTAAACAAACATATCTGAGAGCCGTTGGTTATTACAGAGCTTCCATTGACGCCTTCAGAAATCTGATTTCTACCTCTTGCATTTGTCAATAATACAAAAGCCCTTTATCTCACGGCCACATTTGACTCCACACAAGAGTCTCAGGTGCTGAGAAACCTGTCTGTCTTGGAGTCCACTGAGAATTTGATGAGAATTCGAAAAAGGCAACATGGATGCTGTTGTGTGCAGTTTAAGATTGCTGCTGGGATTCATGATGGACTAAAGAAGGGGGGCTGGGTTTGTCAACAGTGTTGCTACTCAGCATCAGGCCCACAGCCTCGTTAAGCCCCTCTATATGAGATTTTGAGCCCAAGGCAAGCTGTGCAAACATCATTTGTCTCTCTCTTCTAATTCAAGTCATGTCAGAGCTCAACAGGCTTTTTGATTTACTCTCCAGTTCAGGATAATGCCAATGTTATGTTTAGGGAACGTCAGAGTCACAGGCAAATAATTGCTTTATGATGCTCATTTTTTGTACGCAACACATCCAAGAAGATCTGAATTTCTGCATACATGCATGATTGAATATCTGCTATTTGGCATGTGTGTCAACAGAGCTGCAGCGGGGACCAGGAGGGGGGCGAGCGCGGGGCGGAGTGCAGCTCTACGACACCCCCTATGAAGACGAGCGAGGTCAGCGCCTGGGTTTTATGTATGGAGAAGCCCAGGAGGAGGGCAAGGAGAGCAGCAGGCTGCCGCAAGATGATGAGCGACCAGCTGATGAGTATGATCAACCCTGGGAATGGAAGAAGGACCACATTTCCAAAGCTTTTGCAGGTCAGTGGATAATTTATAAAGGCACTTAAACAAAGAGATGACAAAAATGAAGGAAAAAAGATTGATAAACTCCTGCTCCCATAGAGTTTTGGATGAATACCCCACAATTATTCCAGACTTCTTCTGGTCAATTTTAGAAGAACATGGTGGTATCTTTTGCCAAAATTCCTCAGAAAATCCATTTTTGAAAAAAGTTTGGTGAGTTTTTTGCTTGAACGCTGTGGAGTTATCCTTCATTTTATGCCTATCATGACTTTTTACACACAGTATGTGTCCATGATGTTTCAGAGGCAGTGAACCACCTCATGGGAACTTTTTATACTTTCTCAGTTCATAGCTGCCAGGCTTACTTGGTATTCAGCACTCCAGAGAACCTTTTTTTACACTCCAGGTGAAATCAGGATGGTTAACCAGTATGCAGAGACAGATTTTTTTTTAATAAACCCAGATAAAGACAGGAGCTGCCATAGATACACCTAAGGCATCTCATGAAGAGAGTCATTCAACAGAAACAATGAAAATGGTGAAGACCAGGCTCAAAAAGTGCTGTTTTAAAGGTCAAAGTCCTCCCAGGAGCACACAGAGTGCCATGCTGCTGACGGTACAGACAGTGCCGAAACCATCATCCAGCTTTCCTGACCTTTAATGTAGTGCCTGCCCCCCCATCACCAAAGCTTTTTTTTTTGTCAGATATGGGGGGAGCTGTGACCTTCACTGTCTCAGCTCAAATGACACAAATCTTTCTCTTTCTTTTGCCACATTCAAACACCTTCCTGTGACTATTGATTTTTTCCTCTTGCACAAGTGACAGGTTAGAGTCACTACAACCTCCAGGATGATCATTAGAGCTGACAGAGATGTCTTGTGCGTGTTAACAAAAGAGAGAGCGATATAGTAGATGTCTTTAGAAGTTAGCAGTGGCAGTGAACTGAAGGCACAATCATTTTCTTGCATCATCATCACATCAGCGGTATTTAGAAAAATAATTGGCAGAGTGCACGCACTATTTTTAAAGTTGCACTGTCAGTGCATGTCACATCCCATTATGTGCCATCTGCAGAAAATAATTGGAGGTAGAGAGAGGATGAAGACGAAGAAGAAGTCAGAGAAACTGCAGCAGACTGATGGCTCATTTAGGAGTGGATCAGTGTGAGGCACGCCTGGCCAAGTCCTCTTAATTGAGCTGCATCTGCAAGTCACAGAGGTCAAGGTGATGGGATAATAAATCAACCTTGGCTCCTTTGCACTCCCCTCCATTCTGCTCACCTCCCTTTCTCTTCTCCCTGTCCTGCGTGTACCCCCCTCTCTTCTCAGTTAATTACATGCCTACATGTGCATGACTGATCCAGTGCTAATAAGAGTCATGGTCAGCAAACCGGTGCCTGAGCAGACACACCTACACAAACCTACACACACACACACAGATATATATCCATTCATTCCAGGTTCATGCTTAAATCACATTAACAGCAGGAGCAGAGAAAGAGACACCGTAACTTATTGGAGAGCGGGGATGATTTTAAAAGGGTGCATGACAGTTAATTTAAAAGCCAATATCCCCTCTCACCTACTTAGCGCTCATTCCTGCTCTATCTGTGGTTTTTCCTCCTCTCCGGTCCTTCTCTTTGTACCACATACTGTACGCACTACTTCAGGGGAGCGCTTACAGCACCATTAGAAGAGGCAGTGGAGGAAAATGCTTGCATGGCTTGAGTTGTCTGACCCCTTGTTTTTTTCCATTTGGAGTCAGCACTCTGAGCTGGCGTGCTGGCTGTTGGAGCCGACCAAAGCAGTGAAGTGTAAACACACAAACAGTATTTTCCATTCTCACATTTAATCCATATTCCCAGACCCACTCGATGTTGCTAGGCACGACCCACATGTGAGGGGAGCATGGAGGAAAGGATGAAGCTGAAAAAGAGATGGGAAGAGGGGCAAAACAGATAGAGGAGGTATGAGAAACGGGGATGGACGGAGAGAGAGAGAGAATGGATATAGAGGCTCCAGAGAAAGCCAGACAGAGAGAGAGGGATATAAAGGGATGTCCAAGGTTACTGTATGTTTGGTGGCAGCTCAATGGATGTTTGTGAGGGCCCCAATGCCTCAGAGGGGAGGGGCGTCAGGGAGAATTAATAGTCGGGGGCTGTGGTGAGGTGAGGAGGAGGGAGAGGGAAAAGGGGGAGTCAGGGCCATTGTGGTAGGGTGCAATCAGTCATCCGCTAACACAGGCACACTCTCTTACACATAAGGCTGCAGCGCTGACAGGGCTGTCCCCACTCCCCCCCGCTTTCCCTCTCTCTCCCGAGGATGTGACACACTCACTAAGATAACCCGCTGCAGGGTGCAGAGAGGGACATCACAATCTGCCAGCAGCCCCTCATCATCACCTACACAAAGGCTCACACACACTTGTATACGTGTGGATTCTCAGCTCGATATTCCACCGCTGATTATCAAGCAGCTAATTGAAGGGTGAGAAGAGGTTGTGTGCATGTTGGTGCAAATGAGTGTTGTGAGGGTGTAGAGGCGGCGGAGGGGGGTTTGGGGGCTTGACAGTGTGGCTGCTTCACATCCTGGATGTTATTGTGCACCTGAACATATAATTTTCACAGCTTATTCAGGCTGCATTTTACGTTTTGCTGCTAAAATACAAATGTGATGTAAAAAAACAAACAAAAAAAAAGCTGTCCTCTAAATTTATTTCCTGTTGGCTTTGTTGGGATGCACCGATCCAATATTTGGATCGGATATCGGCTCCGATATTGACAAATTAACTGGATCGGATCAGAGCAATGGATTAAACAGAGTGGCGACAACTTCAGATCTCGCCGCCGGAGCGGTCACGTGGTTCATGTACCCCTCCATAGTTCCAAAGCAGCCTGCACTGTCCATGCTCTTCAATGGGGCAGACTGCAGTGAGCGCGCATTTAAGAGGTAAATATTAAAATTAACCGTAAAAAGTCAACATTTGCAACTCTTATTGGATTACTGTATACACGTCAAAGTCACGTACGTATATTTAGCGGCTGGATGACAAATAAAAGTGAAATAAGACAAGTTTGGTAACGCGTGTTACTTTTTAATAAGAGAAAATAATACAATAAAGTGGTAAGTCAGAGGTGTTACAAGCTGTTTAAACAATTGTACAATGTTTTGGTCTTGCAGCATGGCCTGCATAACATTTTTTCATGTTAAACATACGCCTTAAATGCTGACAGGATTTAAAAAGTAGCGGCCCCTTTACGCTATCATCCCATAAGCAGAAATCAAATTACATAGCACTTATGTTAGTCTAAAAAGAATAAATTGCACATAACATCGGGAACTGATAAAGGCTGAAATCTAAAATAAAGCCCATAAGTAACCATCTCAACATATGATTGATGATGATGATTCATCTGTGATTCATAACTCAGTCACACAATACATTTTGGCAGGCCTCTACAGCTGACGACGTCCAGCTAGCAGGCCGTGGCTAAAAAATCGATCCCAATTCCTCACTAAAAAAAGGGAATTACATTTGTAATTACAATTTGAGCATACTAAAATTAAAATCATTTTACATATAAAGGGGTCCCCCGATACCATTTACACACGTATTGGCATTACATTCGTTGATACAATATTTTACCTCGGGGAGTGTGGGAGCAAACCGTGGCTAAAAAATCGATCCCAGTTCCTGACTAAAACAACGTAATTACATTTGGGATATACATTTTTACATATATAGGGGTCCCCTCGATATCAATAACACACGTATTGGCATTAAACTTGTTGATATTTTATCATTTAACCTCAGTGAGTGCTTGCCTTGTGGCCACAGAAGTGAACGGCGTCCGATGTGACAGGCGGTCATGTTGGAACTAACAAGCGTTCCATAACCCGGAAGTGGGGTCCGCCGGGCTGTTCAGCGTATGTCTATGGGAGTGTCGCCACTCTGTTTAATCAACCACTCTGGATCGGATATCTGATGAATGACGCCGATCCAGCATTCCGATCCAGTCTGTTTTTTCTTTTAATCAATATTATACACAGCAACACAGCGATTCTGTTTGCTCTTTATTCTATGTCTGTCTACCCTTTTGTACTAAATGTTTACATGGAAGTCTTACTTCTTTTTGCTGTGTGCTAATGTGCAATTTGTTTATAATTAATATTAAGTAAATCTATATCTGTTTTAATTTGTTACCAATGTCAAACCTGATGCCTTCACTCACAGGGTAAGGTATACAGTTCATTCATTCAACAGCAGTATTGGATCAGTATCGGATATCGGCTTATACACTCGGTATCGGTATCTGACTGGATCGGGAAAAAATGGGTTAGTGCATCTCTACTTTGGAGTCCACTTCAGCCTGTTCCATTAGGTTGAGCCCTGCAGTGCCTGAGGGGTCAGACCTGTCAGGCCTCTCTTAGTCCTGCAGGGTTTGAATTACAGCATTTGAAAGCTGCCACAAGTCACAGCATCCACCTCAAATTACTGCTCTCATTAATTCGTGAAAAGTCAATACACAGCCCGACAGTGAAATATGGGCCCTACACCCACTCAGCACCAATTAGTGTGCTAATGAAAGGCGCAATTTCATTATCAATCCAATGACCACACCTTAATGAACAGATAAATGAGCATTTTATGCTTTTTTTTTTTTTTTTTTAAGTTTTATGGCCAAGTAGAAAAGCTCAGGGTCATTTGATGCTGATGATGGTCATTCAGAGGGAGTGTATCATGATGAGGGAGTTGCGAGTCAGCTGGAAGTCTGGGTGGGCAAGTTGAATGGAAATGAATGAATAAGACTGCAGCCCCCAGCAATTACTATTATGGTGCCATTGAGTGAAGCACTTACCCTCCACTTGTTCCACCGCAGCTGCTCATTAGGCAGCAACAGACAGGAGCTATAGAGGGAAGCTGCTGAATCTCAATGTGTGTATCATTAAAGTAAGAGGGGAGTGGAGAAGAAGTTGTAGCGAGACAGGACGGACGTTCACGTCTACCTTGGGATGAATTGTGAAACAGTTTGGGTGATCTTGTTGACTTTTCATTGAGCAGACCATTAGGTTGATGTGCAACTCTTTGTTTCTACCAGCCTCACTTCATTGGACGTATTAGTGTACTAAACTAAGATGCTGCCTCACTGTAATAAACACAAGCATGTTGATAATGCCATTGTTAGCTGTTTGCATACTGATGTTAGCACTTTACACAAAGAATGGCTGTTCTTTCAGACTTCACATTGGCGCCATAGACTTTATATAGAATGGACACCGTCTGCCTCCTCACTGGGTGAAGCCACGGCAAGAACAGCTCTGGTGATGGGCTACAGTAAAGCTCATAAATCCTGCCTCTTCCAGCAATCCCTATGGAACTGTGGACAAACTTTAGAAATTTATTACACAGATTATAAATTATTATTATTATTATTTCTCCCCCCTGTTTGCGATGTTGACGTGTAGTTACTGTAAGACTGGTTTGTGCTCAATTCCTCTTTTTTCTGTACAGCTCTATTTTTAAAAGTTATTAGGGGGTTCATGTTTCTATGATTGACATTTGATACAGCCTATGGGCGTACGAAGATTGCGTCACTCACCCGGGGGATATGCTGTTTGAGCCAAGCGTCATCACAGTGACTCTCCCATCGAACACGTACAATGCTCCTGCGCAAGTGGTGAAGTGCGTACAACACTACTGCACAATGTTGGTTTCAGGAAGTGGAGAAAAAACGCAGAAGAGAGCTTTTCGGCTTCAAATCCGTATACTGGCGGAAGGCGGAACCAAGTTGTCCATAGTAAATACAGTCTATGATTGGCCCGTATAAAACCATAGACATAAAAGCTGCTGTTCTGAGTGAATAGGTCATCCTCTGACTCCTCCATGTTGACAAATGGAACATGGCTTAAACTAGAAAGTAAAAATCAAGTGAAAACTTTTTTTCTCAGACATGCTTTCAGTTATAATATAACTATTTCTTCTCAAACTCATTTATGTTGAAGTGTTTGTCTGTTGGAGACGCTAAGTTTCAATTGGTTGTCTGATGTTTAAGAAAAAGATTGATTGACTGCTCTGTTGTTGTGGCTAGAGGAGGGATGAGCACCAACACAAGAGTCACTGAATATTACATTGCCAAAAATGTCTACTGTTTTTGTAAATATACAATCAAATATCGACTGATTAAATTTCTCTTTTGTTGTCTGTTGGTTGCTTAAAGATGCTCACAGCGACACCTTGATAGCTGGCCCTTATGTACGTCTGCTGTGTCACGTTGTCTGGATACATGTGCTCTGTCAGCACAGTACATGGGTTCCTGGGCAATTCTGTGTGTGCCTGCCCACTCTCACACCTGTGTGTAATGTGTATGTGTGTGCAGACAAACATGTGAACCAAGAAATGGAAAAGAAAATGAGATTTTCTTTTCTGGTGAGATGCTGCTCTCTGTTGCTCTAAAGAGGCCCTGGGGGCATCTGACCAGGTTCTTCATCAATTTGCCAGCACAGAGGAACGACCCTTGTCTCTCTCTCTCTCTCTCTCTTTCTTTCTCTCTCTCTCTTGCTCTCTTTCTCTTGGTGTTACATGCTCTCCCTCCTCACGCTGCCTTTCTTCCTCCTTTAACGTGAACCTTTGCTGACAATAATGAAAAGGCATGTCCTTTGTGATTTCCTCATGCCAACCAAAATGAAGGGAGGAAGAAAGGATGATGACGGTAGAGTGGAGCACAAGGAGAAAGGGAATACTGAAAAAAGAGATAATGCCCCACTTAGAGGAAGGTGGGTGAGAGCGGGGAGGTGCAAAAAGAAGGATGTTGAATAGAGAGAAAGACGGTGAGAGCAGCGTGAAGCCACAGGGGAATGAATATGATGAACGTCTGGAAAATGGAAACACAGACAAGATTGTTCATAGATTAGGACTCTACAGTAAAAATCATAATGGGATGGATTTGCTTTATGAAATAGAAACCTGGGCGGATGTGTGGATGTTTTTCCTCCCTTTCTGGCATGAGGTGTTAATCATCTGTCCTTATGGGGACCATTTTACCCAGCAGAAGGTCTTTGTGTGCAGAGAGAAGACGGGATGCCAGTGCGGTTTGAAAAACAGATGTCTTCATTAATGGCCCCAATCAAGCTGCTCTATTGTCTTTGTCTGCTCCTCCTTTATTGCAACGACAGCGAAAACAGCTGGTGTGCTTGAGAAGTCAGTAATCCGTCACTCATGTCAATGTCTACATGAACACGGAAAGGAAAACAAAGTGTGCGCTCTCCTCTCCCTCCCCCCCGTTCGATAATCTCTGGTAATTGTTAGCAGGTAGCAGAGGCGCCAGACACATGTGGCATTTTGGCAGACCACAACTCACTGAATTGCCATCATCTCATTTATTACTCTTGGTAAAATGATAGAGGAATCTGATTAGAATAATCCTAATTTGTTTTTATATTTATAAATGAGCAAATGCTGCAGATTTTAAGTACCCATCACATCAATACAAAGAATACACATCATGAACACACATCATGAATGTGAGCTCTGAGCTTTGGTGTTAGTGCGCCTTTGTCCGTAAACCATCAGTGCGTCTCATTGTCCTGTATTTGAGAACAAAGAGCTTGCAGCCTTCAGTGTGTGACGGATCCACAGGTCCCCATTAGAAGTGAAAGAAAGCCAGATGTTGCCCACTAGTGAATGACTGACATGCTGTGATTGTGTGTGTGTGTCTGTCTGTGTGTTTGTGCCAACCAAGTAGTCAGCCAGTAGTCGCTTTAGGTTTGTGTTTTTTGCTGTTTGGGGTGAGCTGGCTTTGTTCCAGTCTGATTCCCCAATTTAAAAAAAAAAAAAAACACAATGACCCTCTATTGTATATTTTGACAGAAGGAGGAATGATGCATCATAAGCCCCATGATAACATTGCATATCAAATCAAGGTGTGAGTTGTAGGGTCCAACCAATTTGAGATCTTAATAAGAAACGTAAACTGATGTATGAGGAAGTGATGCACTGCTTGATAGCAGGATAACGTCTTCCTGTAATGACCACAAGAAAAAACTGTTCGCTTTTGGTTGAGAAAACACAGACTGTACAAAATCATGGATGGAATAACAGCGACCTAAACGAAGCCCAAACTTGACAGCCCAGACTGGCAACAGTAAAGATCTCAAAGCTTACATATCCCATTCAAACAGATGGTTGTAGAAATTTTTACTTTAACTTTAAAGTCGTCGATTTTTCCATGTCTGATCTTGTGCTCCTTGATCCAGGAATCTGTGAATTATACAAACTTGAGGAATCTTTGCTCTTTTATTGTGTTTTTTGATCATAAGTCTGTTCCAAGACTTCACCAGACAGATTGCTTCTGCGCGTGCCTTGGCTCCATTTGTATCTGCTATATCCTTGTTTCACTTTTTACAGTAGAATCGAAATAGAGGTGCTTCGTCTATATTGATATACAGTCAATGGAGAAAACTGAGAAACTTGGGTCAGTAAAGATGAATGGATGAAACTACCAAAGCAGACACAGTGATGAAAAACCCAAACAAACATTAGCAAATCAGATGAAGCACTGGAAACAACTAAAGTTATGTCAAAAGTTTTGTAGTTTTTGATTTCCACTTATGCGACATTCAAAAATCAGGATTCCATTAGATTAGAGTTAAACAGCCAACTGAACACTTTCATCTCTGTCAGAACAACCATACCTGAGCTTATCTCCTGCTCAAATGGTTGTGCACATATTTGATTAGCGATAAATTGTCTTCACTTGCCTTATCTTTCTGTCTCTCTCTCTCCTTTCGCTCATTTACACCCCCCCTTTCCATGACTCTCTCTCAGTTTTGCTCGAGAACCAGAGGTGTGAAATGTGTTTTGGTGGCGAGCGGACAGGCATCACAGTTATGGTGTTACAGGATCTCAGGTGTGTACATGTGCATGTGTCCTATTCAGGGGTTGCCTGGCCACGCTTTAATCCTGGCCTCAGCCGAGGTGCAGCCCGCTCCAGATGGGGCCATTGTACCACGCCGTGCATCAATAATTCACAGAGAGCTACAGAAAGTGGCGGAGTGTGTCTGCCTGTTTAATAATTAACCAGGGAGGGGAGAGCGACGTGTATGTACAGCCCGGGTCCCTCTCCAAACGCCCATTCAAATGGCCTTTGATGTTGCCGGCCTGGGGGGTCTTTGGATTTGTCGGCTCATTAAGACATCATCCCTCTTTTCCTTTTATTTGTTTTGTAATCTGTTTTCGCTGTGAGCGGGAGCTGAATGTAAGGTGTGAAAGTGGCATAATGTGTGCGTGTGAAAGGCAGCAGTAATGACTCTTTCACTAGATGCTTTCCTGCCATGGTAGATAATGAGCTATTTTCAGTCCGGTCTCACAGTGCACCTTCTGCCGCCCTCCTACTGTAGGTAACACAGTGACTCCAGCCTCCTCTGCCCCCACGCTCCTCCTGTCAGACTGCACTGTGGGTCGAAGAGCACCAGAAGTCATGTTTCTTTTTCGCTTTGTCTCCTGCTACGAGACAGCTCCTTAAAGTGGAATCCTTCAGATGACTATAAATAATGCAGCCTCTGACTTCATCTTCTTTCTGTCTTCAGCCTTATCTCGCTTGATAAATAATCATAAATCAGGAAGACGAGTAGTACAGTATGTTATGACTCTTTATGACAGGAGGTAGATACAACCACGAGTCATGTCAACACAACCCCACCACAAGCACAAAGACGACTTTGAACAGACTTTTTTCTCACTTTTACGACTCTCTCTCCTGATCACACCCGATTTCACTCTCATCTTAAAGTCATCACCATGTCTTGCTCGCATCTGTAACTTAACTTTTCCTCGAACCCATCTGTAGTTTTCTCACTCTGCTGCACCCCTTTTGTCCTCCTCCCCACTCCCTTCCCCTCTATTAGAAATGAGGGAGATGTCGGAGCTGCCCTGGCCTGCCCCAGTGGGTCAAATGGAGGAGGAGCCCCCCGTCAGAGAGCAAGGTGATCTCTCACCCTAAACACAACCCAACCCCCCTCTTTTGCCTCCCATTAACTCCCCAAAGACACACACACATGCACCGTCACTTTGACCGTAATGACCCAAGTTGTTGTCCTACATCTGCTCTCCCTCAGTCTAAAACCCCCAGAGGCTTGCATCTGCTCCACCTGCATCTGTCCCCGCCTGGTAGAGTTATTGGGTTGACAGGATTTTGGGTTTAAAGCTCTCCCCCTTTACCATGTTTCACTCTCGCTTCAACCATGCATAAAAAGCTCCCTGGAAATTAGAAAGTCTGTCTTGTTCATGTTAGGGAACTAAGTGGTGCGATAGTACTCTTAATGTTTAATTACAAGGTCTGATTATTGATTTTTTTTCTTCTTTTTCTTTCTAAAATCATCCTCAAAAGGGGTAAATAACTCTTCAATTTGAGCATGCAATTTTCTACATAATCGGTAGTCAGTGTAAAAGCAGTCTGCAGCGTTGTCTAATGGAAAACAAAGAAAAGCAAAAGAGCCACCCAGGGAGAAGGCCAACTGCCTCTAGCTGCCCTCAGAGCTGCATAAGCATATTGATGATGGCGATTGTGATGATGCTGATAGTTTTGCACTCAGTCAGACCGTGACTTTGCTTCCTCTGGGTTGACCCATCCATCAGAGGTCTCTTTGCAGCATGCATGGTTTTGTAATAGCTGGATGTCTCATGTTTACCTGAGCCTTGCTGAGGTTTAATCCCTTTTGATCAAAGCACCGTGTAAATAGTGTGACTCACTTTTTCTTTCCCTATCCGCCAAAAGTGCAGTTTGACGGCGCTGAATGGGACCGCTCCTCGTCACCCACCGAGAGATTGCGTCCTCCAGGACCCAGGTCCAGCCCGCTGGCAGGAGGGGGAATGAAGTTTCGGATGCCACAGGAGGGCCTGTCCATGGTGGGAGAGCGTGTGGATCCTACTCTGCCTCTGGAGAAGCAGGTGTATGTAATCATTCTGCTGTTTCAGCTCACAGAAGTGACATGAACTTATATAAGTTTATGTCAGAGTGTGGTGCACAACTTAGTCAAATTTTAATCAAATGAAGAGGCTTATATGCCGTAGCACCAGGTGATTTTGATAGTGAATGTTTGAGTGAAGCTGTCACCATAGAGTTGACTACCCCAACCCTTAACATTAAAACTTAAGGACAAGGTATAAGCCTGTCTAAGGGGCACTCACACCAAGTACGAGTGAAATCATCTACTCGCTTAATTCACGCGGATCTAGATGTGTGAATGAATAGTTTTTACTCACTTTATTCGCACGTCAACGTTAATTTCAATGGTAACCCATGCCGACGGGATCAAGTGATAGACAAAGGTTTTTTATAATTTACCAGGTAATCCGACCTCTTCACTCACTTGCCTCCAGGCGAGCTCCTTTTTATTCCGATTTCGGTATTTGAAAGAAAAGGTATCACATAATTTGGGGCACCGACACACCGACACGATCGTTTTGTCCTCCATTATTGATACCAGTGAACAACCGTCCATTTTCATACGTCACCTAGCAACCTTCGTGCTAATTAGTTATCGCGACGCGAATATCCGCTCAAGTTGAGACATTTCCAGCTCACGCCCAATTCGCATCATTCTCACCACCAGAGTCGTACGAGTCTAATCCTGTCTTTGCATTGACTTAACATGTAATTCATTTGCACGAATGATTTTACTTGCGCTTGGTGTGTGGAGACAGACAGAATTAAAATGCAGTCACAGAGCACTAAACACTGGGTATTCCTGGTAGAATAAGGTGTAAGATATAGAAAATATGAAAGTATAGGAAGGTATTTTCCCTGAAACATAATTCTAGGCCATGATAATTTAATACATTAGAAAACATAGACCATGCAATTACTTATGCATTTAAATACCATTTGCATAATTTATCAATCTCAGTCAGCTGTAAATGTGTCTGCAGAGCCGTCATGTATATACATTCATCCCTCAGTGTAACAGAAGAGATTTTGCATGCAAGTGGTAGAGAACATGACTGTACGTCACACAAATTAAGCCGACTATCCATTTTCTCAGACGGCTTTGATCCTGTTAGGGCGCGGTCACAATAAAACAAAACGGTTATGTGTTTTGTGGAAGCAGCTCTCATCAGACCTCACACAAGTGGGAAAGGTTGGAATAAGGACTAATTAAGTCAGAACACTGAAAACACACATTTACTCTGGTCTTGTAATTTCAGACATCATTGGTGTAATTTATGTGTAGTTTCTGTGCACATAAAGGGCTGTTTTACTAATGAAATCCAAGCACATCACACCCTTTAAGCACACATTTGCATGCACTCACACTGAGTTGTGCTCACAAACACATACGTGTGCACAAATTAACTTGAGGATGGTGTTGATTATTATGCCCCATTACATCCTAATGATCTCCAAAGGGCTTTGTGTGAGATTTGTGCTTATCTCCATCTCTGTTTGCAAAAGAAAAAATATCAGTAATGTAAACCTTTAGCGTTATGTAGACTTTGCCTGATCAAGCCCAAAGAAATCTAATTTTCAGCCAAAATTTAAATTCTTAAAATGTTTGTTTTATCACCAAAAATCTGCTAAACCAACAATATTCCTTTTAGCTTTGGCTTTACTTAGTTTTAAAAGATAATAAGGCGCTTTACATGTCTGATATGTTAAGCTAAGTACAGTGGTCCTCAGTCCACAGTCCTCGAGCCCCCCCCATCCTGCGTGTTTTAGATGTTTCCCTGCTCCAACACACCTGATTCAAATGATCAGCTCGTTATTAAGCAATTTCAGAGCTTGATAACGAGCTGATCATTTGAATCAGGTGTGTTGGAGCAGGGAAACATCCAAAACATGCAGGACAGGGGGGCTCGAGGACTGGACTTGAGAACCACTGAGCTAAGACAATAAACATAGTTACCCTGAAGGTGATAGCATAGTAAGTATTCAGCTCAAAGTACCTCTGCACCAAAACTGCTTGCATGGCTGTAGACTTTGCGCCCTTTATGAACTTTTATTCAAGTTTAGTGGTTTACTCCATGAACTGATGAACGTAGCAGCAGCAGTGAGTGGTGGCTCAAATTCAAAACACAGCTCACTGACTATCAATTACGGTTTACTGCCATTAAAGAATGTCAAGAGAAGCCATTTTTTATTTGAGGATTAGGTTTTTATTGTGTAATTTTTGAATGCAAAGTTATAACAGTGCGTAAAAAACTACAGTTCAACAAATAATGTGCACATGGTTAATGTTACATGGAAGAGAGTGACCAATAATATAATTATCATCTTATGGAATGAAATCAGAGTTTCACTCTTGTGTTGAATCCAAACATAGTTGTAATTTCCCCTGATTTCACCGTTCTTACTGTATCCTCTTGTGATTATTTTCTCTTTCTCAGATGGTACCATGGTTCCCTGTCACGTTCAGAGGCAGAGTCGCTGCTAACGCTGTGTAAAGAGTGCAGCTACCTGGTGAGGAACAGTCAGACAAATCGCTCTGACTTCTCTTTGTCCCTGCGGTAAGACATGAATACATCCTTAAAACACACACACACAGACACACACATACACAAACCACAATAAGACCAGCAAACCCCTGAGGAGCTTCAACATAGCTCTCCAATAAACAACTTTACCGTTAAATTGCACTCTTTTCTTCTACTGCGCCACTGAGGAGTTTGAGCGAAGAGTGTGTGGACCCACCTGAGCTACTGATCTCATATCCCAGTCTCTCCTCCTCTCCATCTGTCTGCCCCTCCCTCCCTTCCTCACCCCCATTCAGGATCACTACCGCACTGATTTCTCTCCCAATACTCATTTGCAGGGCACAATACTGCTTATCTGGTCAAATCTCTCTTGTAATTACGACCATGATCCATCGTGCCTGCCCCACACCACTCTCCCATCATCCCTCTGTCCTCTCCCCACCCTTGGCTCCTCTCTCTGTGGCCTTCCTCTTCAGCCCCCAGCGGGCTTTCTAAGTGGTAATCAGGCAGGTAGAGCACACTTCAGTGCACACATCATCCTCCCCATAATCACTAATGAATATGAATTACAGTCTGTGGGCCACACAAGAAGGGAATAAGGAAGAGTGTGTGTGGTGGGGGGGTATGACTGGAGTGTCACTGTGTTGTGCTGACATATAAACAAGCTCAAGCATTACTCATTTACATGGGCAGAGTGAGTTTGACACACACACCCACACACACACTTGTTCATGCAACAAGGTCACTGCTAGATCTGGTTCCCCAGATGGTGCACACAGTAATAAAAAAATCTCGTAAATATTTACAAAACTTACCATCCATGTGTAATTAAAACTATTTTTAGCTCAAACTCAACCAAAAACATCATAAAACCGTCCAAAGTTTCCTAAAATAATTCAAAGTCAGATATCCATTTTGATATTATCATCCAATTTGTTGCTCAAAGAGGGATAACCAGCACCTTTATGGGCTGCCTTTGTTTTTTCATAACATTGTTGTCTATGTTATGCCAGAATGTCCTTATATTTTAAATTTTGTCCTTCTTTCTGTTGTCGTTCAATGCTCAAATCCACATATCCCAAGGTATTACAACACCCAATACACAACCTCACAGCCCTTTGATTATGTGGCAAGGTTTTGCAAGATACACCTCTGGGAATCGATTCCAGTCATTTCAATTTAGCCACGGTTTGCATTTAGTGACTCCCGGCTAAGACCCTCTTCTTAATGCAGGGTTTACATATGTCCTTCTTGGTTCGTGAGATCCTCCAGAGTGGTGCTCATTCATCATTTCACGTACAGTAGATCTTAGTTTAGCAGTGAACAGTACCTTATATGGAGGTTTCACTCCGTCTTATCTCAGCGATATTAGAAAGAATTCAATTTATATTTGGTGTCATGGCTCCATCCTGAGAGGGGAGCACACCTCCTCTCCATTTCATGTGCATACACGCTATGTAGTATATAAAGCTAAGGCAAGGGGAGCAGCAGCAGCAAAAACCCAGAACAGAACAGGGGAGATACTTGTGACAATATAAAAGACGTGGTAAGATCAGACACAGTATAAAATGAGAAGCTCAGATGAAGGTAGGTTGTTACAGTAGAAGGCAGGCTGAGGACGTTTAAACAGAACACTCATCATGACGTTTGCCAGTTGGATGCGAGGTTATCAGCTGAGCTGTCAGCAGATATTGGCCAGTAAAAGGGTCTGCATATATACTGTGGGCTGAGCTTAACTTTCATATCCTGTGCTCAATTCTACCAGTGTTCAGTCTGCCAGAATAACAACATCAAAGAGCAGATTTGTGGAAAAAAGAGTAAAAAGTAAACTTTGCCAGGCTTGTCTTCAAGAGGAGTTAACTTTGAACAAAAGCGCCTTATTCATACTTGTTTGTTAAACTAGAACACTTCCAATGCCAAACACCCCCATCTCTGAGAACAGATTCTACTTTTTTATATAGGTCCTGTAAAGGGGGATTTAATCTGTTCTTGTTTTAGATATTTTGCTTCAGGGCCATCTAGTGAAATGCAAGCTATGCAAGTGGTATGTCTGAATTAACACAGAAGTGCTCTTATCTTGTTGAAACTAGATGTTTCATTGTTGTGTTATGCACTCACCTCAATGTTTAAGCACCATCATCGTTTTCTTGTCTTGTTTGAAGGCCGTTAATTACATTCCAGTTTGCAGTATGTAAAAATCCATAAGTGTTCTTTTACACTCCCTGTATTTGTCCTTTCGGCACACAGGGAAGTCATCGAGTCAAGTGACCGAGGAGACAGAAATCCTTTGGGTCACAATGACCAACAGTTAACATAATCAAGCGAGCAGCTTGTTTGTTTGATTTTCAGATGACGTGTAGTGCAGTTGTACAGTCAGCAATTTCCTCGGTGAGCCAAAACTACAGAAATAACATATTCCATCGTGTCAGTGTCTAGACTGGAAAGACACAGGAGTCTTTATCAGGCTGTTGTGACTGGTTTACTTCACAAAACTATCTTCATGATGATAATTTATCCTTGAAAAATGCCTCTGTTTTATAAATACTGGTTTGAGTCCAAGTTTGTAGATTACAGTAGAATCCCAGTGTGTCTGTCAGTGTGGTGTCCTGTGGAAAAAAAGAGAATCTTACCTTCAGGTTATTTAGATTAAACCATAATTAAACACAGGGAGGGCTGATGAAGCTTGTTTGATTAATGGAGACAAAATGAAGGACCTCTCCACAGTGAGTCAGCGCAGAAACAGACAGGCCTGCTGGATATAACCTCACATAAATATTTATGAAAGAGCACTGGTAGGTTCCAGTGTAGCAGGAGGCAGAGACAGAATCCCCCAAAACAAACAGGACAGGATGAAAGTGCTTGTGCTGAAGTATTGGTGCTCCAGAGGCCAGCAGGACGATTACACTTTGCCTGTTGTTCGTTGTTTGGAGTCACAGTGAGCCGTTCGCGTTCACTGCTCTTCAAAATTTAATTCGGTTTACTAGAACAATGACAATTATAGTGACCGTTCCAGCCCTTGTCTTTTCCTCTGCTTCTATAATTAGATTTACATTATGACTGGCTGGCTGGCTCTTAAAGGGGCCGTCATGTCATGGCTGCTTGGCACTCAAAAGGAAGGAACGTGTGTTTCTCTCAGCTGAAACACTCTTCTCAGCTTTAGCTTTTTGTCCTCTTTTTTCCCTCTCTATGGGTTTGTCTTTCCTTCTATGTGCAATTGTACCACCCATCCACCCCTCTATCCATCCATCATAGTCCCTCTGCCTTCATCATTTGAGACAAGGTGTTAAATCTTGTTTAGAAACATGTCCTCAGAGCTCACAAAAAGAGGACCGAACATAAATCCAAGCTGTCCCTTCCACTGCCATTATGTGACAAAACGGATTGAAGGCTGCATGATGTTTTATGTGCCCCATATTTCACGTCATTACTCCTCTTCACTGTCCTCTCCTGTTCTTTTCTTCTTTGTCTCCATCCTTTATCAACATATTCTTCTTGTTTCTTTTTCCTCAGGAGCTGCCAGGGTTTCATGCACATGAAGTTCACACGGTGTAAAGATGGAAAGTACGTGCTCGGACAGAACAGCCCTCCGTTTGACACCATCCCAGAGGTCATCCACTTTTACACCACACACAAACTCCCGATCCGGGGCGCTGAGCACCTGTCCCTGCTGTTCCCTGTGCTGGTGCAGACACTCTGACTGACCCTGGTCCTCCTGTGTGAAATCCAGGATTTCATTTTAACACTTGAATGTCATTTTGAGGATTCCTAGTGGAGTACTTGTGCCCATTTTGGACTGGATCACTTTGGATGATTCAACACAGCAGGAGCTAAAACTTTCATCTGCCGCTGCTGTTGTACCCGTGCCAAAAGTCTCTGACATCCGGGGGATCGATTCAAATGAAATGCAATACCTGAACTTGAGGCTACCCCTCTCTCATCTCCTCCCTGAGCACTAGTGGGCAGGCTTCGGGACATTTGAAATTCTCTTTTTAACTTTTTTACATTTCTTTCACAGCTGACTGAAAAGCAGGGGAAGCTAGCAGAGCTGTAGCCAGGAGAGGGTCTGTAAATTGTGAATGTACTGATGTCCCAGTTTACACAAGCCCTGCAGAAAAGTGAGATTGAATCACTGCTGTTCCACTAAAAACACCTCATTCACACGTTAAAATATGGCTGTTGTTGGGTGAAAACCTTATCGGTGATATTTTGCTGCATTTACATGTTTATACTCTAATTAAAAAAACAGATTGATCTTCTTAAAATGAGAAATCATCTTACCTTTTCGTAATTGTTTGGAAAAATCCGCTTTTCCACGAAGAAATAGTCGTATTTTCAAAGATGTATAAGGTTTTTACCCACAGCAGTTATATTGATGATGCTTTTCTACACATGCCACACCTTTTTATTGTCTTTTTGTCTGTCCTGTACCGTCATGCTGCTGTACGCCGACACATCTCATTATGTGTTTGATTGTTCATGGTAAGCAGCTAAGATGACGTGTTGTATCGGTACTTGTGTTGACCTTGCTTACCTGTATCTCTAGATGGTTGCCTGAACTGCTTTTAGTAGACATTGCTGCGTTTGTTGAAAGCAGTCTGTCACTCCTGTCTTCGTCTTTTAACCGGCTTCAAGTTTCGCTTTGAGGCAGAGCTGCAGGCTGCATCTGAAGCAAAAGAAAGAAATGGTAATTTTAAAGGGATATTCTGGCGTAAAATAATTTAGGGTTAAACACACTGTAACACTGAGTTAGACACCCCCTCGAGAGATGAATGTTGCCGACCGCCTGCTTCTCTAGTTATACCAGTTATACCATCTTTTTAACTTTGCCTAATTTCTTTAGCAAAGAGACTAAGCAAAACTCACCTACAATCTTTTAGCAGCCGCTTGTTTGTTACGAGACCTGAGGCCAGTCCATTATGGACTACTGCGGGGTGTCGCAGCTCAAGGAAGAACATTTATGATCATTTCTTCTTGGAAATGCAGTCAGACCAAGACGCTAAGGCAGAAGAACTACCGCGTCTGCAGTGCAAAATGATTTATATGGTGATTATTACTTAAAGGAAATTGTTAAGTAATGATGTTACGGTGTGTTTGACCCCAAATTAATTTTATGACAGATTATCCCTTTAAGGAGGAGGTATTATGTGGGATGTCGACATCTAACTCTGACAAAGTTTTAAATTGTAACATGTAAACATGATAAAAAAAAGTCTCCCAACAGTTCATTCAAACAGCCATAAAGAATTAAAGGTACAGTGTGTAGAGACGAGGATACTTTGCAATGCTAAGCATTTCAAGTTAGTCTGAAACACTGTCTTGCTCTCTCTCCTCCTGTTGGTGAAACAACGGTGGCCTTAAAAGAATAGACGCTCCCTGTGATGCATGATGAGTAGCCTGTGATCTTCCATTTGACAAGTTACCATCAAAAACATCTATTTATACATTATCTTTTGGGCACAACTCTCCTTCTTCTTCTGCTTTGTCTCTCAGCCAGTGCATTTTTAGTCTCCAAAGACTAAATTTAAAGCTTGTAATAAAATGATATGAAAATAGCTTGTCCATTCCGTGCTGCTGTAGATACCTGGCAGTGCAGGACAACAGTCTCTATGGAAGGGGACCTACTCTTTATGTAGATATACGAGGCTCATAGAAGTTCGCGAAAATTCTATTTTTTTAATCAGGTATTAAACACTAATTTAAATATACTAAATAATATTTTACTCCATTTTTATGAAGTCTGCTCTGTTAAATGCTGCCGGTTTCTACACACCGTACCTTTAAGCAAGAGGGACACATGGCTTAAAATAAAGAACAATATTTATGATGAATGACCTCCTTAAAAAAAACATATATTGCTGCAAGCATAGCAGAGCAGCCTCTTACAGCAGATGTTTTCAGACTTAGTTGGATATTTGGGGCATTTTTTCACAGGTACACCTGCTTCCAGAGGCAGATATAAAAAAAAAAAAAAAAAAATCAAAGATCCAGCCTTTGCTTAAATCACACTTTCCGCATTCAAGTCACCAACTTAACCAGGTCACCCAGCTAACAAACTAGATGTCTACCGACCGATACATCGTGCTCTGCTCTTAGTTGCTTTGGATTTTCTTGTTCTTCCTTTTTCAAACTTCTCTGGGTTAGATTTAGTGTCCAAAGTGTGGCTGTATTTAATAATTTGTCATTTTGAAATGGAGAACCATCAGTACACTCAATGACAGCTAACCCCAAAGAGACAGGAACTGAAACGATTTTGAATTGTAAATCACTGCAGAGGTATAAAGCCTGAAAATGAGCATAATACCTCCCCTTTAACAGAAAAAAACCCTCAAACTTATTATTGTCGATGCCATCTCACACTTCCTACATTATTTTTCAGCTGGCAAAGTTACCCAGTGCTGGTTTGAGAGGAGTATTTGAGTTAAATGTTCGCCATCTGGGATGGGTTTCCATGAAGATGCAGAGCTGTATTAGAAAAACTGATTTCGGTCTGAAGCCAAATTCTTCCGAACGCATCCAGAACCACTGAAATGAGTTATTAGGAAAGTCATTCATATCATGATAATTTAAGTCATCGTTTCTTGATATAAAAGTCTATATTGAAGAGTTGTATTGGTTGTTATGATATTGACTATTTTCTGTCACTAATAAAACATGACAGGATGTTTAATTTATCTCCTGTGTTGAAGAGTTTAATCTGGATTAAGTGTGTTTCTTCAGAGTGATGCAGATTAGTGGATACCAAACTAGAGAGCTGGGAACTTCATGAGGGATTTGGAGACGAATTCTGATAGGAATATACAAAAAAACAACATTCTGCTTTACACAATCATCTTTATCTCCTGACCTGCTCACAGTTTGTAGACATCCAACCTGTAAGTGGCCTAAATGTGGCACAAATGGATCCCATAAAGAGCAATTCTGGTGTCACTGATTTAGACCCATTAAAAGAACACACCTCCAAATTTTCAGATAAAAGTAGAACAGATCAGATTTATACTGTAGCCTCATTTGCAACCCAGAAAGAAGGAAAAGAGACACAAAGGACTTGGCAAGATTGCGTGCTGCGCTCTCTCAGACACACACACATTTGCTTTCCTCCATCCATTAACAGCAGGGCTGGGAGGGAGAGAGGGTGAGGACTGGGGGGTGAGGTGTGGCTGAGGAGGGGGTGAGGCAGTCCTCATTATTTGGGCTGCGCCGCACTGAAAAGCTCTGGGATTGCTTTCATTACTGAGCCAAATGAAATAGCTGAGGCTGATTACCCGCATGACGGAGAGAGGAGACAAGCTGGATCACTCTCTATTTGGGAGAAAAGACTGAAGGGAGGGAGGGCAAAAAGAGGAAGGAGGGAAATGAGAGGAGGGAGGGAGGGAGGGATATGCCTGGCTCTACTTCTCCAATAAGACTCAGAACAAGTGTGTTTGCGTGCATGTGTGGGTGTTTGTGAGTGCAAGCGAGAGAGACGGTGACATTGAGGGGGCTGCAATAGTCCCATTTTTCAAACAAGACTCCCCGGGGAGAGATATGAATAATAACGACAGTAGAGCGGCTGCATGTAAAAATCAAACAAATATCACATTCACATTTCGGCGGCATTTGTAGAACTCTTACCTTTGACTGTTTTTTACAGTATTTCTAGGAGTTAATTTTAAACCCTAATTTTGCAAGTACAGTCATGTAGATTTGAACAAATGGCACTATCTTTTTAGCATTAAAGTGTGTGCGTGCGTGCTTGTGTGTGTGCACGTGCAGCTGTCGAATCAGAATTCAAGTGTGTGTAATGTCAGATCTGGCAGTTATGCGGTGACAGCAGCTGTTAATTCATCAGACAGCCTCAGAGGAATGAACACCTGTGATCAGCACAGAGCCAGGGAACATGTTAGAAAACCACAAAACACACACACATATGAAGTCGAAAGAGACTGTGTTTTAGAGTATTTACACACGCACGTTTACATGTGACAAAAGCACAGGAGTGTACTGGCAAAATAATGGTGGTAAAATTCCACTTTTTTGTTTTAGTGTCTGGGTGCAGGCTCTCTATGAATTTGTGGGGCACTTGAATGGAGTAGAACCATTGTTAATGTCAAAAGTAACATCTATCTACTAAGGTGGGTCTTAATTATTGGCCTTTTAGAGCAAAAATCACCAAACGATACTCAGAAAAAAGTTAGAATTAGGCCCGTACTCAGTAGAAAACAGTATTTTGTAGAGAAAAAGGCTTTATTGATCTTCAGATTGTGCAGAAGTTCAAAGTCAGGTATGGTGTAAAAGAGTGAACCAATTACACCAGCTGCTCTTTAAAGGTTTCTGGGTTAGTGTTCGACTATGAGGTAGTGCTGCACAGTGTTGGCCCACATGTTATTAGCCAACAATGGCAGTTCTTTTAATCATTATTAATCACTAAAAGGTGCTTTCAATAACCTACAATAAGCCGACACATCTTACAAGAGTAGGCTGTGGAAAAAGAAAGAGTGTAGCAATGAGAAGTGGAACCACTGCTGTGTCTTTTAAATGTAGCGAAAGCGCAATTGCTAATTGCTTATATTAGAAAAATTAAAAGGTTCATATTGTGCTAAAAATAAGCAAACAGTAAGACCATGAGTTCCTCTACGCTGGTTGCCACACATTATAAAACGGAGGATAGATAGAGAGGTAGCAGGCTGCAATCGAGCAAGCTGAAGCAGCTCTCTTTGAGATAAGTTGGCACTTATAAAACTGATGTCTAAGATTTATTGTGAAAAACTTAAGCCTTAGAGCAAAACCTGAAAAAATATTAAAATAAAAGAATGAAAAACAAACGTTAAATGAGGCAATGTCTTCTCAAAAATGTTTCCATCACAGGGCTAATGATAAATCATAAATTTGAATACTATTAAAACTGACTGATGACATACAAACCGCTTGTATTGATCAGGTAAGTTAATCAAGTAATGTATTGTTCCACCCTTGTCTTTCCTTTGCTCAATTTGACCAGTTGTGTTGTTTTAACATCAGCATAGAGTATTTTGCTGCCGAGATAATGACGAGGTGAAAATCTGAAACCATGAAAGCTTTGATCCCAAGAGGTAAAAAAAGATCATAAATCTTAACACAGCAAAACTTTTGAGTCACCGTTAAAGTCACCATGGCAGAGAAGATGTGCTGAAGAAATGCATACAAGCAGCAGCCACAGTTAGAGATATTTTTAAGGCGATGATGTGACGATTCAAGAGGCACTTAAGAGCTGCAGACAGTGTTACGTATTGAGAACAGGAATTGAATTGCTGCTACTTCGCAGACCCTTGTATGATCTTTCCACACAATCCCAGTCTGATAGACAGCAATGTCAGTGGCATAAGTTTTCAAGATACAGTATATGGACTTTTGTTTTTGGTCCATGTGCTTCATTTGATGGTCCAACGGCTGGATGAAGAATTTAACATGGAAGGACATTGATGCATTTACTTGTTCACAGTTAAAGAATAAATTACCTTTAAAGAAGCAGAACCAATCTGTGTCAACTAAAGTGATTTCACTTAAAATAAAGTTGAGAAAACTTACAAATACACATTAATCTTTGCTCACTTAATCTTAAATCTTTCTTGACATCAGCTGTGTATGAACTACACATTTTGAAATATGAAAAATATTGAAAGTATTATCAGTATCAATAAATGCATATCCTGCATGCCTAAGAATGAGCAATTGGCTCCTGATTCTGAATCCTTTTAAGGGATCCGTCTTGATGCAGCAGCTTTTGTCAAACTTTAAATGTTGGAGGATGTTTTACCCTAACCTAAATTCTGATTGGTGCTTTTTTCAGTCATAAGTTCATAAAGACAGACAGACGCTTTTACTTGTGATGCACACTTGAAGTCAAGAATGGGTGTCTCCTCCTTCATTTGCACTTTGACACACAACACAAACCTCAGGGCTGCTTGCATGCTCAGAGCGAGGGAATCAGCCAGCTGTGCACACACGCTCAATGCCACTAGTGAGGGACGGGACTCGCATGCAAGTCTAAAAGGCCGCTGTCTTCTCTCCCAGTTTTCCCCTGGCCCCAGACGTGCTAATCCCTGCAGTTGTGTCAGGCGGGCGTGGAGGAGATGGATTGGAGGTCAGTGTGAGCAGGTGTGCGCATGCCGTCAGGCCCCGCCAGAAGACTGCAATCAGAGAGGGTTTGGAGAGAAAGCAGCTGCTGTTTGAAGAGCCATGTAGAGAGGGGGAAATTTGGAGGGGTTTGCTGATCCACTTCTGCCATCTATCTGTTATGATGTGATGGCAATGACAGCAACTGCAGCCTGACAAAGATAGTTAGTGACGGGGAATTGTCTTTCTGTTATGCTGGTCAGACCGGTTGTAGAGTGTGAGAAATGAAAGATTAGATTTAAAAAAACATGAGCAGCATCAGAAGGAATCATACACATGGCACCAAGTATAATAAGCGTCATTCATTATTGATGTGCTCAGTGAATGTATCCCTGTCTATTGACCTGTCTGTTTTCCAGGTCAATAGACAGGGATTTTTTTGTCTCTATATCTATATCTATAGGGAGTTTTCTCTGCCACTGTTGTCAAGTGCTCACTCATTGTGGAGTAATATAGAGCATAGGGAGTTTACTTTTTATAGACATATGCCATACATGTGACACTGAGACAAACTGAATCATGCAAATCAGGATATCTGCAGAGCTAAGTGTATACACATTGGTAGATGTGGAATTATAACTCCATCTGCAGTCAAAAAAATAGAAAATTTTCTTAGATTTAAAAAAGTGTTGGTTTATAGAGGTGATTAGGTCTTTCAGATAGTTCAGTCTATTAAATTTAAAGGATTTCACAAATATCAATTTTGACAATCAACAGATTAAAGGGATATGCCGGCGTAAAGTAAAGTTAGGGTCAAACACACTGTAACACCGAGGCAGATACCCCGTCGAGAGATGAATGTTGCTGACCGCTTGCTTCTCTAGTTATGCCAACTTAGTATCGACCGCACAATAGCAATACAGGGAGCCACGCACTCAACCAAAAAGCCACTCTATAGCCACAAATAATGCTCAGAACAGCATCTAACTTCATCAACAGTTTTTATAGGGTCCCAGCCACAGCACTAGCCATAAAACATCTTTTAAGCTTTGCCTGATTTCTTTAGCAAAGAGACTAAACTCAGCTCACCTACTCTCTTCCAGCAGCCGCTTATTTGTATGGAGACCTCAGGCCAGTCCATTACCACAGCGGGGTGACACAGCTCAAGGAAGAACATTTATGATCATCACTTTATCATTTCCCAGTTGGTATAACTAGAGAAGCAAGTGGTCGGCAACATTCATCTCTCGACGGGGCGTCTAACTCGGTGTTATGGTGTGTTTGACGCTTATTTAATTTTACGCCAGAATATCCCTTTAATAACAGCTTCTGTAAGCTGCTCTTTTATTGTTTCACGTGTATTTTGGACTAAAACCCAAATCTAAATACTCTACCTTAGGCTCTAATTAGTATTTTTCATGATTTTGAGGCATTTGAGTGATTAAAGTTAATCCTTAATTAAAGTGTAAATGAGAGATAACCTGATAATACACATTGCAACTCTAAAGGCACAAAGACAGATTATGACTCTTAAGAAGAGATTAAAATATCCCAACAAGGATGTATTTCTGATGCAGCTGCAGGGAAAAGAAAATGGATACACAAGAGTGTAGCTGAGATGTTAAAACGACCGTCAGATCAAAATTTTCTTTGTTCCAGTCATATTCCTGCTGAAACTCGACTGGAGATCAGATCAGCACTAGAAAGGAGAATTAGCGGCAATGAGTCGCTGAGAGGGATGGAGGGAGGAGTGTCCACCAATCCAAGACTCAGCCAGCTCCTTCAGATATCCTCTAAAGAAGTGACCTTCCTCCCAGCTGCTCCCAGGATAAAGGCCTCTGATCTCAGGGAGCTTATCACCAAAGTCTGTCCAGGTCTTCGCTCTCTTTGTTGCTCATGTAATTACACCGTATTGAATCGGAGAGATGAGGAGTTGAAGGTAGGGGAGCAGAATCATTACACACCACAGTGGAACAGCTCAGCTGTAGGGGAGAGAATAGCTTCAGCTCGGGGGGGGCTCGGCCTCAAATGGGACCCCTCGCTGCTCTCCGCCTGGCCCCACTCCACCTCCAAGCTGCTTCAAACAGGGACTTGAGAATGACAGAAGTGTTTCATACTGGCACATTCATGGTGCTCGGACCAGATGGAGCCTTTGTTCTTTCTGTGAAACACACATGATTGCCCACACACACACGTTTGCTGCACAACAACATGGCCAGTATGCAAACGCATGCTCTCTTCCTCCCCGCACAGCAGCATAAAGCCAGGATCATGATGACAGGGGGTGGTGTGATTCTCTTGTCCTCTGTCGTGTTCACATTAGTCATATGCAAATAAGCATTGTGCACAGAGAATGACACAAATCCAGCGTGTCTAAATCCTCAAAAAGAGCTGGTGACGGCTATTTAGTTAACATGATTTATTAAGGTGTTTGACCCAGTTAGCACAAGCCATTAGACAGTGTTTGTTTCAGGTGCTGGAGGAATTAAATATGTCAGAGCTGGAATTTGGACACCTAAAGAAGAAGCCTGAAATATCATGATTGAACACGTTTGAGCTGGTGTTTTCGCTGAAGTTGGAGGATTAGCGAACAAAAAAAGAGAATAAATCTAATGAAGGTAAAAGGTTCAACATGTTTTGTTGCTCAGTGCACATTAATATTTTGGCATTTGATGTTTAAGAAAGATGTTATGTTGGCATGAGTCAGGTGATGTTAAACATTCATGTTACTCAGTGATGGGTCCACTTGTTTATTCATAGAATCTTGAAATTAAGCAGAATCAGAATTAAAGCAAAGATTCTGAGGAGTAATACAGCAAGCTTTGATAACTTTTAGTGTAACAGTTTGAATAGTTATCAAGGGTACGGAAGCCCCAAGAGGACATTATTTTTTTTTTTTTTACCCCCCTTTTCTCAAGATCAGGAATTAATTTTGCGGTGGACTGGAAACATTGGGCCGATCACTGTACGTGGTGCTACAGAACGAAATGCACGGGGTAAGATGCACACTCTCTGAACTTGACAGGAACACATCACCCCAAAATTATTCATCATCATAACTATTATGCTGTTAGCCTGGTGGTTCTTGAAATGCAGATGAAATTTGACATGTGAGACGACGCTGTGATCTCGAGAAAATGAAGCCTTGTTTTCTCGCGATCATGAGAAAACTATCTTGTGATCTTGAGAAAACGGGGTTATAAAGTAATCAAACCATGTCTGCGAAGCCTTGTTTTTTTTAAATCATGAGAAAATGGGGGTAAAAAAAAATGTCTGCTTGAGGCTTCCATACAAGGGTAAAATCCTCTTGTACTTAAATGTCGCTGACCTCTTGACCTCTGGTTGGATTTTCTCTTTCTTGGTACTTGGACTTCTAATAATGCAGAAAACCATCTGTAATATTTTGATTTTCAAAGAAACTCAGATGCACATTTTTTTGGTATTTTCAACATTTATGTCCTATCAATTTTTTTTTTTTATTATTTTGTATTTTTTGATTTTGGGTCAGCTTGAAGAGAGACTGGAATTACAGGAGCGCAGAGTGGGGGTTGACCTGCAGCAAATAACCACAGAACCAAAAATGAAACCTGCAATGCACTAAAGACCATCATCTCTTCCTTATAGGGTAGCTACTCTACCACCTGAGCTACGCTGGCCTTCCAGAGTTGTAATGCTTTGACTGAACTATCAGGTGGTATGCATGGTATTTAATCGCAGTTGTCCAAATACCTCAAATTGCTCCTGATGGTGGTTTGAAGCACAGCTGGAGCCTCAATCCTACAAGGGCAACAAAAATGAGTTCCAGAAGACTGCCAACAAAAAAGCATTTTCATACAAAATGATTCTTATCCCACTTTACTTATTTGCTGCATTTTGATTTTGATTTCTCACTGGAAGATCATTTAAGATACTAATCAAGTTCATCTATAATAAGGTGGGTCAAATATTAGTCCGATTAAGTTCTTGATTTTTGAAGTCAGACAAATTATCCTCTGGTTGAATGTGCAGCTGTGGTCATAATCGGATTGGTAAGGGTTTGTATCCTGCTCAATAACAACAGGATTTTAACCAAGGTACATTATCAGCTGTTTAATTTTAATTCATTACTCTTCTGTGTTCATTTTTGTTTTAATCAGCAAAAATCATTTCCTCACATGACAAAAGAAATGTTGTGAAAATTGGAGATTGGAGCAATTTTGTCAAGAAAGCTGGAAACTACGGATGGCAAAGCTGAACATTCAAGCATTTTCTAATGTTCCGTATGTCACAAGGCCATTCTCATCCCAGGCTAATCCAGGAAAGAGAGCGTTGAAACATTCCTGACAGGAAGCAGTCAGTGACCTTTAAGCGGGAAACGCTCTGCTGGAACTGTGTCCTCACTGTCTTTTTCCATCAGATGTGCTGGAGCGAAGAGGAGACATATCCTTTAGCTGAGGTGAGGATGAAATGCCAGACTGTCAGCTCCTGTCTTCTCTTTGCTGTGCAGTGTGGTATGAACAGCAAACTGCTGCAATCGTGTCATTTATCTGTTCAAATTAAGGTAACCTTTACTGCTGCAACCGAATACACCAAGTACCTGGATGAGGTTAATTACCAGCAGCTTGAAAAATACAAATCCACTTTGGCTTGCAGCTGAATTGTTGATGAGTTACTAAACCTTGAATACTGGTCAAGTGTTCAGTCAATCTGAGCCAAGTCTTCTCATTACCTGAGGGTTTATAAGGAGGACTGCTGCTCTCAAAACGCCTGTGATTTTCAACTGACTGAGTGGGATTTTTGGGATGTGAAGAAAACACAGCATGATTCTTAGTGATCCTGTGGGCAAGTCTGGAGATTGACATTACTAGGGAAGTTACAGTGCTACACATGCACTGTCTGAACTCATAACACCCACATGCCATCTACTTTTAATCAAAATTTTAATAAGCCAAACATCTAAGGTCGAGTGACTAAAGCTAACGTTGCTATTGGCTGGCAGATAGCAAACAGGGACGCTAATCAACAGTCCAGATTGCTTTTGCATTATACATAATTTTCCTGGAGCCATGTCAGTCTGTGGGTCCTCTACATGTTGCACGTTTGTCACTGCTCTTGCTCGCATTTGTTGTAAGGTCTCTGAAAGTAATACATGGTTACATAATATGATCCTGATACACATTTTTATCAATTAAATGCTTTAAATGAATCATTAATTCCTGCTGCTCACCATAAAACGATCAAGTTACTACGTTAAATTGTTAAAGATATCTAGGAATTGTAACAATGTGAATGAAAAATGATTATGAACAACACATTTAAATGAGAATTATTCAACTTCACCACTCTCATCTCATATATTAAAATAATGTTTGTCAACAGAAATAGTAAGTTTTTTGTATTAATCTATGAGGTCTATCATATGCACAGCATTAGAAAAACCCTGTATGTCCATCTGATCCACACATGCATGAATTAATGTATATGTAACAGTAAATTAACACACCTTGACTAATCATAGATATGATTATTACATGACGTTATAGTAATTTGATTATTAGTTCAGGGTGAATAACAGGAAGTAATGATGCATCCAACATGAATTTGTAGAGAGTCATCATGACTCACTCATCACTTCATAATCAAATGAGCTAAAAACATGTTCCCTATTGTAGAGTGTTACCCAAAACACACAATCTGCGTCTCTTTAGGCAGCCCTGCAGGAACTGTTGCTGCACAAGATGGCACACAAACTCAAATGCAGGTAAACATATGACCGCTCGTAATACTGACTTGTTGCATCAGATTATTTCTCAGAATCTCCAACACGGAAAGACAAACTTTTCTTACAATGTGAAGCAATATCTCAAAGCACATTTTGTAAACGTAATTCATTGTTACTGTTAACAAAGAAGGAAACAAATTCAAGAAGACGTCACATGAGAGCCTCCAGAAAGACATCTGCCAAAACACTTTGTTACTGCATTAAATAAAAATATCAGTAACACTTTATTTGATGCCTATCTCTATAACACATCATAATACCTGACCTTGTAAGTCTTATTGCTATAAAGCATTATGATCATTAATGAGTGTTTATAACTTTCATTATACAGTGCTATAATGCGATTCTAACACATTATACATATATTTATTATGCGTTATAGAGATAGGCGTCAAATAAAGTGTTACCAAAATATCAAATAAAATGGACTTTGCCAGCGTCAGACTCAAGTTTAGAGAGTTTAAACAGTGATTGGACATCTTCAATGGCAACAGGAAGAGAGATTCAAGGCTTTTATGAGTAATACCTGACCTCACTGAGCTGGAAACCCCTGGTTAAATTAAATATCAAACATTCCTCTGCATTATTCATCACAGGCCGACCCAGGTCTACCTGTGAAAAGGGAGTATGAGACCATCAATCAAACCTCCCATTAGGATATTAGACGAGTGCAGCGGGTTACGTCACATGACTTTCCTCTGCTCCTGTCTGAATAGCAAATGATGAAGTGAAAAATCACAGAGTTCTACCTGAATATGCGTATTACTGAAACTTTCATGTGAATAATGGTTGTGACTGAGTGATCTGCACCGACACCGACTATTCAAATGGTGCAAAAGATGCAAAGCATATACATCATATGTTTCCTGTATGACCACCTTGACAATTCATGCAAAGGATCAACACAGAGACTGAACACAGGTGATAAAAAGGATCTGAAAGTAGGCAAGTTACTGATTCAATATAAAAACATGACACAGGTGAATATCTCATAAGAGAGAATAGGATTTTATTGTATTTTCTACATAATGGCATCAGGCACTGCACCACCCTTGGCAGAAATGTAATTTACAGTCTGCCACCATTAAATTATCCACATCCAACACTCCTATTCACTAGTGGTTAGTTGTGAGTGGTTTCTAGATATGCTGATGAAAGGAAAGAAAATGTCCATGACTGAAGTTATTAAACATATTGATTGATCTGACAGAGCAGCTACTCCTGACAGAATAGAGCTGAGACCAAACATGAAAGATGAGTCTACTCTGGAAATGAACAGCATCACCTTCAGGACATTAAATATTCTTCAATACCAGCCATGGTACGCATCAAATGATAATAATATATTTAATTTTTCAGTCTTACATAGGACTTGTTTTCTGATGTGTAATGTGCATCACAGCCTCCAGAGGCCGCTAGTCTAAAACAAAAAGAAACTTACGGTTTTGTCTTCTTTCACAGTGCATCTTAAATTGTGTCAAAGTCATAATTAAACCCCAGTACCGTGGTGTTTTTAATTCAAACAATCCATACCAAAAATATATGCTAAAAGTATTCTGTTTGCAAATGTTTTCACAGTAATAAATAGTTCATGAAGTCATTTCGTGATGGAGGATGCAGGTGTTAGAGGAGTACTTACACACAGCACATGTGAAAAAGTGCCCCCATTTCATCTTTCCTGCTTCCAGTGACAAAATAACAAAATAAAGAAAACAAATACTCAGACACAACACTGTTGAAGTTAGTAATACTCTGTCGTTGTGAAAGCAGTGTTCACAGAAATGGGTTAAGCCAGGAGATTTAATTTGGCTTTTGTTTGGTCCTTGTCCCAGAAGTTGACCTATATTACTTCATAGGTTTGAAAGAGTTCGCTTCAGTCATTATGTAAGGTACACACAACATAATGAATAATGTGTTTTTGCTGTAAGAAATAGTGGCTATAAAAGGGTTTTGGTTGTACTCTTTTCTGCCGTCTTCATCTGCTTCAACAAGAAAATCATTCCTTCATTGTGTTCATGCTGTTCTAGCCGTAGTGCATTGGCATAAAGTGGCAGACAGCAGGAGTGTGTATGTTGTGTGTTTATTTCTGTCTCGGTCCTTTTTAAGGTGCTTTCTCTCAGAACTTGCTGAGGGGTGGCAAAGCCCCTGCCTTCACCAGCACAGCAGACAGCAGGTCTGCAGGTCCTGATGGGTGGGGCACAGCGGTTGCTGAAGGATCTCCATGCTTAGTGTCAGAGTTCACAGGTGGAGGACCCTTTCCCCTGTTCAGCGTGGACTTCCCCACCCCGCTGCCCCCTCCTCCACCCAGGCTGGACTTGCTGTTCTCTGCAGTGGGGATTACAGTGCCCAGGTGTGGGTTTCCCACTACAGGAGTCCCTGTGGACTCCATACTGGTCTGACAGCAGCACAGCAGGCGGAAGAACGCCGCCCTCATCTCCCTGCTGGACAGAGTGTATATGAGAGGGTTGAGAGCAGAGTTTAGCACAGCCAGGGCGATAAACCAGTCCACCTGGTAGAGCACAGGGCATTTATCTGGGCTACAGCCAACGTCCAGCAGCAGCAAGAGGAAGAGAGGGGTCCAGCACATGACGAACACTCCAAGAACGATCACCACAGTCCTCAGCAGGGCTAATGAGCGCTCCGAGGGCCGGCTGCTCACCCTGCGGCCACTGGAGGTCACCAGGCGGTAGATCCTGATGTAGAGGATGATGATGGCCACCAGCAGGGCACTGAAAACACTGATGCAGAAGGCCACATAGCTCTTGGCGTAGAGTGGCAGCACTGTGGAGCAGGAAGCTCTCTTATTGAGGCAGTTCCATCCCAGGCTGGGCAGAGCGCTGAGCAGCACTGACACGAGCCAGCAGGCTGCCAGCAGTCCCAGAAGTCTCCCCCGACCCGCTGTCTCACAGGGCCGCAAACGCACCATCGTCATGTGCCTCTCAATCCCAATGGCAAGAAGGCTGAACGTGGACGCGCTAAGGGCCACAAACATGCTCCCCTCTCTAGCCAGCCACTGCACTGGGGTCAGATAAAAGGTTTTGTTCCCTGAGGTGAAAATGTTGACCACATAGGCCACGCCAGCCAGCAGGTCTGACAGTGCCAGGTTTCCTATCAGGAAGTACATGCGGCTGTGGAAGCGTTTGTTCCTCCAGAGGGCGAGCAGCACCGTGACGTTCTCCAGGACGATGAGCACGCAGATGAAGAGCAGCACGGCCATCTTACAGGCCCCGCTACTGCGAGGCCGGTCCCACTTCCCTGAGTGGTTGTAGTGGCTGACGATGACAACGTTCATACCCTCTTCAAATACGTTCCCCATACTGCCTGGCCTGCCACCTTCTTTGGCCTTCCTGGTTGCACAGCAGAGGGCGCCACAACACTGGACACAGCAGAGGGAGGTGAGGCTGCTCAACCTGGCAGGGTCACTGCTGGCATCTTAGAGCCTCTACAGGGACCTACAAGTATAATGGGGACAAAAGAGAGAATTTTACAACTCTGAATCGAGAATTTAAATTCACAAAAATTAGATTTAACTACATTGTCATGGGTGTAAATTAATTCAAGGGAAGTGCAGTGATATATTTAACTGTTTCAGGTGTAGAAACACTACAAACTAGCATCTTATCAAACTTGATACCAAACCTACCGTTTTGTTTTAAAGAGATTAAACTGATTTTCTAACAAGTGTCCTGGTTTGTAAAGCAGAAGTACCTTTGATTATAAATATAGCATGTAATCTGGCATAACTCTTATATATATCTTTAAAATAAAGAGAAACCTGTATGGATGTAACAGTTATTTTCATCTTACACCTTTAAAGTGAAGAATAAAGCAAACCTCGGTACATAAAGCCTTCATGAAATGATGTTATTTTTTAAAATTACTTTAGTGTTATGACTCGCAGATCTACACGGACATAAAGTTGCAAAAGTAATTCATAAATTATCCTTCAGTTTTAATAGGCTACTGCATTATGCATGTTGAATAAAAGGAAACTAACGTAAAATTTTAACACAAAGTTTAACTTTTTGTAGCTTAACAGCACTTAAGAGTAAAATCCTAAAATTGTTTTGTTGTATTTTTGTTTGAAAAAGTTAAAAGAACTTAGATTAGGAATCATTTGGAAACTCTACCTTCCTTCGTCGACACAAATAAAGTGTATAATCCGTCTCTGATGTATCACAACAGCTGCTGTACCTGTTGGAGCTCCTGGTCTCATCTGAACATCCCGGTAAAGCTCGTAGAACTTGGTTGAGTTGATGTTATTTCCTCCTGCGTACCGATGCTTCGAAAAAAAATACGTGCTTTTCAAAAGTTATTTATCCACGCCGTGCAATTCGCCTTCCATGTCTAATCCTCGTCTGATTAAAAGTTTCCAGTTTCGGGCGTATTTTTCCTCCAGATGTCCAGTATGAACTTTCCTGTGTCCACCTCAAAATGTGATCCTTCCCAGCTCCTCTGTGCGTCCCTCTCTCTCACCCACACACTCACCCCTCCCTCTCAGTCTGTGGGGCGGGATCTTCCCTGATTCCTCACCTCTCCTTTTGGTTATTATTCTCATTTATGAGTCTGGAGTCAAAGCCACGCGTGTCACTCTGCAAGTCACGCTTAACTGTTGCGAGTTGTCAAAACATGATGATAACCTTCATTTGAAACCAGAAGCCAGGGCGAGTTTGATGGACTTGGTCAATGTAGGTGTAGTTTGGAGGGACTGGTGTGTGTTTTTCCTGGGTACAGAGCGCTGTTGACTGTGTCAGAAAAGAACACCTAATTTTGTCTGTGTCATAAGATTGCAGCACTTGTCCCAACATAGTTTTTGCCTGGAGGCCTTAAATGCTCCCTGAAGTGTTGTCACTCCCTAAGATTGTCCTAAATCCACTCTGTAAATACTATTGCAATTTAACTGGTTGTCCGTGCCAACTTCATCTTTTTTACATTTTTTTTTGTACTATTTATATATTGATCCACATTTCAAAGGTCAACACTAAGATCCGAACCAAACACACCCAACAAATTCATTCAGCCTTACTGGGGAACAAATCAACTTATGTCGACATCTTTTAGTTCTGACCTTTTTAATAAAACTGTCCTAGTTGTCTTTCAGGGGGATTTATTCTCTCAGCCGACAAGCCAAGAATTTGCATCTGTTATGTTTCTGTGATTTGATGACTCATTGTTTTTCATGTTCAAGCAAAAGTCGACTGGGCCCCAGTTTGCTCTCTCAGAGTGTGAGATAGGTCAGCCCTCTTCCATTGGAAGCAACTGGAACTAATGGGAAGTGAAGACTCACGCTTCCCTTCTCCTTTTATGAACTTTCACGAAGTGTTATTGGGCTAGAAAAATATGTCACTAATCGGAAGACACTAAGAGGGGCTTTCAGCAGCAAATGATGTCATCTGCAGTTCCATGGAGTTCAACATCCTGCGCCAAGTAATGGGTCAGGCCATTGGGTCAAAGACGACGCCGCATCTTTAGGGGTCAAGTATTGTAGAAGATTGGTATCAGCGCCTGGATCATGAAGTGGCCACCGACGTACAATTGAGTGGTCATGCCATTTGTCGCTATTTCAGGAGCATACACTGGTAGCTCTGCAACATGCAACACAGTGGCCACAACAAATGCTGGTAGGGCATGTGGCGAAGCTTAAATTCAATGTAAAAATGTGACAAAAAGTTCATGGATTGTTTCTTTTGTCAATTTTTTAATGAGTATCGAGAGAATTGTTGATATGTACTCCAGTAGTGAAGCAGATAGAAAGTAATCCAACATCACAGAAACCTTTGGAAACCTCTCTGTCTCTGGATAATCCAGTGCTAACAACACGGAGTTGGGCTACATATCATATTGTTATATGGAATCACATTTTATCTGCCATCTATTCTACCTACTGACAATGGCTTTGCTAACAGACTACCACATGTGACCCTTCATGGCCTAGAAACACAAACAAAGACAACTTTGATTAAAAGCAAGAAACATTTACTGCTCTTTAAAAATGAATGGTATCGTTTATGTCAGTAAGGTAACCCTGTAACCCTGACCCTTTTCCTTACCCTTGATGCAACTGTCTCAGTAAAACAGGAGTCTAAGAGACGTGGTCCCAGAGTTGTGGTCTTGAAACTGTAACCTCTGGATCGGCAGACACAGATATTGTCATGTATCATCCTCAGTTTGTCTTTGCCTAGTTTTTTTCTTCATTGAAGGGTAAATGTACTGCCATACCACCTTTGATTTTCCTATCTAATCATTTGTTCACTAGGTGAGAGTGTAAATGTTGGCTAGCTTGCTCCAGTGTGACCCTGGAGAGACCAGTATTATCCTGTCATTGTTGGAAGAACAAGCCAGAAACAAGTAGCTAACTAGTGCTTGTTGACGTGTCAGGGGTCACTTCCTGTTAGCCCCATCCTACCAAAAAGGGTCAGTCTGTTTATTACCCAAAAAAATGTCGGTTATAGTGTCAACAAAGACACAAAATATTTTGTAGCGCACTGGCAGCAAGTTAAGTTTAGTTTTTGGTCTTTTTTTGGTATGCCATTTGACACTTTTCAGATCATTGTCGCTGAAATCTACATCAGCAGCAACAGTGGTAGACAAAAGACATGAAAAGAATTTTAATGAAAAACTGATAAAAGAATGACAAGTTATGGTGTAACACCTCTACCCTGTTGATGCCTGTCCGTTTTTTTACAGGACAGTAAAATGAGAAAAAATAAGAAGAATAACGATAAAAAAACTGGATGTTCATGGTTTAAAACATGCTTCTGACCCTGTTTCTTCAACTCTTCTAATCTTTCCCCTTTTCCCACACCAAGCTGGCTCTGCATTGGGAACAGAGGCCACATTTCCATCAAACTCTCAGAAAGTCATTATTCCAACCGCTGATGGTGCGGTGACTGGAAACAGAGGGGTAGGGGCTGTTACTTTAAGAGTGAGAGTTATGCTATGAAATTTATTACAGTTTTTCCCACATGATGATCACAGTATAAAGGTTCCATGGTTTCAAATCCAGCCTGACAGCATGAGGTCAAAGCGTGTCACCAGATGTAGAAGAATGTAAAAAAAGAGGCAGAAGGTTTCAAATGAAACAGAGTTAATGACTAGGACAGAAATGAGGTTTGAAATGGGAGGGTCCATTGCAAGGATGTCTTTTTTTTTTTTTTTTTTTTCAAATATGATATGAACTCTTTCAAATCACACAAGTCCAAGTCAGCATACCTGGTCAACACTGATTTCTTCCAACACTTTTTTACTTGCACTACTCTGCACCTTTTGGCAGCTTTCTTTTTCAGTTATTCTGCATACAGCATCTGTAAATTTACAAGAGTATACATTGTTGGAAACTAACAGCCATGTCATTGGGCAAGAGGCAGGGTGCTCCCCAGACAGGTTGCCAGTCCATCACAGGGCTTACATACAGGCAGACAACCATTCTCACACACTCGTATCACAAAATGTAAACACCTTCTATAAATTGGTTGGAGCTTTTGAAATGTCAAAATGTTTTCATGCTGACAAACTGATCCAGCTGATGAGTTTTGACAGTTGCTGTCTCGATGAACGATGAAAAACTTCTGTCTCACTTAATACCACCTTCCATATTTGTATGGATGGTGCACTAATAGTTTCTCTTACTGTCAGAGTTACAGCCAAAGAAAGTTTAAGCTTCATTTTAGCGGGCTGATGTGGTGTCCATGAGTCGATACAGTGTTTTAAAGGCTGACTTGGTTAAAATGAATTTGACAAAGTCTTTTAATCAAGAAAATTGATTGATTTATTTGCTGAGAAAAGTGACGATTAAAACTTTTTAACAAAGCAATTAAATGTCCTTCTGCTATGATCATTTTGACTGCTGTTGTTTCAAAGGTTTAAAAAAAGGTTAATTTCAACTTAATGGATATTGTTCTCTTGGATAAATATTGAGGATATAAGGATATAAAATATAATCGTGCCTTTCATTTCTTAAGAAAGGAGCAGGATTCTTGTGTCGGGTGTCCATACAATTGAATTCATAAAAGTCGATGCAAACATTATGACTGATTATCATTTATCTCTGACAGCATGTGAGAGTCGAGAGCATCTCTAATGCAGTACAGAAAACTCTGGAGATAAAGTTTGCAGTGTTTTCCCTTCTTTATGTTCACTAATGGCAGCTCTGGTTTTGAAACTGTCCATCTTGTCTGTTTTTGTTTTTGCATTCTTGGACTTTGCCAGATCAAAAAGGCAAAAATAGCAATGAACAGGCCAGCGGTTGAGACTTTGATGGATGACAGTACAGACTAACAGAGAGTGACCGTGAAACAAGTGCTGATAAGAGGAAGGGGTAAGAGATGCATGAGTGTAAGAGAAAAGAAAGAGCAGGAGATGAAGGAGTGTTAGAGCTGCAAGTTTTCTATCTCTCCCTCTCTCTCTTTCTGTCTCAGTCCCTGTGGTATCTCTGATTGTGAGGGGTTACTGCTCGTCTGGCCTTTGCGCACATGTCAAACCAGGCATTGCAGATTAATGAATGACCTCTGGTAATGTTGACTTTACCCTGAGTAGCAAGAGATGTACAGACACTGTGACAATACATTTATAACCATATGAAAACACCCCAAAGGCCTTGGCTCCGTGTTGTTGCAAGCTAGATACAGACTTCCTGGATGTTTCGTTCTGTACTGGAAAAAGGAAACGTGGCTACAGGTCACCAAATCATGGAAATAAACTACCTTATGCCAAGTCCCACCAACATTTGTACAACTGTTTTTGAACATCTGTGTGTGGCTAATGTGTACGTGTGCGGCAGCATTGTGAGTCAGGGCACACTGACGTAGACTCAGATGGTGAGCGAGAAGTTTTGGAATGTAAAGTGTGGTGGGAACGAAAGAGGAGCCACAGTGCTGGAAAAGAAAGGCCTCATGGGCCATCCCCCCAATGCCCTCCACTCCTGCAGTTTACCCACACCCACTGAGATTATTTTTAAGAAATTAAAAAAGGGAATGTTTTCTCCTTGTAATGTGCTCAGAAGACGTCACATGCTTCAGCAAGTTTGGAGCAGCCGTGAGTCTCTTTGACCACATAAATTAACAACTTTATTAAGACATATCTTTTTTGACTATTTTACTGAACAGCAACTGTTACGTCCCACAGCCGTATTACACTTAATTACTCACAGGACTGGAAATCAAGGACTACAGATAATTATTTACTGATGGTTTGATGGTTCACAATCAAAAATAGAGGAACACATTAAAGTGAGAAAAGTGATTTTGTTTGAGATGCTTTGAAAAGAAAGAAAGTCTTGAAAAGAAAAAATCAGATATTTGAAAATAAAAAGGAATTGTTTCATTTAACTCCTTTAAATGGACTGGGAAAAAGAAACTGTACCACTGATTTATCAGCTATACTTACACAGGAGAGTCCAACCAGCAAGAGTAGATATTTCTTGCGGTGTACCCCAGGGTTATTTCCTAGACCCCATGAACTTGTTTCTGAACTTCTTACCATAAGTTCACCATCTATTTCTATTACCAT